ATTTTATAAATTAAAATATTTAATCTCATGGAAAATGAAATCAAAATTAGGCAACAGCACTGAAGTAACTTACATTACCATTTAGGTAAACTATCTCTCCACCAAGTGTTTTAACACATGTAGAGGAGGAAAAATTACAAATTAATGAGCCAAGTTCTAAACTAGCAAAATGGATTATATTCCCATAAATTATTCAGTAATCTACACACTCTAGTAAGGCTTACCAACCTGGCAAAGTTATAACAATGGTGTTCAGTGAGATATGTATGTATATGATCCAGGAAAGAGTTGGCTTTATTTAAATTTAGAAATGCTCAGCACAAGAAGGATAGCTATCAGGTAATAACTTCTGAAAACTCTCTAGTAAGATGGGGCTAAGACATGCTAGTGAAGGGAATACCCTAGTGATAAAATCATATGTCATCTGAAGCAATGAAGTCATCATTAATACTGACAATCCAAAATTCTTGCCACTGCTACCAGAGCCTCAAATCACATGTCTCTTTCTCTGGGAAAAGCCTGGTAATTAGAATAGTTCAGGTAACTATTTATACTGGAGTTCAACTTCATTACAGATTAAATGGGAATTTTGTTTATTTTTTGTGTGGGGGGGGTAGGGAGAGGACACCAAACCATCATTTATAATATTTATAATATAATATTTATAATATAATATCATACATATTACTGTATGAATTTTAAGTACCATATAGCTATCTTACAAAGGTTGGAACATAATGTAGTGTTAGGAACTTCCTTTACTATATTAATTCCAATTACATCTTAAAAAAAATCTAGGTACACATTCTCTTTTCATGAACATATACTTTTTAAAAATTAATATGTCTTCAAAACGTGTTTCCTTTGAGACTGATAGCAAGTCTACTTTAAGCTCCATAGTATAAGGGGAAAAATTAGTCACTCATCAATTTAAAAGAATTTACCAGATTTCAATGAAAAGCTGTAGTAATAGAAACCAATGAAAACATTTTCCAACATAAGAAAAGGAAGTATAATCAAAACTAAATTTAGGAGTAATTATGCCACAGAAACTAAAATAAATTAATATTTAATTGCCTTATGAAGTTGAATCAGATCACCACTAAAGTTCTTTTCCATTCAGTCTAAGAATCAGTGATATAGTAGTAAAGCAAAAACAAAAACAAAAACAAAAACTTGGATAAATAGCTAGGAATGATTTTACTACTTATATAACAATGGAATGAATGTTCCCTCCCCACCCCCACCCCCATTAGAAATAAAACAAAGAATGGAAGTAAAAATTATACCAAGAACATGTGATTTTTCTGGACAAAATGCTTAGTCAACAGGAGTCCCTTATGTTTAAAGTTCTGTGTTAGATGCTGAAGGAGTTAAAGACACAATCCCTAACTTCAAGGAACTTACAATTAAGAGGGATAAATATAATGGGTACACAAAATATTCCAAACTTAAACAATGACTATAACACTATAGATGGAAAGAATGAAAAAAATATGAAATGGAACATTGTATAATTCTACTGAACAAGAAGGTTGGCCTCAGGGAAGAGTTGAAAAAAAGCAAATCTCTTTCTTCTTTGAACAGGTGGAGGTACACAGATGTAAAATATATTGTACATACTGTCAGATTTCAGTGATGTATTGGTTGGTTGGCTGAATTTCCTTTTTCCTTTCTTTTTTATTTTTTGTTATAAAGGACAGCTTACTGAATAAGGTGGGGGAGGGATATTTTTGGAAATGAAGGTGCTGGATATGGCAGTGTGCTAGATACTGGGAAGGTTGAGGCTGGTGCATAGTTTTGAAGTTCTGATCTGCACTAGGGCTAAAACCAATAGGGTAAGCACACTATGTCTAGCACCAATATGGTGAGCTTTTAGGAACTGAGGAGCACCAAGGCACCTAAGGTAGAGTGAAAAGGCCCAAGCTGGAAAAATGAAGCAAGTTAATGCTTCCACGCTGATCAATAGTGTGATAGGTCCCCGAGTGGCCACTGCATTTCCACACTGGGAGAGATAGGAAGACCTAGTCTTTAAAAAAAAGAAAAAAAAAAGATGTAACAACAATTTAAAAAAATAGAAAAGGAAAAAATGTGTAAGAGAGGTACAAAAAACCCCTTCATTTAGCTACATGGTAAAATTTCATTGTTCTTCAGTCCTATTCAACCCTTTGGGACCCTGTGGACCATACTGTCTGTAAGGTTTTCTTGACAAAGATACTGGAGTGGTTTGCCATTTTTCCTGCTCTGGTGGATTAAGGCAAACAGAGTTTAAATGACTTGCCCAGGGTCACACAGCTAGTAAAGTGTCTGAGGCCAGATTTGAACTCTGGTCTTCCTGACTCCAGGTCCAGTATTCTACCCACTGAGTCACCTACACAGTCAGACAGGACAGACTACACTATAAACGTTTAAAATAAAAACTATCATTATACTTGGGCATAAAATACAAATAAAATTAATACAATGTTGCTTAGTACTGATTCGATATTTTTTTAAATAAAAAAATTACATCGATATCTTCATTTCCAAATATATCCCTCTCTCCTCCTTTACTCAGAGCTTTTAACAAAGAAAAAAGAAAATCCAAACCAACACATAAACCAAGTCTGACAGCATGCACAATATCCTACATTCATAGTCCTCCATCCTTCCAAAGAAGGTAGTAAAGTGTACTTTCTCAACTCTTCTAGGGCCAAGCTTGGTCATTTAATTATATATGGTTGAGGTCCTTCCCCCGACTCCCCCTTATGTTGCTGTAGTCCTTTTGTGCAAAATATTCCTGGTTCCGATTACTTCATACTATATTAGTTCATGTAAATATTGCATGCTTCAGTCATCCTTTTTTTTGGAACAGTAACTTCCTTTTTATCTAATTGAGGGGTATTTACTTGGTTTCCAGTTGCTTGCTATGACAAAAAGTGCTTCTATGTGTACTGTGGCATACACTGACCTACCAAGGGTATATGCCTAGCAATGGGATCTCTGGGTCACAGGACATGGATATTTTTGTATTTTCTTACCATAATTTCAAATTACTTTCCAGAATGGGTATATCAATTCAGAGCTCCTCCAATAGTGTCTTAATGTATTCATCTTACTGAGGCCTCTTCAGCATCGACTTGTTTTATCTTCTATCATCTTTTCTAATTTGTTTGGTGAGGGGGTGAAACTGCAGAGTTCTTCTCATTGCATTTCTCTCATCAGCAATTTGAAGCAATCTTTCCTATGGCTGTTAACCGTTTGCAATTCAAATTTGGAAAACATATCCTCTGACCACTGGGGAATGTCCCATGTCACATATTTGTGTTAGTTCCCTATATATCACAGGACCAGAATGATGCAGGACTCTCTCCCCCAATAGTCTCAGACGGACTCCCAAATGCTCACAGCCCTCCATGTTCTCCCCTTCCCAAATGATGTGCCCAGATCCCTTGAGGTCTCAGTCTGATAGATGGACATGTTCATGTACACTCCTCTGATTAGTGGGCAATCACCAACTATGATCCTGATAAGATAGAGGATTGTTAGATTTTATCATTAGTCCCGCTGTAGCCACCTTGCCCTAAAGACAAGCAGCCACCCTGCCTCATCTTCCCTGCTGTTTTAGCCTTCAGACCTTGGGGCAATGCCATTTGCACTGCCACAGAATGCTAAGGGTACCTGAGCCTTGCCTTCCACCCTGCTGTAGCACATTAAGGACCACCATGGTCTGTCATTTAACTGGCTCTCGACTTCTCCTGTGCTGTCTTCCACAATTAGAATAGGAGCTCTTTGAGAGCAGGAACTCTTGCTTTTCTATTTTTATCTCTTGCATTTAGCACAGTGCTTGGCACATAATAACTACTTAATAAATGATTTTATATTCTGTCTTGGATAGCAAAATCCTATCTAAGATACCTGAGGTGAAGTTGTTTTCCCAAATGACAAGAATCCCTTCTTATCCTAGCTACTCTGATTTTGTTGATTAAATTTTTTTACAATTTCATTTAATCAAAAGTATCTTTTTTTTTAATGTTGCGATTGCTTCTATTCTTTGGTTCAGAACTATCCCCCAAACCATTATATGTGAAAGGCATTTAATACTGTTCCCTAATTTTTTAATGGTATGACTTTTAATCTTCAGGTCATGTATTTATTTGAGCTTATTATGTTATATGGCATAAGATACTGGTCTAAAACCTAGTCTGTTAAGAGCTTTCTGGTTTTCCTAGCAATTCTCTTCAAATAAGAAGTCCTATCTCAAGAAATTTAGTATTCTCAACTTTTATCAAACACTGTACAATCAAGCTTAATACCTCCTGATTCTTCCTAGTCTGATCTAATTATCTACTTTTCCATTTTTAAACAATACCAATTAGTTTTGATGATTACTGTTCTATAACATAATTTAAGGTCTGGAAGTACTACTCCCCTATATTCCTATTTTTTCCCTATTACTTCTCTTGAGATTCTAGCCTCCCCCCCCCACAAATTAAAAGTGTTTCTTGGCAGATTGATTCCTAGATATTTTATGAGTTTTGCAGTTATTTTGAATGGGATTTACCTTCCAAAATAATTATGGAAAAACAAACATGTATTAAACACTTACTGTGCGAAGTCCTGGGGGTGGGTGTATTGCTCAGATAAGATATTTTCCCCTATGTACTTTACAGTAGGTGAGGGTTGGGGATTGGGGGCTGGGAACAGACAGAAATAGTTAACTAGAATAAACATTAAATGAAAAGAAAATCATTAGGGACTAGAAAAACTAGTGTGGCAAAACATCATTACTTCCTAAGAATCCCATTTTAACAAACACATAAGAATTATCTGCATCACATTTAAATGCTTCATTGTTTGGTGATGCTAGAAAAGTTTCAAGTATTTTAAAAATTCATTCACTCTACTTCTAATTTCATTTAAATCACTGATCTGCAGTATATGTGAAGTTTGTTAAAAGGGTAAATACTAATCAGATTTTTGAATTATGACGAATCACAAACATAATTAATAAGGTTTTACTTTACTGGGAGAGGGGAACCCTGGTTTAACTAGAAATACATTTTAGCAGTGCCAACATACCTGATTCTTGCATGAGCAGGGCAGAGTTGAATAGTGCTAGTTTATGATTGGGATTCATCTTCAAAGCCCGGTCAAAGTTTCGAAGGGCTTCAGTTGATTCTTTAAGTTCAATATTAACAATTGCCAAGTTGTACCAAAGGTCTGCATTGCTTCTGTCCAGATCCAATGCCCTAAGATAGGAATCTTTTGCTTTTAGAGGTTTGTTCATTTTTAAAAGTAATTCTCCTCTGTGGAAGAAGCAAATCAAAACTTTAGTTTATATATAGGATCACATTTACACTTGCAACTTAAAATAAAAAGTTTTGCCAAGTTAAGCTTTCTTAGGCACGCAACTCTCCTTTTAATTCTTCTCTCAAAAATAACTTAATCTCAATTAGAGATTATGGCAGTATCTGTATGTCTATGTTTAACATGCAGTCTGCTTTGTTAGATAGGGCATAAAGTAATTAAAAACAGGAAAAAAATGCACCTCAGCTTCTTTAAGATGTTAGTTGAACAGACAGAAAAAAAGGGAGGAGGGAGAGGAAGACAGTGAGAGGGAGAAGGACCTGCTCCGATATTTTAAGGGAGGGCTTAACTAAGAAGTCAAAGTAAATATAATTAAACATGGCAATGACTGCTGAACTAGATATGCAAAGAGCTTTTATCAAAAAAAGATAAAAAAAGTGGGTGAAAATGCCATATTGGCAGGCACCCAAGAATACCATGGAGGCAGATTGTATGAGGGAGAATACAAAGAGGCAGCTCAAGCTGAAGCCTTCTTGATCATCCCATGCTAATGTGTGCGTGCTCTCTCTCAAATAGCCTTGTATGTTTTAATTTTTTTACTTACTCCGTATACACTTACCTAAGTACTCATCTCCTTTTAGAATATAAGATTCTTAAAAGTATGATAATTTCATTCTTCGTATTTGTATCCCCAGAGTCTAAGAGTACCCGGCCTGCAGTAGGTGCTTAATAAAAAAGGGGCCGATAACAGCACCTACCTCATGGGGTTGTTGGAAGGTCAAATAAGACAATGTACTTTTGTATATTGTACCAGGCACTTGCCTGGTACATAGTAGGCACTTAATAATGCTTATTCCCTTCCCTCCTAAATGGAATGACTGACTGAACAAGATCATGGTGGAGTTGAGAAGAGATGGGATCAAGGGCTTCCTTGTCTAATTTGTTAAAGACATCTAACTACGTGGAGAGAGACTTTGAGGGGTAATGAAGGAGTTTATGGTAGATGACTTCATAACAAGTGTGGGAGCGAAGATCATCTACAGAAGGAAAGTACAAGTGAGTTTGGGGTTTCAGGAGAAATAGGTTTCGAACAGCTGCTTTGAAGATGTGATTGGGAGTCAATCAGGAATGAATAGAATTGCCACCTATTGGCAAGGGTTTCATTCAGGTTGGGTAGCATGAATTTATAATATACCCTATTTGGATAGCTTCATGATTTTTTTTTCCCAGCAGTGTTCAATGACTTTAAGTAAGTGGCAGAGGAGAACGGTGGTGGGGATAATTCCAGGTCTGAGGGATTAGCAAGGTAGGTCTAGGATAAGGAAGCAGGATATTCAAGAGTAGGAGACAGTGAATTGCTAAAATGATTTTATATATATATGTATATGTGTGTGTAAAACACACACACACACACACACACACACATGCTATATAAATGACCTTAATATGATAGTGTTAAGAGTTTGAAGACAATAAATTGAACCCAGAATAGGTACGTCGGGGTAGAAGAATAAGAAAAGATTTAGATTCACTACAGAGATAGCAGGATGAGAGTGAAATTAGATTCAGATGAAGTGAGACAGTGGGAAAGGGAGAAGTATAGAGTAGAAAGGAAAAAAATTCTAAACTCCAATCTGGAATTCCAGAAACACATTTCTTCCAAACTCTGGAAGTATAGGAACTCTAAAAAGGTTTGATGAACATGAAGGTAGGCACTAAAAGCTCTGACTAGTTAAGTCTCAAAATTTGCAAGAAAAAAAAAGGAACTTATTAAGTCAATATTCTAGGTGCTTTGATAAAGGTTATTGGGGGGAGGTGATAAGCAGAGAATTAGAAGGCACACATAGTTCACTTGCAATTAAGGAACTACCTATGAGATGAATCTTAACAGGTTTTGCTTTTTTTCTCAACTGTAGATTATACTGGGGAAAAATATTATACTGGGAAAAAAATAACCCTTCTAATTCACTCAAAATTATTATCAAAGACAAAAAAAGGCAATTCTTATATAAGAATAGTACGAAATTAAAACTAATACCTGCTAATATAGGCCTGTTTGAAATCTGGCCGCATGCTAATTGCTTGTCGGTACAACTGATCTGCTTCTTCAAGTCGAGACTCATTTGCACGAATCAAGTTAGCAAGATTGATATAAACATTTAAATGGTTGGGAGCAATTCGTGCAGCATATTTTTTACCTGGAATGATCTGGTTAAAATGAAAGGTACTTTTATGATTTATACTGCTAAGGCAAAAGAAATTCCAAGTCAGAGACAAAGCATTCACATCAGGTGACTAAGTTAAAAGCCTTATATAGAATATCCACTCAAGATAATTTTAATAATGAGCATGACATTACCACAACATATAAAATCAATTTAAAAACAGAAAACTTAATACGACCTATGGATCTATGATCTTCGTCTAGATTTTTTTTTTCCAACAATGCATATTTTAATCCATTCATGCCTTTTTATGTCTTCCCATAAACTTGTCACAGGGTTTGTCTTCCTTGTTCCTTCTCTTCCCTCCCTTTAAAAAACATCATAAAGCTACCAATGGAACATCCCTCACATCACATGACCAGCCCATTTAAATAAATATTTTATTTCGGGGAACCAGGGGAAGCAGAATAGGCTGCAGGGAACCCTTACCCTCCCTTCCTTCCCAGAGCCTGGGGCCTTGTACCTGAGGGCCAGAGAGTAGACACAGCTAGTGAAATCACTTTAATTCTCAAGGAGCTAACAACTACACATTTTCGAGGCTACTAGGCCTTAACATCTTCCTTGTCATAACACACTATGGAACTCTGCCTTTCCAATCGTCCTGCAGTAGAACCTTTCCTACATGTGTTGTTTCCTCCTAAGTTCCTTGGAAATAGAGAGTGTTTAGCTTTTCAATTTGGATCCTCAGTGCTTGGCACATAGTGAGTGTGTTCAATTAATTCCTTCCCGTTTATTCATTAACTCATTCATTCAAATAGCCTCTGAGAGACTACAACTTATATAACAGAAATTGAAGAGATGGAGTGCTGGGTTCAATTTTAATCTGGTGGAGGCTGTAGTGTTGAAATAAGATAGGATTCATTTGAAGAAATTTGGGGTTATTAAAAATGCTCTGAAATTTTCTAAAGGCAATCCAACCCATTCTCCTGCTTAATCCTGGGCCCAATCTGTTGTCCATTTGTAGTTTATAGATGAATTCTACGGGTTCTCTATCCAACTGCTGTCCTAATCTGGGCAACAGACATTCATTACTTGCTGGTTTTTTCATGGGTGGATGGTTAGGGCAAAAAAAATTTTTTTTGGCTTTTTGGTGAGGCAATTGGGGTTAAGTGACCTGCCCAGGTCACACAGCTAGGAATTGTCAAGTGCCTGTGGTCACAATTGAACTCAGGTCCTCTTGACTCCAAGGCTAGAGCTCTTTCCACTTAGCCACCTAGGTTAGGGCAAATTCTTTTGGATGATTATAGGTCAATGTTCAGTGCCTTTATGAAACATGCAAAATACCAGCAAGAAACAGGAATATCTGGATGGCCTCAACAATTATGAAGAATCCCTCATTAACTCAGATTGTGCACAAAATCTCCTCCATTGACAATGGCAAATACCTTTGGCAGGCATATGTCTCTCTGCCCTATGCTTCATGGTTAAAGAGTCACTGAGAGAACTATCTTCCTTTTATTTTAAAATAAAAAAATCTTATTATCTTTCATTTTTATGTTACTTACATTTCCTCATATATCCCTCCTCCTAGTCCCTCAGAAAGAACCATTCCTTACAACAAAGTTCATCAAATATGATGAACAGCACAGACAGCATTCTGGCTGGACTGCAGAGTATGGGACAAAGCACAATCTATAATGAAGCTGGAAAGATAAGTTGAGGCCAGGTTGTGATGGGTTTTAAAAGCTAAAGAAAGGGCTTTTTAAATTTTTTTCATTTTTTCTTTAGAGGCAGTAGGGAGCCTGTGAAGTTTTATGAATATGAGTATGAAATAATCAAATCTTCACTTTTTTCTCTCTCCTTCAGATACCCTGGGAATTGATTCCCCAATGCCTTCACTTTGATACCTCCAGCATGAATCTATTTTACATACAGTGGTCCAATCCTGCTGCTTTTCTCATCTGCTGTATCACAATTTCTACATTTTCCATGAGCACATCTGCGAGTCTACGAGCCCAAGCATTCTGTCTTTGATGATGCAAAAAACTGTCATAAAACTCTTTGCAACATCTTTTTTGGTTTTCTTTTTTATTGTTCTCTTATTTTCAAACTTACATGCCTTTAGTGTGGGTACATAAAATCTTAAGTAGGTTCTCTTGCCTAGTATGCTTCATACTCTGTTTTGTAGAAGTAGGCGCTTCCATTCCAATACACATTTTGTTTTTGTGTCCCTTCTCGCTACCTTCATGCCCAACATCCACCTTAGCATTATGGGCTACTGTAAACTCTCTTCTACCTCATTCTCAACCACTTCTTCTCATTCCTGTTTGTTCTAAGGGAAAATGTGTAGGAGAATGGGGAGGTGTGTTTATCAATAGATTAGATGAGAACAGTTTCAATGACTAGTTGTAGAAATGAGATGGAAAATGGTAAAGGAGTAACTAAGTGATGAGGCAAGGGATGTAGACTTTTTTTTCAATGTCTTATATGTGTTGCCTCTCTCTTTTTAGAATGTAAGCTTCTTGGGAAAATAATGTCTTACTTTTTTATTTTCATGTGCTGCACTTAATACCATTATCCTTCTTTATCATATTTTATTTTAAGTTGGTGTAGAAAGTTTATTTTGTATTTTATTCCCCCCAATTACATGTAAAAACAATTTTTAACATTTATTTTTAAAATTTGGAGTTCCAAATTCGCTCCCTCCTCACCCCCCTCATTGAGAAGGCAAGCAATTTGATATAGATTAAACATGTCATGCAAAACATATACCAAAAAACACCCAAAAAACCAAAACCCCCAATCCCAAAAAATAAGGAAAATAAAAAAGTACCCTTTGATCTGTATTCTGACCCCACCAGTTATTTCTCTGGGGATGGAGAGCATTCTTCATCTTTAAATTAACTGATTATATTAAACTGGTGGTGCCTTTGGCAGACATCTTTCTCTACTTGGCAAGTAGGTTTTTCCTAACTAAGGACTTTTATGGTTCTTTTGTTCTCCTTGTTATGGCAATTGTTATATTGATAACAATTTATCTGATACATTTATATTACTATATCAGATAACCTTCTGTACAAAATGTATAAGTTAAAGCCTATGTTCTTTCATCCACCCACATCCCATTTTCTGTTATTAATAACTTTTTGAATAGGCCAAGGTTGAGCAATTTCGATTTTTAAAAAATTTTCCATGATTTTTTTCTTTCTTCTACCTTTATTAATTTTGATCTTTTCTCTAGTAAGCTGGTGTTGATGTTGACCTAACAAGTTGATGATGGGACTTATATAAAACAGCTGATTCAGGAACTACAGACACCTAGATCAGTAATGAGTAGCTTCCTGTCTTTGTGATAGCCTGGAGGATGGGCCTGGCAACAGAGTCTACTCTAAGGATTAGCCTAAGTCAGTCAGTTTCGTCTTGTTGGTGATGCTTGCTACATCTGGCAATTTTGAATCACAATGTGTTGGTGGGAAGTTTCTAGGTAAAGTACAAGTCTTTGGTGTCTTTCATTCCTTATTCCTGACATATTTTTGTACCTTTTTTTCTTCTGTTGTCATTTTTTCTCACCTTTGCATTAAGAAAGCCATCAAGTATAAGATGTTCTGATTTAGTCTGAATTATGAGTGTAGTTACTTGTAGAATTTCTCTTTTGCAACTGATACTAGTGACATAATTTTCATGGTGGATTCTCAAAAGCTAGACCAGTGGAGTCCCAAACTCTGGAAGGTTCTACCATTCTGCTTTCAAGGATAGTTCTAGCAAAAAAGTGAATACACTTTTCAAGGACTAGCCTAGTTTAGTGCAGAGAAGGCCAAGACTGCCCCATTTTCTGTTAGTTTGCCACCAGAGAATTTCTCTCCGCAGCACCATCCTACTGATCAGTCAGTCTTGGCAGACCCTTCTAGAGTCTGTGCACTCCACTGGTCTAACTTGAGGACTCATTATGCAAATTAGTTCCTTAGCATACGTTGCAAAGAATAAATAATCAACTTTATGGTAATCACAGATAAGAAGCATATACTTCTGCCAATGACTGATTTCTTTACACAAATGAACATCTTTTGAAATTATACGTAGCCTAATTCATAATTCAATGAGCTCCCTTTTTTCATTTTTTTTTAACTTGTTGCCAGTACAAAAATTATTCATGAATGGGACAAGCTGAAATGACTTAATTGAATTATTCTGATTAACTGAGCATTCCTATATCCTATAAACTGATTACTAGCCTTCAAGTTAAACAAACCCCTCCCTTTTTTTTTTTGCTTTTTGGTGAGGCAATCAGGGTTAAGTGACTTGCCCAGGGTCACATGGCTAGTAAGCGTCGTGGCTGAGACTGGATTTGAACCCACGTCCTTCTGACTCCAAGGCCAGAGCCCCACCTAGCTGCCCAAGTTAAACCAAATTTCACAAACTATACACAACATGCTAAGTATATGTAATCTAATCATAGTATATAAAATGGAACTTAGAGATCATCTAGTCTCATTTTACAGAAAAGGAAATGGGTTACATGACTTGGGCAAGATCAAACATTGTTAGCGATAGTGCTAGAGTACAAATCCTCCCAGTGCTGCTTCTAATCATAAAAATGAATATTAATGATCATTTTATGTAATATAGGCAGAAAAGATCTGCACTTGCCCTCTAGAAAGTTGCTTTTCTGAATAAATCCTTTGTATAAGATGGTTTATTACTTATCTCTCATAACAATGGAGTGAGGCATAGGAAAAAAAATTATGGCTGAGACCTCACTGCTTGTTTTTCGAACAAATGGGAGTTTAGAAATTAGTTAAATTAGTATGTTAAAAAAAACCCTTCATTTTTTAGAGATGTGGGTTTCTTAAAATACATACAAAAATATCACTTTAATAAAATTAGTTATGAAATATAAAATTTATTACTAGATTATAGAAAATGTTAATAACTTGAGTTACATAATGAGCTATTAATTAAAACATTAATACAGGGTGTCCCAAAAATCTTAATGTAGTTTTAAGTTATTAAAATAAAAAACTACACTAAGATTTTGGGACACCCTGTACTTTTAAAGTCCAAACTGGTTAGAAATGATAGTTTTCTGCAGAATATTTCTATTTTTCTTGGATTGTAGAAGCAAGAAAAGGAGAGCTTGGGGGCAGCTAGGTGGAGTAGTGGATAGAGCACCAGCCTCTGAGTCAGGAGGACCGAAGTTCAAATCTGGCCTTAGATACTTGACACTTACTAGCTGTGTGACGCTAGGCAAGTCTTCTAACCCTGACTGCCTCACCAAAAAGGGGTAAAAAAAAGAGCTTAAAAATAGACAACTTTTTGTTCTATATTATCATTTAAAATGTAATATTACTTACTTGTGGCATCAGTGATTTAGCAATCATGTAAGATTCCTCGGCTTCTTTGGTTCTATTTAAATTTTTATAAGTTCTTCCTACATTCATGTGGGCCCCAATATCATCTAGAATAAAGCATTTGATACTCTACTTCATATAAAAGTATTTCATGAACAGTACTAATTATATGTATATATATATATACACACATATAATAAGAGGGTATCATATGAATACATATATAAACAAAGCAAAAACATGTATGGTCCTAAGAACTTCACCATGTTATATATAACAGGTAATATAGTTCCTCCTGTAGAGAAAAGGACAAGACAGTGATGTCTGCATCACTGTTTGCACTTACTTTATTCTAATTTGTATTATGGTTATTTTATCACTCTGATTAAATTGTAACCTCCTTGAGGGAGGCAGGGACCATGTATTTTCTTTATTTTCATGTTTCCCCTAGAAACTAGTAACACTTTGGGGGAAAAAGTCTGCCAGGGTCAACAGCTGAAGTTAAGATCTGGAATATGGTGAAACAGAGTGACAGCATTTTACCTAGCTTCACGCTTTCTGTGCATCCAGTTTTTCTAACTGACCAGCGAGTAAGAGACCTCTTCTCCCAAGGATCCAGTACATAAAGCTAAGCCTTTTCCTGATACCTTTCTATCCTCTTTTCCCCTCCTCAGTCTGTTATGACCCAAAGTTCTAGTTAGCTTTAATTAAACAAAGAGAGGACAGAAGAATATGGAGAAGAAGATAGACATCTCTTTACCATGGCACACTACAAAAACTAAAAAAAAAAAAAAAAATTAATTGAGTTAATTTCCTCATAGAGTTTCAAGAGCCCTCAGAAATCATCTCGTCCAGAAAGCTCTTCTAGAACATTTATGAGAAGCATGCCCATCTATCTAGCCCCTGCTTGAACATCAATGGTGACAGGGACTTTACTACCTCAAAACGCAGCCTATTCCATTTTGGGGGAAGGTCAAATTACTAGGACATTCTTCATATTAAGCCAACGTGTCCAGAATAAATATTCCTTACTCCATTAATAGTTTTTTGTATAATATAATTTTACCTTGGATTCAGATTTTTTTTATTCTGCCATTATTTCTGCTTGCAGATCATATATTCTGTTTTTATAATTCTTGTTTCTCTTTTAAATCATTCATTTAAACATCCTGCTGTGGTTCTACGCACTCTTGGGAATCCACAAGGTATTCTCCCTTATCTAGTGTTGATTTATTTTGCTCTGTATTGAAACACTTATTCAGACATATCTGCTGTCATTTAGTTGATCTATCAGGAAGCAATACTTCTTTCTGTAATTAATATCTTCCTTGTTGACAGTTTATCTGTTCATGCTCAAGGTGTTTAACTGAGTTTTCTTACTCCTGAGATCTTTGGTGATTTCAGTCTCTTTTCCTCATATTCCCCTACTGTTCACTTTCAGACTCTTTCCCTTTGACTGCAATGTCCTGGGGGGCTGGACTTCCATTTCAACTTCCTCTCAATGTCTCAAGTGACTTCTGGGGAGGTAGAACTGGCCCCCTAGCATTTCTTTCCCTCAAGCTTAGAGGAGCACCTCACAGCCACACATTGGTGTTCTACCCTAGTTCCTTTTGTGATGGAGAAAATGTCAAATTTTTCATTTTGTTGGCTGTATAACCTGGAACTTATCACACGGTTCAAAGTCTTTTCATTCTATTCTTCTCTGGACCCAATTCCAGTCTGACAACGTTCAACTAAAATGGAGCACCCTGGACTGAGTATAATACTCTAAAAGTGCTTTCTTTTTTTTTTTTTTTTTTTTTTGTGAGACAATTGAGGCCAGATTTGAACTCAGGTCTTCTCGAGTCCAGGGCCAATGCTCTATCCACTGCGCCACCTAGCGGCCCCCTAACAGTGCTTTAACCAGTACAAAGAAGAAAGAGATACTGCTCTTATCTTAGAAATTTAGAAGTATTTCTATCAGTGCAGGCTAAAATCATATTAACATTTTTTGTCAGTTGCATCATACAACTGGTTCATATTAACTAATGTTTTTATCTTAATCTCAATCTGATTTTTTTGAAACTAAGTGCAGGCCTTTAAATTTATTCTTATTGAATTTTACCTTATTTTTAACCTTCACCCAATCTCTCAAACTTCTCTAAATAGTAATTATGTGCAAGAAATAAATAGATTTCACCTGTCTCCCCGGTCTAGGACTCTTTCTGGATTCTGATTCTGTGATGCAAAGTATAAGCTATCTTCCCTCAACTTCTCATCATTTGTAAATTTGATCAACATGCCATTGGTCTTCATTTGAATCATTTACAAAAATGTTAATAACTAAGAAATGAAAATTGAGACATTAATCAGTAAACTCCTATAGATTTTTTCCAGATTGACATTTAAAACTAATTATTCTTTGGGTAGTTATAAACACAACTGAATATACTATCACTAAACCAATCTTGAAAATCTCGTCAATATGACCTGTTAAACAGATGAAGTTCAGTAGTACCACATCCACAGTGTTCTTATGATCTATTAGTCTAGTATTGTCATCAAAAAATGAAATATCAGCCTGGCCTGCCTCACTTATTATCAATGAATGGATAGTGACTCCTAATAGTCACTACTTCCTTTCTAAATGGCTCATAAAATATCCATTTATTCATTTGTTCTATTATTTTCCCACGAATTTACATTGATTACCAGTACATCATATGCAGAATTCATATTCTTTGCTTTTTTTTTTTTTTAAAAACTAGGTGAAAATTAGCCTTTTCTAATTTTCTACTACCTCTCTTCACTCTCCAGGTTTCCTTCACGACCAGCAATTTAGCAAAAATGCCAAAATCATTAAAATTCTGTATCATAAAATTATTATATAGGTAATTAAGAGAATTAAAGATCATTTTCTGACAGAGATGGAAGCAAAAGAAAAGATGAGTATTTCTACTTACTCAATCATCTCTTAACACTGTACCATCTGTCTTTCCTGATTACTTTCCTGCTCCAAACAAATCTTTTTTGTTTTCCTTAGCATTATTCTGGAAACCTCTACTCAAACATGGATTTTTAGCTTGGTAAAATTGACCCTGGTTTGTGTTTATTCCTTTGAACTCTTTCTTGGTTATGTCCTTCTAGTTCTAATTTTTATACATTTCTTCTAAAATCTGAGCTCTTCGGAGAGTTCCCCATGAAGCAACATCATAGAATGTTGCAACCAGGAGGGATTTAACTTTACTTTTTAAAATTTTATTGATATACTTTGTTTTTCATCATGTTCATTTCCTAATTTCCTCTATCTCACCTAGAGAGCTACCTCTACAATGAGAGTTATAAAAGAAAATAAAAAACAGTGAAGTAAAAGTAACCAACATACCAATCAAATATATGCTGTGTTCCACCTTTGTAATTGCTCAGGTCTTCAAAGAAGGAATAAGGAAGATACATTCTCCTATCTTTTCTTCATGGCCATACCAATACATAACATTCATTTTTGTTTTGGTGATTCTTCTTTCTATTGACACTACAGGAGTCACTGCGCATATTATTTTTCTAGTCCTGCTTATTTCACTTTAAATCAGTTTGTATTAATCTAGCAGAAGTTTTAAAAATCAACTCACCTGAGAGGCAGGGTGCTATCAACCTGGCTCAGGAATCACATTTCCTCTCTAATATGTACTAGATATGTGGACTAGAGGAAGTCAATTAATCTCAGGCCCCAAACAATTTTCTTTTTTTTTTCTTCTTTTTGGTGAAGCAATGGGGGTTAAGTAATTTGCCCAGGGTCACACACTCAAACAATTTTCTATAACCATAAAGTGCTGAGCAACTGATCTGTATTAGTAGGGAGTTTCTTCACTAGGAACTATACCAAGGAAATTATAGGCCCAGTTAAAAGGGGAAAAAAAAGAAGTAAAAGTTCATTTAGTTTAACTCTTCCATTGATGAGAAAAATGAATCATGAAGGGATTTAAGGGACTTGCCCAAGATCTCACAGACAGTAAGCAACAACAGTAAGATGAACCTTACCTTTCATGTCCTTAAGGTTAAAAACTATTTCCACCCTATAACACACTGCTACTACTGGCTGATTATAGTACTGGATGATCCAGGATTGCATTCAGACTACAATAAAGCATTGGATGGAGTAGGATGTTTCCTAGAGGAAAGTTCAAATACGACAATACAAAACAAAGCCCTTTTTCTTCCTTCAAGTATCATCAAATTAGGGAAAAAAAAAACCTATTAAAAATTACTTGAGAGTGATATTGACTTAATGTGTACTACTTACCTGGCTGAACATGTGTTGCCTGTAGGAAGTACTTTAAGGCTCTCTCAAAATTCTTTTCATTTTCTAAAGCATGACCCACGTTATTCCACAGTTTAGCATTATTTTTATTTACCTTAAATACATAAAGCACATGAAAATATGAATATAAGATGCCCAGTTTTAATAGCTATTTTTAATTTTAACATATTCCTACTATTGCAACTACTAACACATTTATATAGTATTTTAAGGTTTACACAGTGCTATCCTCAAAATAATACTATGATTTTAGTAGTATAAATATTATTATTTCCATTTTACAAATGAAGAAATAGAAGTTCTGAGAGGTTAAGTCACCTGCCTATGGTTACATAATTATTAAGTGATAGAAGATGATATTCAAACATGAGTCTTCTAAAACCAACTCCATTGTTCTTCAATTACTCCACGAGGTACGATATACTTTAAGGTATCAAATATTCTGAGTAGAAAATGTATTAGAATGCAAAAGTTGCACTGGTTTTTTAACATAGCAATGTTTAGAATGCATGAGATCACTTTTTAATATGTAGACTAAGAAACACTGCAGTATCAACCCTGAAAACTGGGTTAGTGGAACTTTATGGCTGGGAATTAACTACATTCTCTCCTACCAGGGGATTCAGCTATATGAAAATAGCAATTATAGTTAATTCCCATTTTATATTTGTGATGGTGTATCCCTAACAGGACTATGTTCCTAACATTAAAGAAAAATACACTTTTAGGAGCTTTAGGATCTAATATAGAACCATGAGTAACAGACGGTATCCACACTGATATCCACAAATATCAACAGAACCAGAGGACTGACTCTGGTTGGATGTATTCTCTACAGAAATCTTACATGAAGACATAGACAAGACTTGTATAGGATAACAAGGCATAGATGTATTGTGACTTTCATTAGCAGAGGTACTTACACCCTTATTTAAGTACATGAAGCCTTTCTGGTTTAGAATAAGCTGAATTCAGAGGGGCAATAAAAATAAGGAAACAATGAGTCTTTATTAGGGTAAGAAGAAAATTTCCCTTTTAACAATCTTCCCTATCCTAACAGAACCCAAAATAATAGATGAGTATCTAAGTTTTAAATTGATCATTGTTACAGCACTACCATGTATAATGTTTTTGTGGTTCTGCTCACTTCACTATGCACGAGTTCATAATAGTCTTCCCTGGTCTTTTTGAAACCATCCTCCTTGTCATTTCTTGTAGCATTCCATCACAATCATATACCACAACTTGTTTAGCCATTCCTCAATTAATAAGCATCCTCCTGATTTCCAGTTCTTTGCTACCATAAACAATCAACACAATCAATAAAGCTGCTACATTTCTGAACAGATCCTTTTCCTTTGATCTCTTTGGGATACAAATCTAGTAGTGGTATTGCTGGATCTAAGGGTATGTACACACAGTTTTACAGCAGCAAATCTCCAGAATGGTTGGTTGGACTAATTCACAACTCCACCAACACTGCATCAGTGTCCTTATTTTTCCACATCTCCTCCCGCATTTGCCATTTTCCTGTTCTGTCATGTTAGCCAATCTGAAGCGGTATCTCACAGTTGTTTCAACAGGAATTTCTCTAGTCAGTAGTAATTTAGAACATTTTTTCTTGTGACTATTTATAGCTTTGATTTCTTCTTCTGAAAACTACCTGTTCATTTTCTTTAACCATTTATCAACTAGGGAATGGCTCTTACTTTTATAAATTGGGATCAGTTCCCTAGGTGTTTGAGAAAAGAGGCCTTTATGAGAGAAACTTGCGGTATTTCTTCTAGCTTCCCGTCTTCCTTCTAATTCTGGCTGTATTAGTTTTGTTTGTGCAAAAGTTTTTACATTTCAGGTAATCAAAATTACCTATTTTACTTCTCACGAAGTTCTCTATCTCTTCTTTGGTCATAAACTCTTTCCTTTTACCCACAGATCTGACAGATACATTTTTCTATGCTCCCTTAATTTACTTGTTATCACTCTTTATAGCTAAATCTCTTAACCACTTTGACCTCTTGGCAACTGCAGTGACATATCGATCTGTGCCTAGTTTCTGCCAAACTGCTTTCTAGTTTTCCGAGCAATTTTTGTCAAATATTGAGTTCTTACCCCAAAAGCTTGGATCTTTGGGTTTATCAAAAATTAGATTACTAAGCTCATTTACTATTACGGATGTATCTAATCTATTTCACTGACTCACCACTCTATTTCTTAGCTAGTATCAGACTGCTTGATGATTACCACTTTGTAATATAGTTTGAAATCTGGAACTGCTAGGCCACATTCCTTCACATTTTTCTTTTCATCAATTCCCTTGATAGGCATGACTTTTTGTTCTTTCAGATAAATTGTTCTTATTTTTTATAACTCCATAAAATAATTCTTTAGTAGTCTGAATGGCATGGCACTGAGTAAGTTAAATTAAGTAGAATTGTTATTTTTTATGTATTGGCTCTACCTACCTATCAGCAATTAATATTTTACTTAAATAGTTAAGTTAAAATTAAAATATTATTAAATTAATTAATATTAATAAATAACTGTTTAGAGTGTGTCTTTGTGTGAAATGTGTCTTGTAACTGTGTTCATGTAATGCCTGGGTTTTTCTTGGCAGGCAGACTACCAAGTATTTTAAATTGTCTGCAGTTATTTTAAATGGAATTTCTCTTTCTATCCCTTCCTGCTGAGTTTTGATGGTCATATATATAAGTGCTAATGATTTATGTGGGTTTATTTTATATCCTGCAGCTTTGGTAAAGTTGTCAATTATTTCAACTAGCTTTTTAGTTGATACTCTGGGGTTCTGTAAGTATACCATCTACTGCCTACTTTTATTCCTTCAACTTCTTTTTCTTATCTTATTGCCATAGCTAGCATTTCTAGACTAATTCTATTTCTATATTTCTATATTTCAAGTCTAATTTATTTCACTTCTTTAAAGATTCTAGAAATATCTACTGTAGGAGAGAATCACCTCATTTCAAAAACTTTACCTTACATCAAGAGGCAACATGGCACAGTGGATAAAAAGCTAGTCTTGGAGTTAGGAAGACATGGGTTCAAAGACCTGCTTCTGACACATACTACCTGTGTGACCATGGGCAAATTGCTTGTCCTCTCACTGAGTCCAAGCAACTCACAAGACTCTAAGTTAAAGGTAAGGTGCTGGTCTATATTGGTGAAGGGAGTTTCCCTACTGGGCAATTCCTATAACATAACAGATTTGGATAAAAAACAAAACCAAAAACTACCACATACATATCTTCCTGATGAAAAGACAAATGATTATTCCAAGGAACAGATGATATAAAGGATATGAAAAAAAAAACCAAAGTATAAAATGCTATATAGATGTAATGTACTATTATTGTTAAGTAACTTCCCCATTTATGTTTTATTACTTTGAAAAGTCTCTAATTATTACTATTGGGCCTAATTCCTCAATTTTTACTTACCATCTCTAACTCAGTCTCATCATCTCTTTAGGTGATCTACATATTATCAAAGTATGAAGTTTCCATAGCATCTTCTTTCTAGGATAAAATTTTTACCCTTTTTATGTGGCTACCTTCTGCATGGCCCTATCTTACTTGAGGCATTTGTAGCATAGAAACAAAGTACTTCAGTGGCTATTTTCCATCCACCAAGTATCTAACAAACTAATATTTCAGTTTTATGTTCTAACAACACACTGGCAAAAATTTTTTTTAAATTTATTTTGAGGAAGTAATATATTAAATATATATTCTAAATACATACCCACGGATAATAATAAATTCTTTTGTTTAAACACCAGAATAAAATTTTTTGTTTAATATGAGAAAATATTAATATATGCTCTGGATATATACTTCTGGATTAATACATATTTAGCTTAGCACAAGATCTGGCAAAGGATAAGTCATTAATAAATGCTAGGTGACTTAGTGCATCACATCACAAATTCTCTATGGAGTTTAGAAGTCTCTTCTATTACTAAATCAAAAGTGAAACAAAACAAAACAAAAACAAAATTGGTTGTGCTTCACAAAGGCGGTTTTGATATATGCTTTCCAGTCATATTGAAAAACACTTTACCTACCTTTAAGGCAGACATAAACAAGGTATACTCAGATTCCCAATCCCAGTTTCTGTGAAGTGTTTTTAAGGCATGAGTGATCACCACTATAGACAGACAAACCCAGGACAGTTTTTTTAGCACACTGTTTAAGGAAAAAAGTAAAATCAAAATTATATAGAGTCTCAGTTGGAAGTGACTTCCAAGCAATCAAGTCCAATTTATACCTGATAATAAATCTCTCTGATAAATTACAAACTTTTTGTTTTATGAAATGGAAGACTTTTATATTTATAAATATCAGTTTCAAATCTGTTCTACAGCAAAGATGATTACATTGGCCAAAAATTGCCTGAAGTGAAATATCCTGAAATTAGGTTTAAAAATTTCCCCTGCTTAAGCCTTTTAGCTATCAAAAATACAAGTTGGCTAAAAGTAGCTTTTAAAGTTAATTGACCTTTTAACATATATAAAATGGAGATAACAATCCCTATCTTTCTGATTGTGGGGGTGGGAATAATAAATATACATGTTCTTTGTAAACTAAGATGCAGTATATAAATATTATTATAATGATCACTTCATAAACCATAACAACAATTTCAAGGTAAATATACTGATATAAAATATAAAAGTGGAGAATATTGGAATAATACACAGCTTGGGGTTTAAGATCTTCCTACTAGACCTTAAGGTCCTCGTAACTACCCAATACCTAACAAAGTGTTCTGAAAAGAGCAAGTATCTAAGTAAATGCTTGTATTGTATCAAGAAATAAAAGAGATCAAAGGCTTGTAGACCACCTAGATGTGTTTTATATATCACAAATATTTTGTTCCAAGAAAAGTCAGAAGACACTGGATGCAGAGAACATAGAATGACATTAAAAAAACTTGTGCGGTAGCTAGGTGGTGCAGTGGATAAAGCACCAGCCCTAGAGTCAGGAGGACCTCAGTTCAAATCCGGCCTCAGACACATGATACTAGCTGTGTGACCCTGGGCAAGTCACTTAACCCTGTTTGTCTCAGTTTCCTCATCCGTAAAATAAGCTGAAGAAAGAAATGGCAAACCACCCCAGTACCTTTGCCAAGATAACTCCAAACAGGGTCACTAAGACTTGGACATGACTGAAATGACTGAACACTATGTGCCAAACACTACGCCAAGTGCTGGAGATTTACAGAAAGTCTTTGCACTCTAATGGGGGAAACAACATGCAAAAAACTATGATAAGGAGAGAAGGCAATTTCTATGAAAATACTGCGAAAGCAGAACTGAAAGGCTTGGCAAAAGACTGGACACATGGAGTAAGTGTAAGGAGAGAAACTGAAGATGACATTGAGGTTGACAGCCTAGGTGATAGACGTAATTTGCAAGAGTGTCATGTCTGACTCGAGACCAAATTAGAAAGATAAAGCTGAGATAATAACTGGGTGACAGCACCTCCAACCCAGCCTCCTTAAATAAACTATTAATATTAACTAAAATGAAAGTGGACAGAGGTAGAGATTTTAACTAACAACATTTCCTAAAGGAGGCTCTTGCTTGAGCAAAATAGTCACTCCAACCAGTACTTAGAAAGGGGCCTAGAAATTGCCAATAGGTAAGAAAGCAATATTTTCTTGGCAAGCAGAGACATGCAGTCTGGAGTGATTGGCTGAGACAGCAAACTCATTTGCAAACATCACAAATAAAGAGGCCAAAAGAACACTTAAGATTAAAGAAAAAAAAAGGGTGTAACAATGGTGTCAAAAGTACTAAAGTTTAGAATGAGTCAAGGCTGGTAATGAAAACTAATAATAAAGAAGCATTTTTTTTTTTTTAAAGGCAAAGGCTGTTGCGGAAAAGAAGATCAAAGGCCTAGAGACATTTCTTAGGGTAGATGTGACTACAATAAATGAAGGAAAGTCAGAACTGCTTAATTTTTGTTTCTCTTTTCTTTTTCAAGGAGAATGACATCTGGACTAGCAAGGACAGAATTTTTAAAAAGGGGAGATAGTATAGGACTTGGATTCAGAAGATCAAGTTCTGACTCTACCACTTTCTATCTTATGACTTCAAGCAAATATCTCACTTAATCTGTAAAATGAGGAGTACGAATTGGATTTCTAAACTCTTGACACTATGATTCTGGGCAATCAGCATTGAAAACCAAGATAAGTGAGAAGTATAGCAGTGTATATAGGTCTCCCCAATAAATACAATTCATAAGGCCTTGACAAACTACATCTAAGCATTATGAGATATGATTGCTGATCTAATGCTAGTGATTAAAAAAAAAGTTGTGGTGGCCAGTAAAGTTGCTACAAGATTACAAATACATGAAAAAACTGCTTCCATTTTCAAATGACAGACTGATAATCTTGAGTTTGATTCACAGACAAATGCTAGGACTTTTGTGATTTGTGAGCACATAGAAATGTGGTGATTATTATTATTTAAATTTAAATTTAATTTTATTTTTAAACATTCCAATACCCTTTCTACTTCACTTGAGAAAGGGAGAAAAATAAAACCCCTATTACAAACATTTATTGTCAAGTAAAATGAATTCCTGCACTGTCCATGTCCAGAAAGACAAAAAACCCTCAATCTATGCTAAGACTGTCACCTTTATCAGAAGGTGGGGAGCATGTTTCATCAAAAGTCCTCTGGAATCATGGTTGGTTACTGGGTCGATCAGAGTACCTAAGTCTTTCAAAGTTGTTTGTCTTTACAATATTATTTCATTGTATACATTGTTCTCCAATTCTGTTCACTTTGAGATGTAGTGATTACTAAAGGCCAGAATAGTTTTACCATGCCAGCTTATCCTTATTTTCTCTAAATACTTTGTATATATTTGCATTTACTCCCTTTCCTGTGCCATTAGAACGTCAGCTCCTTGTCAGTAGGGATTGTTTAATCAATTGTATTTGTATCCCTAGCATGTTGTTTGGCTCAGATTAAGTGCTTTATATATATTGCTAATTGATTTCTTTCTTGTCACGATTACAAGAGCAGTAATTGGGAAATGCTTAAAGTATGGTATACCTGGATTACAGAGTAAAGCAGGTGATAAAGTTTCTCATGCCATCTCTGTGGACAAGATGGGAAATATGGGCTAGTAGGATTCAGAGCTATTTGAAGAATAAAACCCAGAGAACAGTGATTAAGATTAATATCAACCAACAGGCAGATTTCTAGAGTATCCAAGGAATCTGTCTTTGGCCTTTTTTGTTCAAAGTTTTTATCAATGAGTTGGATGAAGACAGATGGCAAGTTCGTCAAGTCTGAAGATGATACAAATTTGGCAGAATAGGTACCATGTTGGGCAACAGATTCAGGAACTAAAACTACCCAAAGGATCTCAATCAGCTAGAATGATGAAATTTAATAAGAGTTGAGTCCTATATGGGTTCAAAACACCCACGGCACAATTACAGGATGGGTGACAACATAACGAGGCAAGAATTTGGGTGAAAAAGCTCTGAGTTTTAGTGGACTTCAAAGCTCAATATGTTAACAGTGGGCAGGTGGTCACGGACCTAGCAGACAAGAGGCCACCAAAAAGCGTCCAAAGAAGGAGCTGAATCCAGGGATAAAGCACTAAGTACATACAAAACCAATCAGGAATGCTATTTAGAAGGACTAGGGAGGTTGAACTAGAACAAATTATGTTACTATTATTAAACACATAGCTACTTTGTCCAGGAACACCTATGTTTGATTCAAAAGGCAGCACAGTGTAAGATCTTGACTTTTCAACTTATGACACATGTGTGACCTTAGGCAAATAATTCACTCTCTTGTCATCAGTTTCTTCCTCTGTAAAATGAAGGAATTGGAGTACATGACCTCTAAGAGTCATGATTCCCTAGATTTTTTGGCTCTAAGTCTAACATAAACATTTGGTACAGGGGCTGAAGAACCTCCAAAATTGACAGGGCAAGCAACTGAGGTGAATGACACACAAATATTAAAGAGATTAAAAAAAAACTATTAAAATAAAACTCAAAACAAGAATGATTCCAGTATATTCACACACCCACTTTAAGATACTTGGTTCAGTCTGATTTACTTTTATGACTGGTAATCATCAAATGGAACTAAAATTTTAACTTACTTTCTTTTGGATAATTTCCGCCATCCGTGAGCAACTAAAATACAGAATCCCATGCTAGGTACATACAACACTCGCTCTGCAACCACAAATCCAACCGGGAAAAAGAGGTTTGATGCAGGAATAAATGGCAATGCCATTAAGCATAGTGCCTATAAAGAAAAATACCCAGAGATTTTGATAAATTTAATTAGATCAATGAAACACTCAAACATAGCTCTTTTTTAGCTGACTGAAATGATTCAGTGACTAAGACTAATAATAATGTGGAAGAAGTACATATGAAACCTACTTTAAAACTAACTGAACCAAGGGTGAGGATACTGCTAGGTTTAAGAAAACTTTAAGACTGCTTGATGGGGAGAGTTGGGCTTCTTACAGTAACAGAATGCATTTAGCACATCTGAATGTACTCCCAGAACATTTGCTAATGTTAGAATCTCAAAGAGGACTTTGTTAAGGAATAATTACTAAAAAGCAGAAATTATAATTTCTACTGTATACATATTCTACTTATTCAATGAGACCTTAAATGTAGGGTAAGAATACTAGATTCAATCTGAATTGTAGAACTATTCACAAAGTCCAATTTTACTGGTTTTCTATGCAATCCATTCCTATAGACTTTTATTAAAACAGCAATCAAAAATAGCAAACATTTCCATTTCTACATTAAAGAACACAAATAAAAGTTCCTTACTAAATCTCAAAAATTTGAAACATTTAACACATTTCTTTGAATCAAGGCATTGATGACTGACAAATACAAATTAAAAACTGGAACAGCAAACTAGCACACAAGATTAATAATAAAACAGGTTTTCTATTATATTTCTTAACTGCTTGGAGTAACCATATGATTATACTAAAACCTTGTACTGTGAAATAAATTTAATCCTTATTCTCTCTAAGGACTTCAACATCCTCATCTCACTATTCTGTGATTATCTAGAGTAGCTAATTGAGTGAATCAAAAGTAGGTCTGGCCTCAGAAGATTTGAGATAAAACTTATTTTTCTCCTTGCTTCAGGATTTATAAAACAGATGGCTTCTATTCAGTCCTTTTAATTCTACAGGAGCAATAAAATACATAAATAAAACTGAAAGACTTTCATGAATTTTTATGAATGCCTAATAATGGGAAAAAAAAACCAAGAGGTAATGCAAAGCACCTTATATAGATTTGCAGGTAAAACACTCCAAACCAAAAAGCTGAGACACAAAGTTTAGATAAGACAAAGCCCTTGCCTTCATGAAACTAAAATTTTAAATGATAAAAGGTACTATAAAAAACAAACATCCTTTTTGAGTCATAGGCTTTAACGTAGTTTAATAAAAAAGGAATAATCATTAAGTGTCACTAAAAAAAAAAAGCAGTATAAGGCATTAAAAAAAAACTATTTGTAAGAAAGAATTTCTTACCATTAACACAGTTTTCGAAGAATTACCAGGATATCGAACACTGAATACTAATAGCGACCCCAAAAAGCAAAAGAAAATAAATGTGGCAAGATTTCTAATGTCTAAAAAGGACTCTATAAGTGGTATTGTTCCCATTGTCCAATCACAGCACAGTTCTGAGGGATTAAATAGAAGCCACGCATTTACAGGAAGGAGGTAGTTAAAAGTCAATTGCCTTGTAGGAGTTGGGCTTACAGCAGCTGGATTGTCAAACCTGGAGGTATGAAGGGAGAGAAAAAAGAAAGTTTTGAAATTATGCTTTCAAAGTGTTCAAAACAATGTATATAAATAAGAATTAAAACAAATATCTTAACCCTAAGTAACAATTTAAAAGTTTATTTTCTAAGTCAATGAGAAATCAGAACTCAGTTATGTTCTTTCAAACTTTTTGGTTAAAACAAAAAATGAAAACCTATTGCTTCTCTTAAATAAAAAATAACCTTAAAATGTATTAATATTAGTAAATACTATAGCTAGAAGCCTACCTAGAACCCAAGATAAATACTAACTTTGATGCTCAAAAATCAGCATCCAGGATATAACCCCTAGAATAATAATATTAGATGACATTTACATACTGCTTTTAGGTTTTCCAAATGCTTTACATAATTATCTCATCTGAACCTTAAGATAACACTGTGAGATATTATACCCACTTTACAGATATGGAAACTGAGGCTTAGAGATAAGTGACTTGCTCATGGTCAAATAGTAAGATCAGAGACAGCATAAGCACCCAGGTTTTTCTGCCTTCAAGGCCAGAATTCTATCAATTATTATTAGTATACTGCCTCCCATGTAGTTTATTTAGTACAGTTAATTGATTAAATTAAATTGATTAAATCACAAAGGATAAGGCCCTCTTATAATGGTACTCTAAAGTATATGTGCATCACCCACCTCTAATCTAATTGCAATGATACATATTGTTACCACTCTGCATCATTCCCACCCCTCTTTTTACACTGAAACACTGTTATGAGTAAATTGTTTAGAAATGACTTTCATTTGATGAATGGCCATAAAGCTAAAGTCAACCAGTCTGAAATGAATTAACTAGGCAAAAGAAAACCTCTAAGTTCAATAATGTAATGACGAAGCTGGCAGGTAATATTTGGATCCTCTTTTGCATATTATTTTCTGTGTGTTTCCAATTGAAGATTTCAGTGTTAAGTAAGGTTTTTGAAGGGAGACAGCATCTCTGGAATGAAAGGGTAACTCCTCTTTGATGGTAAGACAGCTGTTAACAGCTCAGCACTTCTCTAAAGCACTTTTATTTAATTGGTGGAACATGGACACAAACCAGAAAAAGTCCTTATTCTATAGGATGATTTATTGTTAAGAATTCAAAGCTACAGAGCTTTCATAGCATTATAGTTAATTAGACAGGCGTCTGTTAAACAAAATACTTGCCTATAATGCCTGTTTGTGTAATGGTATTTCACTTACAGCAAGTCAAATAGCACACTGATTTGTGTGCTACAGGCTATGCTATGAAAACTGATGTTTTTAAGAATAAAGTCACAAAATGTTTGTTTAAAATTGAGTGCTTTAAATCCAAGTGTTTCTGAAATATCCATGACCATTTATAATTGTAATCCATTGCAAAACTTGAAAAGCATAAACTTATGGCTCTTACCTGGTAAATACTGGAAGCTGAGATTGAATAACCTGGACTCTGATCACAACAAGCAATAGCGTGCTGAACATCAAGACAATAAGCTTCAGCAGTATCTGCAGCAGAGAAAAAGGAATACTGCCCTTTCCACGAAGAATCTGCACAGCAGTAGTATATAATAATGGCAATGTATACTGGCAAGGAGAAAAGAGTTAAATAACTTAGTTCATTAACAAACTTAAAACATTAAACACAAATTCAGATAGCTATAAAATATAACAAATTCACAGAGGTGGTGAGAAATGAGCAGAAATTTTAAAATATGAGATAAGTCTACAAATGTTCTAAGACAAAATAATTGAGGCCAATAAAAATATATTTAACAGAATTAGCCTTCAGTTTGAAATTGGGTCTAACATTATCAATAAAATTTCAGAGTTAGTGAGGAAGAAGGTAGTAGATCTTAAGACATCAAGCTGTGTTTATTTTCCATTAAAATAGAAATTAAAATTAATTTGCCTCGATTTAAAGAAAAAAAAAAGTTGAATCCTATTGTTCAAATACCACATAAAAATGGAATTGAATTGTTAAAAACAATGCAAAAGTTTAGATTTCTACTTACTCCTTGTGCTATAAATACTTCATAGACACAGCATATCCCCACGACAGTGACCCCTTGCTCTTTACATAACGTGGCAATAGCTACTAGAATCACAGTCAGTAATATTGGAGTCCATACTATAAGGAACAAAAAACACTTTATGAAATAATCTGACAATAGCAGAAGAATAACCTGCATTTGACTGCTATTTGCGATTAACGGAAAAGGCCCCAACATACTTCTATAAGCCCTATGTCACATACTTCCCCAAAGCCGCCTTGTTTAAAATGTAATATGTATTTCAATTTTATGAGAATCCTTCAGTTTAATTTGGACAGGAATGTTAAATATTATACTTCTAATCTAAATTGCAGAGAGAGCTTGGTGCAGTAGAGGACAGGGCCCATTCAAACACTGCCATACAAACTGGCTGATCATTTAATCTCTCAGTGCTCCCACACAACTCTTAAATAAGAAGCCTTCTTGCCCTCCAACAATTTGTCAATGAAGAAAATTAGGTTTCAGTAATACTGGGCAGATTTATTTATTAGAGTAAAGGACCTTATAGAGGCCCTGACAAATGGATAAATATGGAAGAGAGCAGAAGAGAGATTTTAGAAGTCAAAAACCTGTTTGCTTTTGACCAAATGATTCTACTACTGTTGGGCATGCATCCTAAAGAGGTCAGCAAGAGGAAGATCCAACATTTGCTAAAATATTCAGGGTACTACTTTTTTTTGGTAGCAAAAACGTGGAACCAAAGTGAGTGTCCATTGACTGATACACAACTGAACAAACTGTGAAACATAATGGAAAATACAGAAATAAGAAATGACAAAGGAAGTATTCAGAAAAACTTGTGAAGAGACAGAAGGACAAATGAATACAGTGAAATAAGTAGAACCAGAAGAACAAACACAACTTCTACAGCAAAGTAAATGAGAAGAACATTAAAATGAAGTAAATTAACGGCTAATAACGGCCCTCGTTATTAGAGCATGATCTAGGAGGATAGAATGTTGCATCATTACTGTATCAGTTTGGGGTAACTTTGATACAAGGTAGTGTGCTGTCTCGAAAGAGTGAGCAGGGTAGTGTAGCATGGGGAACAGATCCAGAGGTGACTGATGTAAAACCAAGAAATAAAATGTATTAAAACAAAACAAAATTTGTTTGCCAGGAGTGATTTTTGGGGAAGGAGACAACGCAGGACCAGGTGCAGGAGAAGAAATGAGGATGGCAAATTCAGTGTCTATAATGAGATCTATGTGACCTAACAGAAAGCGAGGCATAAAGTAGTAGGAAATATGGTACAATGGAGACAAATTACAAAGGGCTCCAAGAGCCAAGTACAGGAATCATAAATCGTGCACTTTGTGAGAGGCAGGCCTTGCTAAGCAATATATGTACATAAGCAAAGAGCTCTAATGCAAAAAATACTGATGGGCTACTCCAGCCTTCCACCAATTACTGCACATCAAGGCTGTCAAACTGGTTTACTATGAAATTAGACATATTCATTGTTACATGGGCAGGTCCATATAGTTAAAATTCTATGTAATTCTGCACAAACTGAGTCGGTATTTCTCCATGTGCCTGAATTACATAAAGAATTATAGTTCTTACATGTGGGTCCTAGTCGTGTCCTCACCAGTCATCCAACTTTGGTAAAATTACTTAACTACTCTGGGCTTTAGTTTCTTCATCTATCAACGAAATCATTCTCTTAAAAAAGTAGATTCCCAGTGAAAAATCTATTAACTACTACTTCTAGAAATACCATACTTCAAACATCCGTGATTCCACTGGTATGAGTATGTGAGTTGGATTTAGTAGAGGAAAGAAAATCATAACAACTTTATATGCTTAATCACTTTTCTAGCCTTAGAGTCCCTTCTAGATATAAAACTGTATGGTTCCAAGCTGATTTTACACATAAGCCATTCTTTATCATTTGCCCAAACCAAGGAGGGGGAGGGAGAGGATAGTGGCACGACTAATTCAAAACGCAGGTAACATCCGAATCCTTCATATTTGCCTTTCAAATGCCTGACACATTATTCTGCAGTATATATTCAACAAAATCAGTTTGTATTCTGCAAGTACGTAACTTTTGAAAAAGATTACAATGTTTCAAATGTATTGGATACTAAATAGTAGAATGCCAGTTTGAAATAAAAAACGTTAACAAGCATATGAAGCGAACCCAAAGTTAATTTTTCTTTACGTAATGGGTGATACCACAATTTAATTTATGTCAACTATATGAAGAGGAAAAAATAACTTTTAGCTCACTTCAAATGTATATCCACAGCAGATCTGCAGAGTCAATAAGAACCTGCATCAAAGATGTGCCACTATTACCTCAGTATTACGGCTAAAAGAAAGCAGTAAAGGTTAAATTAATCACACCAAATAGAGATATTCAAAAATAAAGCTGAGAATAAGACTAAAAGCATTTAAATCGCAGGGCATTTCTACATAGCACAGGTTCATGTTATGAGAAAATACATATATTCAGATATGTTTTCAATATGGAAAATATGATATTCTTCTGTTGCTTTAATGATAAATCCAAAAGCGGTATGCATGTTAAAGCAATTCTTGCATCCTCTTACAAAATACTGTTCTTTACTATTCTATAGTCAAAGAAAGTGTAGACATTTACCTATGGTATTATTCGGACCTTTAGATTTTGTGTATGACAAAAATGCAGTTAGAAAAAAGATTGATGATAAAAGTTCTGCTCTTCCAACCACACCTGTCACCTACAGACAAAGGAAGATAGAACAGAAAATTAGTTAATAAGCAATGCTTCAAAAACCTGATTTTCTAAAAAATTAGTAATGCCATAAATGTTAACACTCTTGGAGTGCCCTCATGTGGTGAGTGCCCATAACTTCCACTTACTCAAATTATTCTTGTCTGAAATATATATTTCAGTGTTAAACACATCTTTAAGATTTAGCCACTATGCTGGGGACCAAATTCCTTTCTTCTGTAAATATTTTAACCCACTGAGACATCTTCCCCAGAACATGCAGTTGAGTAACAAGGCAACCAAGCCTAAAGCTAGCAAAAATAAAAAGTTTTGTCATGGATGATTCTAATCATAGATGTGCTTTGCATTTTAAAAAACTTAACATGAAAATCTGAATTAAAAAAATATTAGTAATCATCATCATCCAAAGTGAAAAAGGATTCTTTCCTTTTTAGGAGAATTAAATTTAGGGTTCCTTTAAATAATGAATTGCTCTAGTCCATTCAAGTATGACTTTTATACAACTCTTTAGAAACATATCTTCTTGACTCAAGTGACATACAATAGTATAAATGAAGTCTTTGAAGCATTGTCATGAATGCTAATTATTTCTTCCTGTTATTCTGCTTATAAAGACAAATGAATAATCACCTCATTGCATTATGGTATCATTATAGCAAATACCACTTTACTTTTCCAGAGGCCATTTTTTCCAAAAATCTTCTTAAACAATGATGAGAATTAGGAATACAGAACCAAAGGCCTCTCACTAGTTAAAAGAGATGTTACAAAACCCACACACTAAAGATTCTATGCATTGCACATAACAGTACTTAATAACTTAATAATAACTTAATAGTAACTTAATAATGAATGGACGAACTGAATATTATCATAGCAGAAAACAGGACCTTCATTTTAGACATAATTCTGTAAGCTTGGTTAATCTGATTTCTCAGCTCATGGAAGATTTAAAAGAAAACACTAATGACTTGCATTTTATGTAATGCTTTAAGATTTCTAATGTTTTCCTTAAGATAATCCTGTGAGGTAGAGAGGGCATGTATTATCTCCATTTTACATTTGAGAAAAATGAGGCCTGGAAGGGTTAAGTGACTTGGCCACAGTCAACCAGCTAAATAAATCTAGGAGCTGGGTCTTGAACTCTGACTCCAAGTTCAGGACACTATCTTCATAGACAGAATCCAGACTGCTGGGACATCAGAGATCTCTCAGTCTAATTCTCTCATTTTACAGATGAGGAAACTGGAATTAAACTTTAAGTATGAAACAGATTGTGGGTCAGGACTTCATAGTACAGGTGGAAAAACCTGAGTTAACCCACCACCACCAGTAATAACTGTTGTCAGCTGGGGGACTGTGGAACAGACAAGGAGCAGGGTGAGTTAACTTTGCTCCTAGGGAGATTGAAATCCATCTGAGACTCTTTGGGCAAGGACCACTATTGGGCAGATCTCTTCTAAGACACAGAAACTTTTTATTACCTGTTTTTAGCTGAGGATCACCAACTATGTTTTTTAGCAATAGAATTTTTTCACTCGGACCCTCAGGCCCTGACTCATAGTAGCTACGAAAACCCCTCTAGGGATAAACAGTAACTGGCCAAGACCAAAGACCAAAGAACACTGCCCACTGAATGCTGAATAATAACGAACAATTTAATGAAGTTTCTGTTTTCAAGTCTAATGGTTTTTAAGTAAAACTGTCCTTATCAGAAGTTACTATATTTGCTAATTATTTTTCTCTGGCATAGAGGTACTTGGCAGTAGATAGAGTGCTGGGCTGGAAGGAAAAGCACTTAGATCCTATCAAGGCCTTAAATACTAGCTATCTAACTCGGGCAAAATTGCAAAGAACTCTGTTAGCACCAGAATTGAGATCTGAGATCTACACTGGTGGAGGAAATTCCTAATGCTGTTTGTAAAGAAGTTACAGTGTTGACTGTGAGATTTTAAAAGATAATTTTAAAACAAAGTTTAGAAAAAAGGAGACTTCTATTAGTTTTAATTTAATAATATTTGTTATTTTACTATTGGTGTGACTATTTTATTTATAGCCCCAGTAGCTGGCACATACTATGTGCTTAATCAGTGTTTGTTGATTAAGATTTAGGTTAATAACAGAAAACGTAGTAAAGCTTTTTAAATATGAATCAAATTTTAGTCTATTTAAGCTGGCATATTCTACTTATTATCTGCAGAGAGGGAAGTTACTGGATATGAAAAAGAACTACACATGTTCACTAATATCTAGTATGTGGCCCCTTCAATACCCAGCTATATGGTAGTCTAGATAACAATATTAATCATGACAGTTTTTAGAATGGTCACCCCATTTTCGGAACACAGCTGTTCAGAACAGAGCTGTTGAACTGAAAAATGATTTTCATTTTTACTGTTAAAAATATTAGGCAAACGAAATTTACTACAATGTGTATATTAAGTATTTTTATCAAATGCCTTTTATTTTCAGGTTTGAATAAATTAAATGAATTATAGTGACTGATTTCAAGGATTATATACATATTAAAATGTAGTACGTAAAATTCATTACTTCACCCAGAAGTTTTTCCTCTGATTACACCAACTAAGAGACTAGCATTTTGTCTCCTTAAGTAGTAACATCTAAATACGTCGGGAAAAAAAAAAACTTTCAATTATTTTTTCTTGAAGAAATATTTTATTATAAAGGTTAAAATGCTACTGGAAATTTGCTTTTAGGCTTCAAAGAAGAAAAAAAGTATCAATAAGGATAAAAAAAAATGTATTTTTAGGTTTACCTACCGCTTCTGTGTGTATAGGGTGCACAGCAAACATCAAGGAGGCAATTATACTACTCCTGGAATCCAGAAATAATTTGCAGACTTTAAGGAAGACCACACTAACCACAGCATGAAAAATCAGATTTAGCAGGTGATAAGATACTGGTTTTAACTCACTATATAAATAATTTAAACGAAATGTCAAAACTGTTAAAGGACGGTAAGATTTGTGACTTCTTTCCTAAAAGGGAAAAAAATAAATTTAATTATTACAGTTTTATTTAGTCATGATTTCAAATTTACATATAGCATGACCACTATGTTCAAAAGTATTCTGTACTTACTTTATTCCTTAGCTAAGGCTGAGAAAGGTCAAGAATATAATGATTTAAAGCGATAGTAATCATCACTAAACAACCAAAATTCTTCTAAAGAGGAAAATTCAGGTAGAAAGCTACATAATTTGTTTAGAAGTCCTTTTTCCCCCTTTTCAAAGTAAGTTTTAGAAGCTAAAGTACTTATATTCAAAGTATTTTTCAGAATGATGTTAGGAATGAAGGCCAAGAATGGACAGTAAAGGAAAGAGAATAGGAATTCCTCTTTAATAGATATGGAAAGAAGAAATGTGGGATTAAAATCAGATGCAAATTATGTCGAGCAGTTTCCAGTGCCTAGCACAATAAACTGTACATATTAGGCACCTAAGGTCTGTTGAATGAAAACACAGGTCAAGGGTGAACATAAGGCTTTTCTATGCATTATAGACATATAAGCAAGAGAGCCAGATAATTTCTGGTTCAATTTCTCAAAGGAGGTACAGTGAAGAAAAGAAAGTGTACTAGGTAAGGAATAGTGACAAGGACATAAAGCAGGTGTACAGAAAATAGAGAAGGATACTGACAAATAGTAATATATTAAAGGTATAGCCCAAAGGCAAAGGGTAAATTGCTTTATATAAACATCTCTATGGAGTATGAAGATGAATACAAATAAATCCAAGTCACTGCACGGTGAATGCACAAGGATCAATTCAGACCCAATAAGCTCAGTACACTGAGATCAAGTGACTTGTACTGTTATTATGAGGCTTACCTAAACATTTGAACAAATGTCTGCATATAGCAGTTACTTCTTAATTCTAACAAATTTATGACAAGTCTTTATTTGAACAATATTATTAGAAGATAAAATATCCTTATGACCCTTGCTCTTCAGATGAGTAATAAGATATATCAAACTATGTTAACATCCTCTTTCTATAACACTGCAAGATCAATGAGAATATTGATTGTTTCATTCTTTGCATTTGTACCCCTAACACCTAGCACAGTGCTTAACAGTGGGTGCTTAATAAATCTTTGCTGACTGACTGTTAAGGGTCACTGTGAGAAAACAGAATAATTTAATTAACCAAATTTTCCATTAAACCAAAGACTAAAAAGACATTTATGCCAACAGCATCTTTCTGAAAGCTTAAGAGAGAGATATATTTCCACTTGGGATGGCTGCTTACCAATTTTTCTCTTAGTGAAAAAAGCATTGCATTTAGTAAAAGAGATGAGTTCAAATTCCAACTCTACTACTTATTGATCATGTAATATTGCTTGGAAAAGTTATAACCCTTTTAGGCCTCAGTTGCATCATCAGTTGAATTAGATTATCTATGAGCCTACTACTCATACTGTCAATACTGTAATTCAAACAATTATCACATTGGCCTTTTTAATGTCATAAGACCTCTTTGGCAGTCTGATGAAATCTAAGGACTCTTTCTCAGAATGCATAAAATAAAATAACTAAAAAACAAAAAAACAAAAAATGGACTTAAGAAAAGGAGATAAACTTCTGGTTTCTCTCCTTTCCACGGCTGTTCTCTCCGTTTATTTCAAGTTATCAGGATGGAGCCCATAAACAGATTTTCGTCATCAAATGATGATGATTCATTTTTTGGTCAAACAAATTGGTGTAATGTATGTAACAGATTAGATTAAAAACATAGGAAGACCAAACATATGTTACCGGATAGTTTTAAACAGGGAGAAATACAATCCAAATTTACCTTACTCAAAGGGAAAAAAAAAGAAAAGAACAAAGTCACTAAGGAAATCATGGACTCCTCCCTCCCACAAACAGAGTGATTTTCACACATAAAGCACAAGATGACTTGGTCACGAGATGAACCGTGCTGATTTAAAAAAAAAAAAAAAAGGCATCCAACATGGTTATATTAATAAATTGGCATCTCCTGTTTCCTGTCAAAAGAATGCTTCCACAATTCACTGAACATTTTTTTTTTAAAATCTGTAATTTCTGAGATGACTTAAAATAGGGAAAACAAAAACCAAAACAAACAAAAACAGTACCAAGACAAACTTTAGTTATCACTTACCTCAGACATAGGGGTTCCCCAGAAGTCATTGTGAAATAAGTTTTTTAAGGGTGTAGAAGGATGTAAATCTTTATTGTCTAATATTGCTGAAACATCATCAAAAACAAAACCACAGAAGAGGCTATTCCAATAGCAGGTTATAACCACACCAACTATTAAGGTTATTTCTCTGAGGCTAACAGCCATTGTTTCCACCAGCACTCATGGACTGAAACTGCAAAAGAAGATTTCATGAAGGGATACATTACAATATATATATATATATCATAGTACTTCATAAATTCAACTAAAAAAGATTAATGATACAGTTTTAAAAGAAAAAATATAACATGAAGTCCAGTGTTCTCATTATTTATGGATCTATTTAACATATTTGTAGTTCATGACTAAGCTTTGAGTACAAAACTGGTAAAAGGTTTTATTATAATCACCATTACAATTACTATTGCCAGACACATGCCTGCAATTTCTGCCACTCGGGGAGGCTGAAGCTGATCAGATATCCAAGACTGAAGCCTATTTGGTGAGTCCCTACTGTGGTGGCAGTAGAGGACCACCACACTGTCTAAGAAGGCTTGAACTGGAAATTTTCATGCCAATAAGTACTGGAATTGAGTTTGTGGGTGGCTCCTGGATTTCTATCCTAGATGAGAGACTCAGTCTTCAAAAAAAAAAAAAAAAAAACCAAAAAAACCCCAAAACTTATTATCATTAATATTGCCAGGATGGTGGTATAGGCAGTAGTGTAAAACTCAAATAGACCTGCAGGCACATAATGGTTTAGAAAATGACAAATTAATGTTATCTACATTTTATTGTACTTTTATTTCTTTTGTTAAACATTTCCCAATTACATTTTAATATGGCTTAGGCAGCACTTAAGCATTCCTGATGAAAAGACCAGAGCTGAATAGAAAATTTGCCTTTCAAGTATAATTCCAGGGAGGAATAAAAAGGTAATCATGAAGAGAAATCAAGAGGGACTCCAATGAGGTTAAAGTGTTTATCTTTCTATAGGGGAAGATGATACATGTATCTCCCAAGAACTTTATCATTAATAGGGCAGTTAGAAGGATTCTACGTAGAAAGTGAGTGAAGTAGTCAGCTGATTATGTTGGGATGATGTGAAAAAAATGGATATGTGAGAAAAGAGGGATTCTCTGGGAGAAGGGAGAAAGGAGAAGAAGAATTGGGAAAATTATCTCACATAAAAGATGCATGCAAGGAGGAGCCTCATTCACATCTAAAATGGTTCAAAAGGGTATGAATGTATACGTGTGTGTGTGTAGTGAAGAAATTCAGCTATTCCATAATCAGTTAAGTTTAGAAATCCAATTCTCTTGCTAATCACTGTTCTAGTCTTGCCTCAAGGAATTCTGCTATCCTTGGGGCATATAGGTGGCCATCAGGGAGTCTGGTCCAATGTATTTACACCACCAAGCAATCTTCCAGGGGTATCTGGTTTGCTATCCAAAGAAATCTGGTCCCACTACCTTTAACTTTGCAGGTGGACTCAAACAATGAACACTTCTTAGTCACAATAGGGAAGGAGGGTGTTACGCTAGCCTCCTTCCAAACTCCCAACCAATCATATTGTTCACCATGCCTCAGCTTTGTAACCAATTATATTATATGCAACCCCAGGTTACTAACCCCATAACCAGCTATATTATTTCCTTACCTACCCTGTTCTGATCTTTATTCTGTACTCCCCAAAACCTTTAAAAGGGGTGTTATCCTTTTGCTCGGAGTCTTTGGCTGAGGCAGAGCCACTGACTTGCTTTATTAATAAGTAGGGGCCCTGCTAATAAATTATCTTGCTCAGAGAAAATATGCCTCAGTCTACCTTTGTTGAATTCAACTTGCAACAATGTAAGCCTAGCAGTTCCAGATTTCCAACTATACTACAAAATGATAATCATCAAAACAATCTGGTACTGGCTAAGAAACAGAGTGGTAGATGAGTGGAACAGATTAGGTATACAATACATACTAATAAATGACCATAGTAATCTAGTGTTTGATAAACCTAAAGATTCAAGCTTTTGGAATAAAAACTCTCTATTTGACAAAAACTGCTGGGAAAACTAGAAAGCAATTTGGCAAAAATGAGACATAGACCAATATCTCACACCATATACCAAGATAAGGTCAAAATGAATAAATGATTTAGACATAAAAGGTTATATCGTAAGAAAATAGAAAAATGTACCTGTCAGATCTATGGATAAGGGAAGTGTTTATGTCCACATAAGAAATAGAGGGGATCATGGGAAGTAAAATAGATAAATTAGAAGGAAAACGGGAAATTGGGAAAAACACATTTTCTCTGATAAAGGTCTCATTTCTCAAATATCTAGGGAACTGATACAAATTTATAAAAATAAGAGCCATTTCCTAGTTGATAAATGGTCAGAGGACCATTTGTTGATAAATGATCAGTAGGCAGTTTTCAAAAGAAGAAATCAAAGCTATCCATAGTCAAATGAAAAAAATGCTCTAAATCACTATTAGAGAAATGCAAATAAAAACAATTCTGAAATGCCATCTCACACCAATCAGACTGGCTAACATGACAGGAAAGGAAAATGACAAATGCTAGAGAAGATGTGAAAAAATAGGGACACTGTTAGTAGAGTTGTAAACTGATCTACTCATTCTGGAGAACAATTTGGAGCTACATCCAGAGGGCTATAAAACTGCACACTCTTTGACCCAGCAATATCATGACTAGGTTTGTGTCACAAAGAGATCAAAGAAAATGGAAAAGGACCTATTTGTACAAAAATATAGCACCTTTTTTTTTTCATGGTGGCAAAGAATTGGAAATTGTGGGGATGCCCATTAACTGGGGAATGGCTGAACAAATTGTGCTATGATTATCATGGAATAATATTGCACTGTAAGAAATGATGAGCAGACAGACTTCAGAAAAACCTGGAAAAAATGTGTACGGACTGATGCTGAGTTAAGTGAGCAGAACCCAGGAGAATACTGTACACGGTAACAGCAATATTGTAGGGTGATCAAGATAGCGATCCATGACAATTCCAAAGGACCCATGATGAAAAATGCTACCCACTTCCAGAGAAAGAATGAACTCTGAAAGCAAATTGAAGCATGCTTTTTTTATTATTCTTTTCTATTTTTTGTTTTTTTATTAATAAATTTATTAATTTTTATTTTTCAACATTTACTTCCACAAGATTTTGAGTTCCAAATTTCCACCCCATCTCGTCCCTCCCCCCACCCCAAAATGGCATGCATTCTGAATATCCCTTGCCCTAGTCTGCCTTCCCTTCTATTTCTCCCCCCCTTCTCTTATCCCCTTCCCCTTCTATTTTCCTGTAGGGCAGGATAGATTTCTGTATCCCATTTCCTGTATTTTTTATTTCTCAGTGAAGCATGCTTTTTTTAACAGTATTTTTTTTTCCTCCAATTACATATCAAAAAAAAATTTAGCATTATTACAAGATTTTGAGCTCCAAATTTTTCTCCCTCCTTCCCTCCTCTTCTGAAAATGGTGGGCAGTCTGATATACGTTATACATATGCTATCATGTAAAACATATTTCCATATTCTTCACAGTTGTGGAAGGAACAGATCAAAAGGAAAAAAAACCACAAGAATAAAGTAGAAAAAAAATGCTTTGATCTGCATTCAGAGTCCATGAGTTTTTTATCTGAATATGGACAGCATTTTCCTTCATGCGTCCTTTCTACTTGTCTTGGATCTTTGTGTTGCTGAGAAGAGCTGAGTCATTCATAGTTGATCTTCACACAATGTTGCTGATACTGTGTACAATGTTTTCCTGGTTCTGCTCATTTTACTTTGTTATCAGTTCATGCAAGTCTTTCCTGGTTTTTCTGAAATCTGCCTGTTCATCATTCTTATTGCACAGTAGTATTACGTTACATTCATACACCACAGCTTGTTCAGCCATTCCCCAATTGATGGGCAGCCCCTCAATTCCTATTATTTTGCCATCATGAATATGGCTGTGAAGCATACTTTTTTAAAGTTTATTTTTGTTTTATTTTGTGTTGTCTTTTGCAACATGGTTAATATGGAAATGTTTTGCATGACCTTGCCTTCTCAAGAAGGCGGAGGGGCAGAAGAGAGAATCTGGAACTCAAAATTTTAAAAAATGATTGTTAAAAACCTTTTTATATGTACTTGGGAAATATTTAACTAAATGAAAATAATCTGAAAAAAATATGAGCAACTTTGTTTTCAATTATTTTTTTTTTTAGTTTTTATTGCATAGTTTACCTCTTGTTTCATTTCTTTTAGGTACTCTTGTAGAAAATTAATTTTTTTCTTTGAATCTCTGTAGTTGCTACAGCATTATCTTCTCCTTTCAGGCAAGATTTTGCAAATCTTTGGATCTACAGCCGTGCTTTATACTGACCCTTGTCTTCAGCTTACTCATCTCTCCAGTCTTACTTCCTGCTCTGCTCGAGCACTAGGCTTTTCCCTTTTCTGCCCTTTTGGATGGGGTGGGCTGATCTGCTTATTCTCAACCTGGGTCACCTGCATCCCTGTACTTACTTTCACCCCCCAGGGTTAGTTTCCCTGGATCTTTGAGGTTTAGAAGGTTGGATGGTAAAGGCCTGCAGTTTAGGACAAAGTGTCATAGACCTTGGAGTCCCTGGCCCTGAGGTGTCTCGACCTAAGTGCTACCAGCCATTTCCTAAGTCTACACTGTAAGCTTCTAATTACCCTGTGGCTTTCTGGGGGAATGCTCTACTCTTTCCACCTATGAATACAGAGTCTGGTTATTTCCAGTAAAATAATATATATAAATTGCTTTGTAAAACTCAAAGAGTTAATTAATGCAACTGTTGTGAGTATTAATAATAGTACTAGCACTACTATTACAAGGATCTCCCAGTATTCTTTGGTCCTTCCGAGAGGCTGCTAGGCTTAGTTTCCTGTGCTGGCACTGACTTTGCTATTTGACCCCTTTCCTATTACCTGTTGGTCTTCTTGCTGACTTTTTACAAGCTTCTGGGTCAGAAGAAGTCACTTTAATTTCTCATTGGATTTTCTGATCACTATTCAATCTGGTATGATATAAATTTTTTTGGTTGTACTGGTAAGATATAATAAATTATTTGTTTTGCCTGACTTAAAAAAAAAAAGCCTGCCTCAAACTTTCCCCACTTTCTGTCTCATTTCCTAATACCCTTTTTTCCCTCTCTTTTAAACCCTTTTACAGAAATAAGAGATGTTATCTTTCCCTTCTCCAGATATGTCTTATTTTTTTTTCCTAGACCTCTTCCCCCCTCCCCAAATTCCTTCTATCCAAATTTACTTTCTTTTCATGAAATCCACTCAAATCACTCTCACCCCAATCTAAATTATTTTCTCCTGTTATCTTTAGTCTCTGAAATAGCATTCCTAAACCACATTTAATTATACATCTAGGCACAGGAAGGCCTCAAAACTGACTTGTTTGCATTTTCTCCCTTAAAACAATATTTTTCTGCATTCCCTGTACCCCGCCAATGACATTTAATCTCAGCGTGTCTAATAATCTTTAAAATTAATATATATCATCTTCCAATCCCCAAAGGGATACTATGAGTGTAAGAGTAAATAATCATTTACTATAAAACATGGGAGGAAAAAAAAACCTGTCATTACTTGTAGTTAATGAGAGCAATAAAACAAGTAGTTTTTATATCTTTGCATTCATTATTGCATATCAGTAACTCAGCACTTTATTTCTGAATCCTGTATATGTTATAGCTATTTAAAAAATACTAAAATACAACCAAATGATGAAAAAAGAAAAAGACAGTAATTTTTTTAAACTGTAGATCTTTCTAGAATTCTGTAGAAATACCAAGAAAGTCCTAAATCTCATAAAAGACAGAGAAACTGATGTTCAGATTTTTTTTTAAGCTAATACTTAGTAGGGCAAACATTCTGAATTCCCTTGCTGTTATTTTAGGGGGAAAAAAACCAAACCAAAAACTTAAGCTCAATCTTTTACCATAAAATTGTAATTAGCTGAAAGCCAATTAGGATTTATTTGCATTTCATTATTAGCAAAATGGAGTAAATCACAAGGAAAAATACTGATCAATGTCAGACACTGGACTGCTTATTTGTTTAGTTATAATATCATAACGAGTGCCATCTTGTTTCTCAGCTGGTTAATGAGGGTTATTGCCCATACTCCATGGCAAAAGACTAAGAGAAAGAGATTTTTCCAGGCACTGAGTCTAGGGACTGGGTAGATAGTTTTTCATTTGAGGATGGGTAAGCCCATTCTGGTCCAAGCTGGCCTTATAACCGAAGGGATAGTATAACCCAAGAATGTGCCTTGTCTAGCTTTGGCTTGAAATATGGAAGCCACAATTTCATTTCCCAGTCTCAAGAAAGAGGGACTTGATGACAACTAGTCATTGAACACTTTGCTCTGAAAGCAAACAATGTGTATGTACCTTTCCAGAACTGTTAAGCCATAAATTGGAAGGATTTGTCAGCCACTCTTACCTGTGCCTGCTGACTTACCTAGATATGGTGGGAAGAATAATGAGAAGCAGGCACTTCCCCCTAGTTCTTCTAGGCAGACTATATGTACTGACTTTCTAGTCAAAGCCCCAGGGAGGAGTGTAGGAAAAATTAGCCTACCTCTCGCTTCTTGCCTTTCTCCTCTTCGTTTTAGAAGGGGGACAGCAGACTTAGTTTGCATATTTTCTTTGTTCTATGCCTTTTTCCTCTTTCTCCTTGTCTCTTCTTTCTTTAGCAACAGCCACAACCTAGAGGCATGTACTTTTTCTCTCTCAGCTCAGCAGGAGCTAGAGGAATAGGCTCATCATCTCTTTTTTGGGGGTACAGCCTGGAGTTCAGACCAATGCAGCTGTGTTGGGAGTGTGCCTTCTTACTTCTGTCTTACTGTCTCTCCTTCAGATGCTGTCTATTCAGCTTTCTTATATCACATCCTTTCCCCACCCAATCTGTAAAACTAGAGGTACAGTGTATTTCTGAACTATTCTCCATCAGGTTGACTCTCTCTTTCATGCTCAGAAACATTCTTTCAGGTTTCTTTTCTCTCTTTATTTTATCCTCATGGCTTATTGTCTTGGTTCTGCTAGGATTTGTGTCAATTCAGGCCAAGAGGACATAGGAAAGGTATCTATTTGTAATTTATCCCTTTCTTCTCTGAAGGAAGGTATGTATGGATGAATTTTTAAGATTTTGCATCAATTAAAGTTAGTTAGATTTGTATATGTTTGTAGTAAGCCAAAATATCACCAAAGTAGTTGATTTGTATCTAAGTCTTGTGTGTTCAACAAGCACCAATGCCTTTTGTAGGGGTATATGTGGAAGTGGAGGAGGAGGGGTCCACCAGAAATGCAGGTAGTGATATAAGACTTACTGAAATATACCAGTAACTATCATCTGTGATACTGAGAGTATAAAGTATGCTGTGGAGGGTTTTGAGGTTTCAAAGTTTCATTCAAATATTACAGGTCAATTAAAAAAATATTAGCGGACATTTATATAGTGCCTTACTGTCCTTTCCTTGTTTCTCTTTTTAAACCTAAAATAACTAAAAAAGTTTTTTTACTGTCCTTTGCATTGCTGCCTATATCTGACTTCCTGATGCTGTTCTTGCAGTCTGTGGCATTCTTTTGTATTTATCTTCAGTTCACTAAAAAAATCATTCCAAACTAACCTCATTTCTTTTTTTTGGAATGGCTGATAGACTAGTAAATTAGTAAAATTGTGTTGATCTAGTACATTTAGATTTCAGCCAGGAGTCTGCCAAAGTCTCTTATACTCCCACCTTCTGCTAGCTGTCTTGCTGATGTATTCCCACCCTTTGACTTCTCCCCGCTGGATTAGAAGTTAGAGGGCCTGGGTTCAAATCCTAGCTCTAATTCGTACTATTTGTGTGACCTTGGGCTAGTCACTTACCTTCTCTTAGCTTCAGTAAGCAATCTTCCCTGTAAAATGGACAGTTCGGACTAGTCAGGGGTGGGGAACCACACTTTACAGAACAAATTGGATTTGGTCAAAGGGCTACACTTGAGGACCTAGAGGGCCACATGTGGCCTTGAGGCCGCAGGTTCTCTAACCCTGGACTAGATGGTCTCTAAGGTCCCTTCCAATCCAATCTATGATCCTATGAAAACAAATTACTCCATGATGGTATAAGATAAAAAAGGTTTTTGTCATAATGAATTAATCTAATAAGAAAACTGAATAGGAATAAAATCATGCAGTCTCTCTAATTAAACAAAAGAAAGTGATCACTCACCTTAATCACCAAACCTGGCTCTGAAAGATTTCTGACTGTTGTCAAAAGGCTGAAGATCTGCCATCAATGAAGTTATTAAAAATAAAGTACCCCAGGTTCTGAAGGGGTGTTGTTGTGGATAACACTGTTATCCACAAGCTGAATCAGTGATATTACACTGCAGGCCAGCATGCCAGATCACTATAGGAGAAAACAAATTCATAATAAGCCTGGTGGTCCAAGGCAGAAGGACATTAAATTCTGTTCTATAATGAAGTTATTTTTATTCTAAACAAAGACATGGAACAAGAAAAGAACTTGGGGAAAATTACTTTCATAATACTATATTTGCATACATTGCCATACTGATGCCAGTTGACCAAAAAACTAAGTTCAAAGACCATTGCTGAAGGTACAAATAGTAGAGAGAAAAAATGTTTATAGTGTAATTAAGAGTACCAGTTGCCAGGAATTCTGAAGTCATAGAAAGAAATTCTGTTTTTTTTTTTTAAATGCTATGGGAATGGGAGGGAGTCACAAGAAAGGTTGGGACGATGATAAGAAAGGCTGCAGCAGAGGGAAGAGAGGAAAATTTAGAGCCAAGTAAAAATAATTACTTTTTAAACACAATACTTATTTTAAATATTTTTTTTGCAAGGTCCAAACCTACTTTAAGCTATGCACTATAAATTGTAGTTTATACAACTTGATTTGCCCATGAAATTATGTTGTTTGTTATATCAAATTTAAAAGCAGACTTCACTGAAACAATTATTACAAATCTGCAAGTAATCTTCTTTTAGTTTTTACTAAACTAAACTAAACAGATGAGAACTTCAGAAAAAAATTACCAACACTATAGTAATCTCACTGTGGTAAACAAAGAAACTTATCAACTTAGTGATCTCAGTATTGTCAAGGACATAAAGAAAACATTCATAAATAGCTAAATCAACTCAAAAATCTCACTGAATAAAACTTTAACTACATGAAACTTTTAAAAATTAGTCTCATTTTCTGAGTTATCACTATTAGCAGTTTTTACTGCTTCATTTTCTATTATTTTTACATATTTCCAAAAACTCAAAGTTTATCTCCTTTGAGATACGCTTCTTCACAATTTCAAGATTGTTTGGTTCTTGATTTGGTCTGAGCACTTCCAACCTCGAACCAATTTCTTTCTGTAGCAGATGAAAGAAGCTAAAGCAAGCAAGAATCGAGAGCAATCTGACACGTCATGCAAAGAAAGTTCTTATCATCATTTGTATGAGGAACATGCTTGACAGGAACTTACACTGAATTCTTGGATCCTACATCTAAAAATTGATTGCATAAATACTCATTTTCCAAAGAGACAATGCAGCAGTCTTATCCTCAATTAATTATATTTATGCTTCTGAATACATAGTGTCTGATGCTACCATTCACTCAACTTCTTCTTTGAAGTTTAGTTAGGACTGAAATGTAATTCTTTAATTCTAGACCAAAAGTCAACAAACAGCCCCAAAGAAAAGAAAGCAATGAATCCTATGAATGATTCATCTGATTAGGATGGTAATACTTCTTAAAGAAGAAGCTGCATGATTTTCCCAGAGATACTTTAGTCTTGGTCTTATTTATTAAATCACCTACCATCCCTCTTTTTTTTCCCTCCCAAGACTGGATTGCCTATTTTCCTCTTCGCTACTATTATCTGTTCCTTCTAAGCAGGGATGGTGTTTTATTTTTTCCATCATCTGTCTACTGCAGAGGGGAATGGAAATACCAGCTCTCAGCTTCTCCCTTAGCCTCCAATTGCTAAAGTAAGACCTTCTATGATTTTTACTATTAGTAACAGGGCAAAAAAGACAAAGTGAAAATTAAAAAGTTTCTCAAGTGCCTCACAATAAAAGTTGTTTTCAGGCTCTGCTAGAACCTAAATGGAGCTAAACCCTGATCACTTTACAACTCTATCCTTTCTGTTTTTCACCAACCTACCTAACCTTTCTTTGCACCTCTCACTCTTAGGGAGTGGCATTCCTGCCTCCTTCCTCTAGGATCCCACCTACTTAAAACCTACAGGGAAAGATAACCTTATATAAAGAAGATAATGTCGAGTCTTTGAATATACAATGAGATTTTTCCACATTTCAAAAGAAAACCTAAATTTAAGTCAGCCTTTTTCTCAAGTGTCTTCTTTTGGAAACATAAAGATATCCCCCCCCCTTCATAATCTGATTTTGTCTCATTCCCACATCTCACACTATTGCTTATCTTCAACACGTCAGAAATGTTAATGAACTGATAGCATTTAGTTTTACATAAAGTCCTCATATTGCATAGTTTGCAGAGATCATTTGGTACGATGAAGGCCTGTGGAAAAAAAATATGAACATGCTATCTTAGGCATCATACCAAAAACCACACAATCCACATTAAAAAAAAAATTTTTTTTCTCAATTTCCTAGGATTGGAAAGAAATCCTCCCAGAAAAATCATAGATAAATTGAATTCCTTATTTATTCTGTCTCATACTTGCCACCCTCTCTCCAGTAACTTATAAGATTTCTCCATTACGGATGTCCTAATCATACAATGAAAATCCAATTAATATTTGTACTTGATTGACTTAACCCTGGCTAGGTTCTCCTGAAAAGATACACAAGTGCCCAAATATGGTCATCTGGTTCTTTACACTATAAAGCTATCTTTAAATCAGTTTGAAGACTACATTAAAAAATCTTGTTTACATTCAACGGGATTAAATATAGCATCTTTTAGAAAATATCTGTTGAGTTTGCAGAATAAAATTTATGAATCTGCAATAGTATTACAAAGGAGCAGGCATTGCTTAAGGGCATTTGCAAATAATTATGAACAAATTACCAGCTCAATAGTCAATGGGAGAAAGATAGCTTACCCTAAGAATAAGTTAAAAAATGCTCTCTTTTTGATTGGAAAACCTTGTAATTACAGTAACTTTTATTAAGGCTTAGTATATATAGTTAATTGTTGCTCTTAGCCTGCATATGGAACCCAGAGGTGTTGAAGAGATTGACAAAGACCTTTCAGCTAATCCAGAGTGCTAAGACTGAAGAGAGCTAATTAAAGGGACTTCTTAAGTGATTCCACAGTGCCTGAGATAGTAAGAAATTGCTGACACCTTGCTGAATGTAATCCTTTAAGGAATCTGAAAAGATTCAAGATAAATTTAAAAGGAAATTATAATGAAAGCTGAATAAGAACAGAATATAGTTTGATAAACAGATAGCCTGATAACCTTTACCTTAGTTGAAACAGTTACTAAATTATACCAAAGTCCACTTTATAAAATTATCTACTTGGAGCAGCTAGGTGGCGCAGTGGATAGAGCACCAACCCTGAAGTCAGGAGGACCTGAGTTCAAACCTGGCCTCAGACCAAACACTTGACACTTACTAGCTATGTGACCCTGGGCAAGTCATTTAACCCCAACTGCCTAAGGGGGAAGAAAAAATTATCTATTTATATGTTTTCAATAGTATGGCATTTCACAATTAGTTTTTTTTTTAAATTTGAAATACTCACCTGTGGTCTACTACAGTGTAACATCACATGAATCAAGATATCTACTGCCATTTGATGGGCCCTAATTTTAGTAGCAGTTCCTAAACAAAGAGAGAAAAAAGGCAAAAGTCTCAAATGTTGAATCTGCCAGATAATTTATAAAATGATGACAGAGGTTACACAAATATACTACAGAACATATTGGCATGTTTTCTTACCAAAAAATGGCAGGTTTCTCAAAAGGTTTGTACCAAGGTAGAAATAACTCGAAATTCAGTACAAAATTAAGCTAATTTCTGTTAATGGTTGACATAGCAGGCAACACTAAATTGCTTGACTGTGTGGTTATACATTACTATTAATACATAGTTTCCATTTGCTATACATGAAGGGCTGTAGTCCTGTCCCACATAAATATCCCCCAGATGTTCTAATATAGATTTATATTTAGCAAGAATTACAACTAAATAACCCTACTCAAAGCAGCAGCTATGCCCCATTCTTCTTCAGCTAGATGGCACAGTGGACAAAGTATTGCACCAGGAGTCAGGAATACCCGAGTTCAAAACTTGCTCCAGAAACTTACTAGTTATGCAACTCTGGACATGTCACTTAACCTCTGTTGGCCTCCATTTTCTCAACTGTAAAATGGGGGATAATAACAGTACCTCTCTCCCAGGGTCATTCTGAGGATCAAATGAAGTAATATTTGTGAAATGCTTAACACAGTGCTTGACACATAGTAGGTACTATGTGAATGCTTATTCCCTTCCCTTATCATATCTATTTTTCATTTCACTCCATTTAACCTGAACTTCCAATACCATTTTTGGTACTGGATGAGGTGACTTTACTATCCTCCTCCCAAATCTCAGGTCAGAAGAACTGAGTTCCAGTTCTAACTCCTTCCATTTATTTGTCACTTTAGTTGGGCAAGTCACAGTCTCTCTGAACTCAAAGCTAAAATGGGGCTAACACCTACCTCCATCCCCATAGGGTTAACAAGATTATGTGAAAACAAACCATTATAAGCTTGGTCAGGAAAAAACATGGGCTCTGGTGTCAGTGCATCTGGGTTTGACTCTCATCTCTGCTCCTTACTACAAGGGAAACAAGAATTCGAGAGCAATCTTACGCAACACTGAGAAACAGTCTTGGACCAGGGAAATCACAGCAATGCTGTGCACTCTGCTTCGGTCAGACCACACCCGGTATAGTCAGTGCTGGGTGTCATATTTTAGGAAGACTGTTGATGAGCTCTCCTATGGAGGAAGGAAGAGACTTAATTCTGCTTAGCTCCAGAGAAGAGAACTAGGAGTAATTAGGGGGAAGGTATATGGGGGTGGAATTGCAAAGAGGCAAATTTAGAATTGAGGTAAGGAAAAACTTCCTAACAATTAGAGCTATTTAAGAGCAGATTATCTGTGCCACAAAAAAGTGGTAGATTCCCCCTACCATGAATGTCTTAAAACTAAAGATGGATTATGACCTCTGTGGTATTTTGTAAGGGAGTTTCTTATTTAGTTATAGGTTAAACTATGGCCACTGAGGTCCATTCTTACTCTTAAGATACTGCCAAACCAGCATGGACTGAGATTTCCCCTCCCTGGGCCTCGGCTGATACATGTCAAAAAGCAACTATAAAATTAGTAGTGCTTTTAAATAAATTTTCATTTTATTAATCTCAAGTACAAATGCATACATATATATACAACTGAAAAGTAATAAATATACAAAGCAAGAAACATTTAGTTGATACAGTTTAACATTTATGGGTTAACAGATCACTGTCCCTGTAGGTTGGGACCCATTGACTGGACGACCTCTAAAACTTATAACCTTCTATCTCCAGGTTCACTTGCAAAAGGGAAACCAGTGTTCTGACAAATACACAGGAATATAAAATTCCACCATGGTTAATAGGGTTAACGTGGGATCTCAAAGGAAGAAACAATCATGACTATAAATTTTTAACTAACTACCTATCATTCCCTCAAAATTTCAAAATCACTATAATTTTTAACTTACAGGAACCGACTGTTTTGATTCTCTAATCCCTAGCTTTATCATTCTAGCTAAGAGCTCCAGAGGTTCAAACACATTTACATTTTTATCATAACCTAAGACTAATATTAATATTTTTGATTTCCCCACTTCTTAAATTTGTAATTAATCTTTGTTTTTGAAATACCATTAATTTCTCTTGAACTTATAATAGTTAGTATTTATATGTTTTAAAGTTAGCAAAGCTCTCTGCAAATATTATCTCATTTCGTCCTCACAATAACCCGAAGAGGGATTATTCCCATTTACAGATGAGGAAACTGAAGCAGAAATTAAATGACTTACCCAGGGGTCACATAGTTATTAAGTGACTGAGGCAGAATATGGGCTCAGGTTTTCCTGACTCAACATCTAGCACTCATACTCTATGCCACTTAGCTATCTGCCTCTAAATAGTCTGAATTTTATTTGTGAGATATTTGGGCAAAGATTTAGATTTTATCTTTCCTCTCCTCTATACTTCTTATCCAAGTCATAAGAGGCAGCTTTAATTTCTCAGTTTTATGAAGCAACTTTCAAACACTAAGGCTGATGGTCTGGTTAAATGATCTGTGAAAAGTACAGTCACCCAAAACAATCAAAACACACAGTTTTTGAAAAATCAACCAATTCATCTGTACACAGTTGAGTTCTAGGCATGACAAAGGTCCCTATAACTTATGTTGGAGGGTTCTTGGATTTAGTCAGCATAACTTCATAACCCTTAATCTAAGTGGAAAATTTGGTAAATTCAAAATATCTATATTGGTCACCTGAAGTATTACTTGATTTGGTTTTCAGCACTAAGGCTTTTCCTTCTCACTTTTCCCACTGATATGTTTTCTTCATTCCTCACAGCCCTCCCCTCACCTCCAACTTTCTTAGGGTAAGGCTTTTGGAAATATCAGTATGGCCTCTAGAGGGACCACCATCTCTCAGCTCTGGGCATCTTGTCTGTCTGTCCCTGATGCCTGGGAACACTCTCCTTCCTGTGCTCCTACCTAGTTCCTCCACAACTACTGACTTCTTTGGCTTACTTTAAGTCTCAACTAAAATCCCACCTTCTACAGGAAGTCTTCCCACCCCCTCTTAATCCCAGTGCCTTCCTTCTATTATTTCTTATTCATTCTATATATAATTTTGTATATATGTTTGCATGTTGTCTCCCCCATTAGATTGTCAATTCCTCAAGGGCAAGGACTGTCTTTTGCCTCTTTTTGTATCCCCAGAGCTTAGCACACTACCTAGGGCACATAGGGGGTACTAAATAAATGTTTATTGATTAAGACACAGAGGACTAATTCCTGGAGCGTGACACCAATGGTTCAGTGAAATATATAAGAAGTAACTTGAAAGTTGAATAGGTTTGCTCAGAGTCCAACTGAAAAAGGTGTGGTGGTTAGACAGGGTTTGATGTTACCAAAATATAACTATATACTCAAAGTCATTTACTTACTTTCTCTCATAATTTAAAAATCTAAATTTTAAATTTTTTTTAAAAAAATCATTTGCATCAACAAACTTTTAAACATAAGAATGTGAAGTCTATTGTTAGTACTAAAAGGGCTTTGCAGAAGAATTAGATTGGCCAGTTTACAGGCTCTTTTATTTGGCATTTTTAAGGAAAGGTCTCCAGAGGGAAATCATTTGGCTTAACTGAAGCCATTGGGAGCAAAAGGGAGGCAGGGACAATACAGTAAGACTATTAAGGCAGTTCACCAAGTCCCTCTCAACAGTGGGTCAGAAACCACAATTCCAAATTAGGCATACCAAACTAAGGACCTTGACTAAAAGCTTCAAAGAGGACATGGAAAGTGGCAGAGAAGGGACAGAGAGAACTTGTATTTTCACCTGGGATCTTGCGCAAGATAGTTTTCAGGTCTTGGCCAGAAGGGGAGGCCATAATGATCTTGCGCAAGATAGTTTTCAGGTCTTGGCCAGAAGGGGAGGCCATAATGATCCAGTACTGGATCATAAGATCACTACTGGTCTATGCTTTAGGGCAGCTAAAGCGGCTCGAGGTTACCGAAGCCTAGTCGTAAACCTGGGCTCACAGTCACACTTTACTCAGAAGCAGGTCTGATTAATTTCCCATCCCTGGGTTGGGTTGGGAGGTAGTGAACAAACAACCTAAGATAAAGCTGGAAGATTTTAGCCTGGAATGCTCCAAGGACCAAAGTCTCTAGGTACAGATACAGAGATTCTGGAAATCAGGAGGAAGGGATGTGACTAAGGAGACAATCTGTTTGCCAAAGAAATAAAGCAGGGTAGTGTGGTGAAAAGAATACTGACTTTGGAAGAAAAGCACTAAAATATGAATCCTGGTTTTGCTACTTGGGCAAGTCACCCTCCCTCTATCATATCTGCCCCTCATTTTCCTCAACTGTAAAATAAAAGGGAAGGACTAACATGATTTTTAAAGTCGTCCTTTCCCCCCACCCTCCAGCTCTCAATCCTGTGAATTTGTCAATATATTCTTTGTTAGGAGGAATATATAAACATTATGTATAAAACCAAGTCCAAGGCACCATGCTACATCCTTTTTTTTTTTTTTTTTTAAAAGCCCAGGACCTTCCTGAAGTACTGGAGGGGGAAAACAAACCCTGACACTTAGGGGAAAAGTGTCATTAAAAATTTAAAAATCACACCTCTCCTATGATTAGTTTGAATGTTTCATAGTTTAAATTTTGAAATTCACAGCTTGATATCATTAACAGCTAACAAGCATTACAGACATGGACTTAATAAAAACTACAAAATGTAGACAACTATCTTCAAATACAAACAATAACACGCTGTAGTTGGTTTAAAAAGTTCACATAAATCAATGTGGAGAATCATCTTCAAGTACACACCATAATATACTCTAGTTGGTCTTTCAAAGTTTACACAAATTATCTACCCTGAAACAATTTCCAAAAGTGTTCCCTTCTAAATTTACATTTATTTAAAAGGATCATTTGAAACAAGTACAGGCCTGTATGTAGCAAACTCATTCTCTGTGAGAGGCAATAAAAATATAATAGCAACGCATATTATATTTATTTTAGGTGTGGCCGTAATTTATTTTAGTCAAGGGAATGTGGGCTAGTGCTAATTTTAATGACATGGGCACAGAAGAAGAACAAGGGTAGCTTCTAAAAATCTAAGTAGTTTCTGGCAGAGAACAGATAGAGGTGTAAAGAAAAGTCCTTGTCTAACTATTTCAATAGGATAAAGAATTCCTAAAGTGTAAGACAATGAAATCAGGCCCTAAAGTTCGCACTTTAATCCAAACATTAGCCAAGGAAAGCAAAGATGTAGACAATGGTTCAGGGCTAGTTTTATCAAATTTTCCCAAGATTAAATAACATACCAAATTCGAACTTGTGTTCAGATCTCATAATTCCAAGCGCTTAAAACATAAAATTTCTATGAAAAGTTTATTTTCACTCCCCTTACACAAGGACCGAAAACATTGTCAATATAAAGAATACTTAAATACCTGACTAAAAATTATGCTGATATACAATTTGATGCTACTCTATATTAAGTAAAGCACTGATGAATAATGTTTATATTCCATTTAAAATCAGTTTAAAATAATTAGTTCTAGTTTCTGGCATATAGAAGCAGCCTAGGTTAGCAGACAGAGTGCCATACTTGCACTGAGGATGATCTGGATCGAAATTCTGCTTCTAATTCTTAATGATACCATAGACAAGTCAGGTAACCTCTCTGAGCCTCAGTTTCCTCATCTATAAAATACAGATAATAACCCGTAGTACCCATCTCACAGGATTATGAAGCTCAAGTGGGATAAACTATATTAAAAAGTCTCTTGTATACTACATAAATATCAGTTACTCTTCCTAGACTTGAGATCTTAAGCTCCTTTAAATCACACAGTGATGACATCAATGATTTGCTCTTTTGGTCACAGATATTTTAGATAAATTTAAAACAAATAAAATTCATTATAGTTTGGAAAGAATATAGCATTATTTTCAAAGGGGAATGTCTATTATTAATGACAGCACAAAATTCAAGATAGCATCACCAAAAAACAAGTATAAAGACAGATTGTCTATACCCCAGACATTTTTTCCTGGGAAAGCTATCTCTCCCCACAAACTTTTCATAGCTTATCCTCCTGTTTTCTTCACTTACTCAAAAGAAATGATCCATGATGTCATCAATCTGGACAGTCCCTTCAATGAAGTAAATCATAACTCACTCATGCAGTCCCTCTTGCCCCGCCATGGACTTGTGTGCTAGAGGCTTTCCTTGATTGCTCCAGTCAAACTGTTATCCCTTGCCCTTTTCATGAAACATTCCTGTCTTTTGGTCATACATTTTCTTGATGATATCCTTTACACCATTCTTCAAAGTTCCTTGTTATATAGTATAGTCTGCTCACACTGACAGTACCTTCTTTCTGTGTGGACCTCAACTGCAGTTCTTTGGAGACTGCTGTGTTCCACATCTGATAGTATGTATACACATATGCTACTTTGATTTGGGAGCCCAATCTTTTTCTCATCCCCTTTCTCCCTAATTTATTACTCCCTATTCACTGGCTCCTTTCCCACTGCTTATGAACAGGCCTACACCTCGCCCATCCTTAAACTTTTTACTTGATTACATCCTTCCTGGGTGCTTTACTATTCTTCTCCCTTTCACATCAAGACTCCTAGAAAAGGCTGCCCATATTCATTGCCTACATTTTCTCACCTCATAGTCATTTCTCTCTCGGTAGTAACTGCCAAATGTGATAGCCTTTTCTCAGATCTCATTCTCTTTGATCTCTTCCTGACATCCTTGACAACCATCTTCTTCCTCCTTTGGTTTTCAGGCTCCCGCTCCCTTTTGGTTCTGGCTTCCGCTCCCTTTTGGTTCTGGCTTATCCTTCTCAGTCTTTTTTTTGCAGGATCATCATTCTTCTCCCACCTTCTATGCCTGCATATGCCCTCTTCTCTTCTCTGTACTCTTGATGACCTCACTGGCTTCCATGAGTTTAATTATCACCTCTATGCAGATGACTTACAGATTTTATTTATATCTTTTATACTCAAACATACACAGCCCTATCTCCCCTTATCACCAGTGGGTATTCTACACGCACCTTAAACTCATCATATCCAAAACAAGCCTTGTTATCTTTCCCCATCACTGTCCTCTTTTTCTAACTTGCCCATTTCTGTTTGAGGGTAAAGCTATCCTTCTAGGCCAGGCGTGGGGAACCTGGCCACATGCGACCCTCTAGGTCCTCAAGTGCAGCCCTTTGATTGAATCCAAACTTCACAGTAGTCAAAGGGTCGAATTTGAGGACCTAGAGGCTGCAGATTCTCCACCCTTGTTCTAGGCACTCCAGTCTGTAACCTAGGAGTTGTCTTCAACTCTTGAGGTCAACTCTTGTTAATACTACAGCCACAATGTATCTTCCTTCCATTCCCATGGTTATCAGCCTAACGGAGGCTCTCATCACTTCTCTGCCAACCGACCAGACTACTGCCAATTGCCTTCTTCAGTCTTCCCCCCTTCTCCAAAGCTGTTAAAATACAGGTGTATCCATGTCACCCTCTTGCTCAAGACGCTCCAGTGGTTCCCTCTTGCCTGGGTTAACAAAACAAAAACCAAACCTCATTCTCCTTTCTTTCACAATGTCTCCAATATACTTTTCTAGACTCACCGCACATGACTCTCCTTCACATGCTCTACGTTCCAGTCAAACCGCCTGGCTTGCTGTTTCTTGTATTAGAAATTCCATTTCCTGTCTCCAAGCCTTCGTAGGTCCTCACCTTCACAGAATCCCTGGCTTCCTTCAAAGCTCAGCTCAGGTGCCACTGCCTAAATGCAGTCTATCCAATTTACCTATTGGCTAATGTCCTTCCCCAATTCTCCCTCCCTAAACTATCCTACTTTGCCTCACTGCCTACGGTCTGGTCATTTCCTTCCTACCAGAGTTTAAACTCTGCCCCTGGGACTCTGAGCTCAAATAGGAGAGCTTTCCGGGTGCCATTTCCAAATCATGCAGCAATGACCCCTGGCCATTTTTCATTCTTCCTTCAGAATGTAAAGTCCTTCAGGTTAGATACTACATTGTTTGCTTATTTCTCTATCTCTAGAATTTAACATAGTGCCTGCTACATCCCCACAGTTCTCCCTTCCTCACCTTTCCCTAGTCAGGAAGACCCGAGTTCAAATCCAGCCTCTGACTTACAAGCTGTATGACTTTGGGCAAGCCATTTAACCTGTTTGACTCAACTTTCCCACCTGCAAAATGAGGATAATAGCACCTATCTCCTAGAGTTGTTGTGAGGATTAAATGAGATCACATTGGCAAAGCGTATGGCATAAGGTAGATACTATGTACATGCAAGTTGCTATTATTTTATCCCCAGCATTTGGCTAGTACAATGTCTGGCATACAGTAGGCACCATATAAATACTAGCCGTTATAATTTGTATCCCCAGCACTTGGCTAACAGTGCTGACACATTGTAGACGCCATAAAAATGTTGGTGGTTATTATTTGTATACCCAGCACTTAGCTTAGCACAGCGCCTGGTACACAGTAGGCACCATATAAATGCTTGCCATTATAATTTGTATCCCAGCACTCAATAACACAATACCTGGCACACAAGAAGCTCAACATAAACGCTAGCTGTTATAATTTGTACTCTACGACTTGAGTAGCATCGTGCCTGGCTCACAGTAGGAGCTTAAAGAATCCTCTCTGGACCTGTCCTGCCCAGGGGCAAGGGGCACGGGCTAGGAAGGAGACTGGAAACCAAGTCTTCCTGACTCTAATCCACTATCTCACAAAGCAGAGAGTCCGTTCCTGGGGGGGGGGGGGGGGGCGGCTGGGGGGGGGGGGGGAGGTAAGGGGGGGGGGGCCGGGGGTGGGGGGGGCAGGGGAGCTTTCTTCTCCCCTCCCCCCCAGTCTCCACCAGGTGGCCCCATTTCCTCGCCCAGTTAGTTGAGGCAGGAGAAACTTTTCTCGCCCAGCCCAGACTACAGTCAAAAAGGGCCCGGGGCGTGGGGGAGGGGGAGAGGGGCGCTGCTCCCCCACAACTCCCCTCCCCCCCGCCCTCTGAGAAGGATGAAGGAGAGGGGGAGCAGAAGGAGGCCGCGGTTGGGCATAGGGAAGAGGCGACCGCCCGGCCCTGCGCCCCAAGCCCCGCGCCAGCCGCTCCTTACCTGTCCCCCGCGGAGTGGCTGAGGAGACGCGGAAAGCCCTCTCCGGACGCCGGTCCCGCTGGAACCTCCTCCCGCCCCGCTGCGAGCGAGCGCCGCCAGAGACACGCCAGGGACGCTCCTCACACTCCTCAGACTCGGCGCACGGCACGCCGGGAACTGCCCAGCTCCGTGCGCTCGCCCGGGACTACATCTCCCAGGAAGCGCAGCGCATCCCCTCCGGGCTGCGGTGCACTCTGGGAATCGGAGTCCTCGCTTCATCTCCTGTCCCCACCAGCGGCGTTGAGGCCTCGCTTCGGGCTGGGGCCGTAAAGCATCGTCCTGCGGTCGTGAAATGTAGGCTCGTTCAGCAGCCCTGCATCCGGGACTCTGGGTCGAGCCTGAGCTGGAGAGGGGGTGGCGCTGCTCACACCTACGAGACGGGGTGGGGACCATCGGGTCGCCTAGCAGCCGGTGCTGCCTCTGGCGCTCTCTGGAGTAGACCCGCGGTGGAGGCGCGGCGCGGGCGCGGCGGCCCGGGCTGAGAGAGGACCGAGGCTCCTCCAGGAGGGCGGGGGGCCTTGCGGGACGTTCCCGCCGCCGCCGCCGCCTCCAGTCACCGGTCAGTGCCTTGCGCCGGGGAGCCCTCCCGACTCTCCCTTCCTTCCCCCCTCCAGGTGCCCCTACCCCGATGTTGAACCCCGTGCGCCCGCCGGCGGATGCAGCTTCCCGAGGGCCGGATTAGCGGGCAGCCTGAAGGGGTGAGAGGTGCGGAGGCATCTCCGGGCCTGAGTTTCCCCTCTGTAAAACAACGGGGGCATCTCTGAGGATTCCTTCTAGCTCTAAATCCGTGATCTCGTTATCTCTTACCAGGCGCAGAGTGAAGCATAACCAGGGCTAAGGAGGCTCACCCTTAATTTAGCGAGTGACCCCCGCCCCCCACGCCAATTAGAGCTGGTAAGAACCGGACCCCGCGTGTTTTCACGGGCTGTCCCCTAGGAGCGGACCTCTCACCTGCCTCGCCTCTGCCCCTGGCTACCTCCAAGGTCTCAGCCAATTCCAGCCCCCTGAAGGGGTGGGGGGTGGGGGGATGGGGTGCCTTCCCTCCAAGCTTAGCTACAATGTATCCTGCGGGTGGCTGGTGTGTAACACAGTTACTTTCTGCTGCTCCCCCTCCCTCCTCATTAGACTGAGATCCTTGAGGGTGTGTGCTGTTTTTGCTTGTATTTGTTTGCCCAAAATTTCGCACCATGCCCTGGCACCTAATGGGTGCTTATGAATGCTTCAGGTCTTGATTTGGTAAGGAATTCCCTTAAATATCTTTTCTTACAAGGGGAAGATCCCATTGAGGGGAAACTAACTGCCCCTTGTGGCAACTTTTGGAGAGAGACAACGTATGGGAGTGAAAAGTGTTGAAGCTAGGAAGATTTGGGTTCGAATTCTGCAAGTTGTCGTTCAGACCCTCGGTCTTTTCATCTGTAAAATGGTTTTGATAATAGCTTCTACCTGACAAGGTTGTTGTGAGAAACAGTGATCACATGTAAAAACACTTTTCCAACCTTAAAGTGCTATAAACATTTGAGTTGGTATTATTGTGATTATTATTCTATTTTCTTTTCATCTTTTTGGTGGGTTGTTGTTTAGTTGTCGTGACCTCATGTGAGATTTTCTTGGTACAGATACTGGAGTGATTTATCATTTTCTTCTCCAGCTCATTTTACAGATGGGGAAACTAAGGCAAACAGGGTTAAGTCACTTGCCCAGGGTCACATAGCTAGTGTCTGAGTCCAGGTTTAAACCGGGGTCTTCCTGACTCCAGGCTTGGTGCTCTGTCCATCTAGCTGTCCAGTGCTCTGTAGGCCTCCTAAAACTTTATTTGTACAAATACAGTAGAGGGCGGGACAACTAGAATTTCATGCACCTAGTCCCATTTCCACTTGAACCAGGTCTCTATATTTTGAAAGCTGTTTTTCTCATGTAGTTTAGTGATTATAAGTATTTGTGACGGTAGCATCTATTAAAAACATTTTTTTTTTTTTGGTGAGGCATTTGCGGTTAAGTGACTTGCCCAGAGTCACACAGCTAGTGAGTGTTATATGTCTGAAGCTGCATTTGAACTCAGGTCCTCCTGACTCCAGGGCTGGTGCTCTATTCACTGTGCCGCCTAGCTGCCCCTATTAAAAACATTTTTATGAATAAGTTATATTTGGGATGTTTGGGATACATAGCAGTTTGGTCTGTGATGACAATTCCTGTTTTGGTCTGTGGAGATCTCTAGGATATTTGGAGGTATGTATGATATAGAGATTTGTTGTCTGTTAATCCATGAAAGATAGTAGGTTTCTGATGCATAATTCTAACTAGCTGGTTGAGTGTTGCTAGGTGTTCCGTGGGTGCTAAGTTTTCACAGATGTGTTTCACTATCTGTACCATTTTTTTGCATAATCCACATTGATCACCAAGTCTGGCCTTGTCATTATCATTATTGTTGTTGTTATAGTTCTCATTGTTAGGAAATTTTTCCTTAACATCAAGTTTGCCTCTGCCAATAATTCTCATTCCTCATAGTTTTTCCTTTTGGAGCTTAGGAGAATAAGTCTAACTCGCCTCTTTATTCACATCATTGTGATGTTAAGTACAGATCTGCAATAGAAGGTTATAAATTTAGAGCTAGAAAAGATCACTTAGTCCAACTTCCTCATTTTATAGATGAGAACTTGAGGCCCAGTAGGTTAAATGACTTACCCAAGGTAACACAGGTGGTAAATGACAAAGCCAGGATTTGAACCCAGGTCCTCTGACTTGACATCCAGCACTCTTTCCACTGTGCCTGACTGTTTCTAACTCTAGCTGATCTCTTAATTTTGTTTTAGTGAGTTTTGCCCAATTTCCTGTTTTCTTTTGTTTGTGTGTAAGGTTACTGACTTATCATGGAACTCCACCTCTTCAGGGGTGACTCTTAGGGAACTATGTTGTATATCAGTTCTATTTACTAAAGACATGCTGATGAGTATATATTGTTGTAGGTCAGTGGACACAGTGAAAAAAGTCAAGATGCCTTTGGACTGGAAAACGATACAAAGAGTTAACCCAGATGACTTGCCTCGCCAAGAAGAATTGGCAGATGATTTGCTGGTTTCTCTCTCTAAGGTATTTTTTAATGTGTTAAAATATTCACGGCTAAAGTAAAATACATTAAAAAGTCATAGACTTCTGAATTGTTAAAACTGGAAGGACCCTTTTACTATTATATTTGATTAACTTAAGTTTTATGCAGAAAATAATTCCCATTAACTGATAATAGAGCGTACCTTCTTCCTCAGGGAAGAAGTGAGGGACTGCTAGAACATAATACTATATGCTCAGTCAGATGCCATCTTCTGTTGTGTATTTTTGTTTGTTTGTTTTGTTTTTCTTTGTCTCAGGGGAGGGTTCAGTGGGGAGGAGTGAAATATGAAGAACAAAAGTATTAATGAAATTTTTAAAAAAGGAATAATGAACAACGGTTGCTGCTTTGTTTACCTAGGTTGAAGTAAAAGACCTAAAAGACGAAAATCAAGAAAATGTGGTACATCTTTTCCGAATTACTCAGTCTTTAATGAAGGTTTGTATCAAGCAGAATAATCCTGACTGGACTTGAGGGGAGTTGTTAGACCACACCATTACCAAATATTGGTGAAACTCAACTCTATTATCATTAATTAAATGCCCAGTTTTTCAGGGCAATAGGAATAATAAGAAAAAAAAACAAGATAGACTCTGTCACATGTACACATATTACTGAAAAAGAATTTGAAAGTGATGTGAAGATTTGAGGTGGGAGAGATCCATTTATGGTTGGAGGGCTCCGGGAAGCTTTGTGTAGGGGTAACATTTGAATTGGCCTTTGCAGAAGAGAAGGGAAGGATTTCAATCAGCAGAAATAGGTTTGGGGAGAATCCATTCTTGGCCTGGGGGACAATATGAATCCAGGCCAGGAGATAGGAAAGGAGGCATATAACCTGGACTAGCTGGAACACAGAGGATATTAGGGGAGTGATAGAAGAAAAGGCCACTTAGATAGGTTGGAGCTTGATCATGGTGGGTTTTGAATAGCAAGATCAAAGACGCTTTATATGGGAGACAAGATGGAGCCATTGAAAGTCTTTTAAGTAAGAAGTAGACACTCGAAGAAATATATTAGAAAACTTACTTGAGTGATATGAAACTGAAGAGGGAAGATAATGGAGGCAGGAAGATTCCCAAAGGCTATTACTGTGGTCTGGGAGAGGTTCCGAGGACCCGAACTAGGACCTTTCAAGAACAGTAGCAATGGAAAAGGGAATGAAAACACAACATTGAGGAGATAGCATCAGCAGGGCTTATGGTTGACCAAGTGTGGGGTGAAGGACCAAGGAAAATGAAAGATAACTGATGTTGAGCCTCAGTGCCTGGGAGACTGGTAGTATTCTCCACAGAAATAAAAAGGGCGGGAGATGGGCAGGGTCTTTTTGGGGAAGGTAATGAGCTTTCAAGTGCTAGTAGAGCATCCAGGAATGTAGTCAGTAAATAATCAAATATGGAACTGGAGCTGTGGGGAGAGGTTGCTACTAGAGGTGAAGATTTGCGTGTGATCTTTGGAAAAGTGATCATCGGAGCCTTAAAATTGAATGAGATCTCCAAAGGAGGGGAGAGAGAGGGAGAGAGGAGAGAGAGAAAGAGAGATAGGTAGATAGAGAGAGAGAGAGGGGGGAAGAGAGAGAGAGAGAGAGCTGGAGATGGAGATGGAGATGGAGATGGTCAGGGCCAGAATAGAGACATTCGGGATACCCATGTTGAAGGCAGGAGAAGATAGAACCAGTCAACAAAGTAGTCAGTGAAGGAATGGTCAGACAAAAAGAGATACTGTGCAAAAAATGCTTTGTAGACTGTAAAGCACACTGTGCTTAGTACCGTTTGCTACGAGACACTGTGCTGGACCATGCATAATCAAAGAGGTAACACTGCTGCCGTCAGGGAATTTACCTTCTAACTGGAGAGAAACAGCAGAGATAAAAGGATTAATAATATAAAGTAGTCCGTAACTAAGTGCCTAGAGAGCTGTGCAGATGGTCAGGAGAGAGGGAAGAGAAAGGAAGGGAATAAGTATTTGTAGAGCACATACTATGTCCCAGGCACTGTTAAGTGCTTTTTTTACAAATATTATTTGATTTGATAGTCATATTGACCATAGGCTGCACGTGTTTAGAGTGAGGAGAAGTCACTGTGGTTTGGCGCACTTGAAAGGACTTGGGTTGGGGTACAAGGTACTTAGTATAGTAGTAGTAGGTACTGTGTACAAAGGTAAAAATAAAATCTTCCTTGCTTCTTCTGTTGGATGAGTGGGACTGAGGTAAGTGGGGAGGAACAGAGAGGGTTTTCAGAAGGTGCTCAGGACCTTGCCCTAGAAGCAAAATTGTTGTGTTTGGGAGCAGTGTGTGGCTTAGTTGAGCTTGGATAGTGGCACAGGTTCTAAGGTTTGAGGGACAGGATGAGAGTGGATTGCAGGGGACCTTGAACCTCTATCTAGATTTTAGGCTGTTCATAATAAGGACAGAATTTTGTGGAGATTTTTGAACAGGAGAATAAAATAATGATATCATTATTAGATTCAGAGTTAGGAGGGCCTTTTGAAACTATTTAGTTCAGTCTCTTCATTTATCTTATAGTTGAGGAAACAGATTCACAGTGACCTACGCAAGGCCGTACTGAGCTAAGATTCAGAACCAGGTCTTTTGGCTCTGGTAACTTTTCTGCCATTCCCCATGGACTCTCTCTGATTTTCTGTATCAGTAGGAAATTTCCATCTAGAAGCTGATATTTAAGGCCTATTCTACAGGGTTGTTGAGAGGATCAAATGAGATCATGTTTGTAAAGCATGTTGTAAGACTTCAAATACTATATAAATGTCAGTTATTATTGTGGCATAATTACCTTAATTTACAAGATGGCTTTAATTAGGAAGTCATTACCATGTAATGTAATGGCTTATGTTGTCTTTCAGAGCTCTGCTTTAGGAGGATTAATCTGACTGTTGTGGGCTGGATGGATTATAGGAACAAGACCCTGGTGTGATTAACGCTTCTGGGGGAAGGGGTTTCAGTTTATTTTAACTCCTCTTTCTAAATAGTACATTTGGATCTTTGGTTTATATGGACTTGAGGTGGATTGGATCTCAATCTCTGTCTGTCTGTCTGTCTGTCTTTCTGTCTTTCTCTCTGTGTCTCACACACACACACACACACACACACACACACACACACACACGAATGAACATATATCCTCAGAAGAGAGGCATTTAATGAGGATTGCTTCTAGGATAATTTCCAGTGCAGTGCAATTTGCTCATATAAACTAATAATAAGTTCTGTGAATGGATAATTAATTTTTAATGCAAATCCTAACATACTGATAAACATTTCTACAAAGGGGAAAGAATTAAATTATAAATCCATAACTCCCAAGAGCCAAGTTTATACAATGGTCCATGATTTAACAACTCTGAGCTCCTAACAGGATGAAAAGAAAGGAGAAAGATTAACATTTTCTATTTGACTTTTAAAACACCTCCCATCCTGGCCCCTCTCTACTTTGACAGTTTTCTTATACTCTACTTTCTTCCATATAACCTAAGCCAGCAATACTGGCATTTTTATTATTCCCTGCATGTTTTTTCACTGGCTGTTCTTTATACCTGGGAATACTTTCCCCCCTCATTTCTGCCTGCTGGATTCCATGGCTTTTGAGACCCAGCTCAAATAACATCTTCTGTAAGAGGCCTTTCCTGTAAAACCCCTCCACCCCATTGCTGATGCCTTCACTCTGAGGTTACCTCTCTTTACCCTGTATAGATAGATTTATAGATAGATCAACAATCTATGTACAGATCTATAGATCTTATTTCTAATTAAATTGTTTGTATGTCTCTTGCGTTAAAATGTCAACTCCCCGAAGGCAGGAAAGTATTCCCAGGTATAAAGAACAGCCAGTGAAAAAACATGCAGGGAATAATAAAAATGCCAGTATTGTTGGCTTAGGTTATATGGAAGGAAGTAGAGTATAAGAAAACTGTCAAAGTAGAGAGGGGCCAGGATGGGAGGTGTTTTAAAGTCAAATAGAAAATTTTAATCTTTTTAATAGAAAAGGTGGCTTGGTGGATCTGAGCAATATTAAAAAGGAACTACTTCTTCAGCTTGATAGTAGCTTATCATTTATGGGAATTAGAGGAAAATGTCAAAGGGGGGTTCCAAGCGGTCCCCCTAAAGTGGATAACAAATCATATTCCATCTCTTTTATCATGTTTAGATGAAAGCTCAAGAAGTGGAATTAGCTTTAGAAGAAGTAGAAAAAGCTGGAGAGGAGCAGGCCAAATTTGGTAAGTACCTGGCAAAAAGGTTTAAAATGAATAATGACATTTTGAATAATGAGGAAGGAATTGATTTTCCAGACTCAACAAAGAATTACGTGTCATTTGTCGGAGCGTTGCGGCTGAGTGCCTCCTATGCTGCCAACTCACAGGAGCGACTTTTCTCTATCATCTGATCAGCTTCATCTGATTGAAAAAAAAACCATATTTTTCTGGTGACAGGGAAATATATTTTAAAATGTATTTCTTAGTAAATTCAATGAAGTGAAATATTTGTTCTGGTTTCTTTCAACAGAAAATCAATTAAAAACTAAAGTAATGAAACTGGAAAATGAGCTTGAGGTATGTCTACCATGCATTATGTAATAGTCACATCTTAATCATTAACATCATTAACATGAAACCTGTTATTCTTGATTGACTAGGAAGTCTCATGAATCTCATTGTGTTCATATTTAGCAGTTTCTCTTGAGGCAGAAATATTCATTGTAAACAGATTGTGTTGGCATCTATATGGTCAGATGAGCCAGACTGAGCATAAATATAACACCGGTTGTGATTGATTCTGGACCATTGAGAATCACTCTTTGGGCCCCTTAATTAGGTTTGACCAATCTGGTGATTTTTCATTTCTGTTTGAAGGTGATTCCTCAGACATACCGATTTGCAGTGTGTGCTCATTCGCCATTATGACTTCTTTTCTTCATGAAACTAATTTGAATTGTTTCATAGAACAGTTTGGAAACTGGTGGCTTTTAAGCAAAGGCTTTATTTAGTTCCATTAAAAAAGTCTGCTAAATTAATATGAGTTTAACTGTAGTCACTGAAATCAGTTAAATTTTTAAATTAGTCTTTTTGTTATTCTCTATCATTATAGACTCTGAAGTTCTTTTGATTAATTAGCTAGATAAAATCTGATTTGTCATTGTATTTGGCTATTCATTCTCAGAAGTTGTATTCAGACAAATAAATTTTTATTTTGTTTTAAGATGGCACAGCAGTCTGCAGGAGGTCGGGATACACGGTTTTTGCGAGATGAAATTCGCCAGCTAGAAAAACAACTGGAACAGAAAGACAGAGAATTAGAGGATTTGGAAAAAGAGATGGAAAAAGAGAAAAAAGTCAATGAACAAGTAAGGAACCTTCCATTTATGTTCTCCAAATTTCTCTGAAGTCTAGCTTTGCTTGGTGGTTAAGTGGGGTGTCTTGATGGTGTTTCCCTGGAGGGACAGGAATTTATGCAAAGAAGACTGATCTTGGAGTCAGAAGATCTGAGTTTGAATCCTACCTCTGGCAGTGGCTCTGTAACCCAGGGGAAGTCACTCAATATTTCTGAAGCTTTCCTTATCTATTAAAATGGTATTAATAGATATATATTATTATAAGGATTAGCAAAATCATTATTTTAAAATTAAGCATATTGAGCATTATATAAAAATAAAAAGATATATAGGACAAGTAGGTGGATTTGGAGTTAGGGAGACCTGAGTTCAAATTCTGCCTTAGACACTTGCTAGCCATGGGACTCTAGGCAAGACACTTAAGCTCTTTGCCTCAGTTTCCTCATTGGTAAGATGGGGATCATAATATTTCCTAGGGATTTTATGAGGATAAAATGAGACAATATTTGTAAAGTGCTTTGCAAACCTAAAAGTGCTGTGTAAGTGAAGAGAGGTATATAGCTTTATTGATAATTATTGGCTACCCAGTTTGCTATTTGTGAAGAAGATTTACTCACTTTTAGTATTATATTGGCTTAAGGTGTTGTCAATCTCTGTGTTTCCTTCCTGTACTGTGATCTAGCTACTTGACCAGTCTGTATTTCAGCATTTATTTGGGGAGTTGAAATCACATGACCAATCACAAAAAACTCCCTTTCCCCCACCTTGCCCATACCTTGGTCATGTCTTCATTTCATATAGTGTGACTGTTTCAGGTAGGCACAACAGATATTTCTATATAAAGGCCAGTCTCTCTTGCAGTTATTGTAAACCCTGGTATATTGCCTAAAGAAAGCAGAGTGGGTAACAGTGTTGTGGGGGCATCCTTGATATTTACCATTAACCATAGTGACTAATGACTTTTGCGCTTTCCAGAGGTTTCCACTCTTATGAAGCTAGTGCATGAATTCTAGTTTGGGCTAGCTGCACAGTGGCTTGAGCATCTGGGATCTTGTCTTTGGTCAGAGAGAAGGAAAAAAAGGAATAAAGGAAAGAATAGTGGAGGCTCTAGAGAATGAGAAAATAAGATTTCACTGCTATTATAATCATAACCGTTTGCTCATTTAGGGGATAATAAGCACTGCAAGTGAAGCCATGTCACCGAAAAATAATACCATTTTTAGGGATACTATTTCCCTAGTTAGTGTTTATTGAGAGTAAAAAAGTGTTTAAGGTTTAGCAGATAACAGTACTTCTTAAACTAAAAACTGATCATCATACCAGTTATTAGTTTTAATTTCTTTAGCAAAAAAAAAGTATTCCCCCTCCCCCAAAATTTGTGGTGCTCATGTTTATTTACTTCATTTAATTCCTAAGTGGTTTCCCAAAGGTTCAGTTTAGTATTCATATTTCAGATAGAATTGAAGTCATGAGATAAGAATTGACTTTTTGGAAGGAGAATTTTATCTCAATTTCATAAGGTTGACTACTACAATTTTCATAATAAAATTGCTTCTAGCTTTTAATTTTAGTTGGTTTTATAAACAACTTCCTTTTTATGTCATTCTAGTTGGCTCTTCGTAATGAAGAAGCAGAAAATGAAAACAGCAAATTAAGGAGAGAGGTTGGTAAAAATAAATAAATGGGACATCATTCTATATATTATTGGTGATTCTACGAAGTTAATAGTTAGGAGTACCTTAGTGAACTCGAATTGTTTTCAAAACATGTATTCTAAGCACCTGTTCTTTTTAAACTCACTAGTTTTTATGTGAATTTTTCTCAAAGACTTAGAAACGAATTGAGAAGTGGAGATACTAAGTAATGCTGTCAGCTCTCAGTAATAAATGGACAAGTTTTGCTTACAAATTGATTATCATATGGTAATTTTTATGGCATATGACCAAACTTAAGTTATTATTTATCTAATTTTATCCAGTCAGTTAAAAGTTTCAGTCACTTGAAATCTCCCAAATTTTGGAAATATTTTACTTATTATTTTTATTGTTTGTTCCATCTGTTTTTAAGGTAGGGAATCACCTTTTACTTGTTTTCTTTAATAACTAATAATATTGCATTCTTTGGTTATCTAGAATAGCACATTTAATGTTTTATTTATCTTTTTTTCTTATTTCATTTTAAATATTGATCTTTTTATTTCTATTAACTTTTTACCATCCTTTTTTGGAGAACAAACATCTGAAAAAAAAGGTGAGGATTTAAGGATTTAGAAAATACGGGCATTTAAAGACATAAGTAATGGGGCCATTATTTAGAGAATAATTTTTATTGTAAGTAATTTTAATAGTGTTTGGGGTGGGTTGGGGTCTTTGGTTTATATGCAGAATGAACAGCTTCGTCAAGACATAATTGATTATCAGAAACAAATAGATTCACAAAAGGAAACACTTATGTCCAGGAGAGGAGAAGATAGTGATTATCGATTACAGTTGTCTAAAAAAAATTTCGAACTTGTGCAGTATCTGGATGAAATTCAGGTAAAAAAAAGTTTGCTTTTTAAAGAGTAAATTTCAAAGAGTATTCTTTTAAAAATGATATTTTTTTCGAATGAATTTGATCTGGACTTTATATTCTTGAGCTTTCAGTGATTTGAGACCTTCAGGTAAGAATTGTTTATGATTTATTTTTTCTCCCACGTAAAGGAACCTATCAGATTAGTATTAATGCCAGAATTAATATTTTTAAAATGCTCACTTTAAAAACAGGAAATAAATCAGTCCATAAATGTTGTAGCTCCTTTACCCCCCCTTGCCTAGCTTGTTTAGGTTTACCTTAGGACCAGCACTGTGAAGCTTATAGTAGGGCCTCTGTGCTCAATTTTTTCATTTTTCTTTCCTTTAATTGGTAAATGTCCATCTACATTCAAGCTAAAGACCTGGATAGAGAAGGTGTCTCTTCTCTAGTGATTATCCAGAAGGTCCCCCTTTCTTATTAATACAGTTCAACTATAAGATTTAAAATTACTTTAACTATGTTCACAAAATGGTATCAGTTACTCTTTCTGTAATTCCTCTCTTTGAAAGAATTTAACAGAAGCGAATGAGAAAATTGAAATTCAGAATCAAGAAATGAGAAAGAACTTGGAAGAATCAGTGCAGGAAATGGAGAAGATGACTGATGAATATAATAGGATGAAAATTATTGTTCAGCAAACTGATACTCTAATGGATCAGTTAAAAAAAGAAAGGGACCATAGTAGGCTTCAGGTAAGAATTATTTTTAACTTATTTTGTCTTTCCAAATAATGGTATGGAGGAAGCTTTGTCATTTTGACACTAACAATAAAGTTAATTTTGAAAATTGCTATATGAAATCAGAAATTTTATTAATTTCACTTAATTATGGACAGAACTATAGTGGAACCACCAGAAAACGATCATTGGTCAAACTATTTAGAGGAAATTGAATTAATTTAAAAAATAAATATATTGAATGTTCTTATAATCGAGGATGAATAAATATGTAGTTGTTTCAGAGATAGTATATACAGGGATAGGGACTGGACTTTTGTGTTTTTTTTTTTTTGCATAGGAAAGTCCCAGGTAAGGAATTTCCCTCATAAATGCAAGTTGGCACCTTCTCTGCAACTTAGAATCTTTTAAAAGTTACCAAGTGCACTGAGAAGTTATGTGACTCACTCAGCCAGTCTGTGCCAGCATAAAGAAATAGTAGTACATCTAAATCTACTCTTTCTAGTTTATTTGCACTTTAAAAAAAAAAGGCATTATTTCAGACTTGTCAAATTGGTCATTTTCAGGTACAGGAACTTACAGAACTTCTGAAAGCAAAAAATGAAGAAGATGATCCCGTCCTGGCTGCTGTTAATGCAAAGGTTGAGGAATGGAAGGTAGTTCTTCAAAATCGTTATGCAGTTTACTTGGGTCTAATTTTAGGCAATGTTCTTCACAATTTCTAGCTTTTATAAAAATGCTTATGCCAGCTACTTAATTGTATAAAAACATACGTATGTACCTACACACGTATACACGTGCACAGAGGTGTGGGGTTGTTTGTGTGTATGTGTGTATTTGTAGGTTTCATCCTTCATGGAAGCTCTTTCCTAATGCCTCTTAATGGCATGACCTTGATTCGGGGACCTCCATTCCAGTGGCACTCTGGTAGGTTCTGACCCCCTAGAAAGTCTTCGTGTTTCATTCTGTTGGAGATCCAAGAATCTTGGAATTCAGCATCTTCATTTGAGATGAGGAACAGACCTGCCAGGTCATCTAACCCTCATTTTACAGATAAAGAAACTGAGATGTAGAAAGGTGAATTACTTCAGTTCACCAAGGTGATAGTAAGTGGCAGAATTGGGATTGGAACTCAGGGCTTTTGGCTAGGGCTAGGGCTCTTTTCACTACTTACTTTTCATTAAGAAGTCATCAGGAATTTTTTCTTTGAGAAGAGTCTGGAGGTGATGAGCTCTGAACAACACGGAAATTAAAAACTGTTTGTATGTTAGCAGATAGAAAACTGAACACAAACATCTGTCTTTTCAGAATCAGCTATCTGTGCAAGTAAGACCAGAAGTTAAAATCAATACTAAGTTATAAGAAAGGATAAACGAGAGAGGTTATCCTGTGCAAGTATGACTGGTTTGATTGGTAGCTACGTGGCACAGTAGATAAGAGTGCTGGCCTAGAGTCACAAAGACTTTCTGATTTCAAATCTGGCCTCAGACACTTAGTAGCTGGGTGACACTGGGAAAATCACTTAACTTTGCCTCAGTTTTGTCTGTCAGATGAGAAGGAAATGGCTGACTAGTATCTTTGCCAAGAATACTCCAAATGGGGGCACGAAAAGTCAGACACACTAAAAACAACTGAACGACAAATATGGAAATGTGTTTAGGGGCAGCTCAAGGGCACAGTGGGTAGAGAACTGGGCCTGAAGTCAGGAAGACTCATCTGGCCTCAGACGCTTCCTAGCTGTATGACCGTGGACAAGTCATTTAACCCTGTCTGCCTCAGTTTCCTCATCTTTAAAATGATCTGGAGAAGGAAATGAGAAGTCGCTCCAGTATCTTTACCAAGAAAACCCCAAATAGGGTCGTGAAGATTTAGACAGAACAGAAATGAATGAACAACAGCAACAAACCGAGCTATTAACCACTGGGAATTAGATAAAGAAAAGGGATTGACACGTACTATTTCTTAAAGGTGTAAAATTGCTGCCTAATAAAGAGTAAAATAAGCAAGGATTTGTTATTCCAGACTTGAGAAAATTCGACATTCTTTTTGCAGAGAATTTTGGCTTCTAAAGATGATGAAATAATCGAATATCAACAAATGCTGTGTAATTTGAGAGAGAAACTTAGAAATGCCCAACTTGATGCTGACAAAAATAATGTTATTGCTCTACAACAGGTAAAAATCTTCACAGTTCCATTTTTTCCCAATATTTTCAGAAATTTGATGGTTATTTTGTTAGTGCCATATTTTGATTTATTTTAATGGTTTCTCTTTTAGCCACAATTTAATCAAAATGTGTTATTTATTTGTGGATGGTCTGGTATAATTGCTAACTTTCAAATTAGTAAAAACCTTTTATATCTTTTAAGATGTTTTAATTCCATGTTAGCATGGGATTATGTTGTTAGCATTTTAACCGGGGCTGATCTTGCCTTTTCATGAGAGGCTAACAGTTTGTACCCAGTGTAATTACGACAAAAAGAATACATTTCCAAATAGAATTTAGTTGTGTGGAAGTTAGTTAAGTTTTCATCCTTTGTTTCATCTAAACATTGTATAAATGAAAGCAAAAGATTGTTAGTGTTTAAAAGGATAATACTAGAAAGTATTACTACCAGAAAGAAATACCCCTTTTTTTTAAAAGAGGGGTGAAATGTGGAAAAATGAATTCTTCAGGAAAGCATAACAAAGAATCACAGGAAGGTAAAGTTAATTTATGATCAAGATTAGACCTTGTAGGGAGAAAAATTCACTTTATTTTTTATTGACATAAAATAAATGAGGTATCAATGAGAAAGAAAGATAACTTTGATTTTGTTTTGCATAAATGAAAAAAGAGTTAAGGAATTAAAAGAGTTAAGGAATTAAAAGGAAGCCAGCAAAAGTTAAGATGGTATAATCAAGGTATTTTCAAAACCTTAATTGATCAATTAGCTCATTAAATACTCAGTGACATCTCTCACATTGTGCCAGGCAACATTGGTTATACAAAGAAATATCAGACTTCATCCCTGACTCCCCAAAGAAAATATAATATATTTGAGGATCTGATTTATTCATATTTGACAGCGAGAGAACAAAGCCATATACAGATAGTATATATTTTTTTTCAGGGCATACAAGAAAGAGATGGTCAAATCAAGATGCTTACTGAACAAGTAGAACAGTACACAAAAGAAATGGAAGCAAATATACTGATTATTGAGAACTTGAGAAGTGAACTCAGGCAAAACAGAGGTAACTATTACTATGATTTTTGATGGGCTGTGTTACGTACATGTGGGAGTGCTCACAAAACCTCAGCAAATTTGTGATTTGATCCTTCGCTATTTGAAAAACATTTGAATTCTCTCTTCTTTTCCCAAATTATTTGTTGCACGCATGTCATTAGTTAAACAAATGTATAGTTAACATTTTAAGGTGCTGTTTTGTTAATCAGTTCTTCTTTTAGATGTTGTCTCTCATCCTTTGGACCAGATCAACAGCAATAGATGAAATTGTTGACATAACATATTATGACCCTGCGCAAGTCACTTTACCCTGTTTGCCTCAGTTTCTCATCTGTAAAATGAGTTGGAGAAGGAAATTGGCAAACCACTCCAGTTATCTTTGCCAGGAAAATCCCAAAATGGGGTCACAGAGAGTTGGATGTGATTGAAACAGCACAACAACAAATGTGCCAGTGATTGTGTTAGGGATACAAAGAAAGGCGAAAACCATTCCCTGCCCTCAAGGAGCTTACATTCTTTTTTTTTTATTCGTGAGGCAATTGGGGTTAAGTGACTTGCTCAGGGTCACAGAGCTAGTAAGTGTTATGTGTCTGAGGCCAGATTTGAACTCAAGTCCTCCTGACTCCAGGGCCAGTGCTCTTTCCACGGTGCCACCTAGCTTCCCCAAGGAGCTTACATTCTAATGGGACAGAAATCCATAAAAGGTATAAGAGGAAGTATAACTAATATAAATCATATAACGTGCCAGTTAATGTCACATTTCCAACCAGAAGTGTAAAGTTTTTGAGGACGAGGACTGTGTTTTATGCATTTCTTTGTATTGCTAGGCCCTTGCATGTAGTAAACAGTCAGTTCAATATTTGTTTACAATATTGTCAAACTCGGAGGAGGAAAAAAATCTATTTAAATCTTACTTAGAAAGTGTAAGCATGTGGTATTTTAGTTGAGTTATTGTGTTCAGCTGTGTCATCTTTTAGTTTGTCGGTGATTTGGATTTTTATCCACTAGGTTCTTCATCCGTGTCTCAGATGAATCATTTTGTAGAAATGCAAACAAAGCTTCGAAACTTAGAAACGAAAAACAAAGATGCGGAGAGGGCAGCAGAGCTGGCGGAAGCTGACGCTAGGGAGAAGGACAAAGAACTTGTCGAGGCTCTGAAGCGACTGAAAGATTATGAAGCGGTATGGGTTTTATGTTACAGAAGAGGAAGCTTAGACAGTCTTTATTGTTGACTTTTTATAATTAAATTATCTTTTCACGTGATCTTTGTTGAAAGCTGACAGGTTGACATTTTAAAGATATTTTTAAAGATTGCTCTCTTCTCTGGTAGTTTTTTGGTGCTGTGATTGCAGTCTTCTGACAGACTCCTAAGATGTCACCTTTTCTGACCCGTTGAGTGTACCTACAGTTGGGGGGCAGCTGCTTCTCTCTGCGGTTTTAATTTCCAGCCTTCAGCTGTATTTAGTCCAAAATCAGCATCCGTAGCGCAATTTATATTTAGTTGAAGTCCTTGCCAATTTTACCAACGTTGAGCTAGACCATAACTGATGTATTATGCCTGAAGTTATAGTAAGAATGATTTTGGAAATAATTTGTTATTTAATGTACAAACACAGCCCTTGTTTTTGCTTTTAATATTTTGGAGCTTAGGTATATCCTTGGCGCTTCAGCAGTGTCTTTGTACCAATGTATTCTCCTGAAATATTTCCTGGCTCTTCTCTTTCTTTTTACTTCTCATAAGTGTTTCATAAGTATTATCTCTGCATTGTTTTGCTGCTAAAATTCTCTTGTTATCAAAGCCACGCCATTTGAGTCTTTTTCTTCATTACGTCATTAGTAAACACATAAAAGTACAATACAAGATTAGAGAATTCTATAAACCTCTGTTGTGTTTTTATAGACATTTTAGATAAAAAGTGAGTTATGTGTTTTTAAATTAGATCAGAAATTCATTTTCATTCTAAAGGGACTGTATGGTCTAGAAGACGCTGTTGCTGAAATAAAGACTTATAAGTCTCAAGTCAAAATAAGGGACCAAGAAATTGAAGCATTAACTACAGAAATGAACAAACTTGAATTAAAGATTAATGATTTCCTTGATGAAAATGAAGACCTTCGGGAACGTTTGGGTAAGAAAAATTTCAAAAACTTTCTGTAGAGTGTAACTTTTTACTCAACGTTTTGTAAATGAAAATATTTTAATTGTAAAGCACTTAGCACAGTGCCTGGCACATAGTAAATGCTACATAAATGTTAGCTATCGTCATTATTATTAATAGTAATAATAAATTTCTATGTGAGTAATTAGAAGTTAGAAGTAAATTCATTTATTCACTAACTTTTTTTGAGAACTTGGTAGTGTTTATACCATACCTCCCCATGGTTAAATTGATCAGCAAAGTGCTCTTGACTCACATAAATTTATGATATTAACAAATTTTCTTTAAAGCTGTTTCAAAGAACTATCCTTTTTATGTATTTGACTCATTATAACCAAAACAAATTTTCTTGTTTATGTAGTCTTAAATAAATGATACAATTTTATCTTATTTATCTGGCATCAATGAGGAATTAGGTATTATACTTAAGTACTTTTCTAGAGAATTAGAAGGAAAAGTATTGCGTTGTAAAAGTTCCTTACAAGCTGGATGAAACAAAAGTTAAATTCAATAACAAATTAGAAGAACGGATAAAGGAAGGTACTGTATACCATTAAACATCTCCAACCTAACTTGTGGCTGGACTTGGCCAAATATATACTGAAGAAGAGGGTCTGGAAGCAATACATCAGTCAATCAATTAAGTGTTTAATTGGGACCAAAGGAATGAGAAAACACATTTCAAGACTTAGTTCTAAATAAATGCACACTTTTCCCTGATTTCTACCATAGTAACCTGGCCAAATAATATTTGTGATTTCTGCCTCTGCAGTGAGGATAAATATCTTTCTCTAGAGCCAAAATGAGTTGATTATAAGCTGCAGTAAGCTGCAGTATAGATATCCTTGAGGTTGAAGTTTGTATCTGACTGCATTAGGAAGCTCTGGTTCATCTCTCCTTTGGATTCAGCTGCCTGCCCCCATGTTCTTCTGCCTTCCCTTTCTCCCTTCCCCCCCACCTCAATCCAGGGAGAGGTCTGCCTTAGGAAAAAGCAAGCTTCACCGGTTCCCTAGAAGGTATTAACATATAATCTCCTCTGCATTTTATTGTTGATGTGGATTCTTTCCATAAAGTAATTCATCTGTCAAGGAGTGTCCATCTTCAAATGGTCAGTGATTCCTTCCTAGGATGTACTTCCTTGACTCTGTTTTCCTACTTGTCATGAGAGAGTCTAGCTCACTTTCATATGGGCAGCAGATGGTTGCAGTGGATTGTCTTCATAGGACCCCAGCAGTTCTCTACAGCTATTTTGTAGCTTAGAAGATTACCCATTTCTTTAAACTGCCTTGCATCAGTGGTATTCTACCTGCAGTACTTTATTGGTGTAGCTCCATCTTCTACTATTCCCTCAATAGCAGGATGCCCCCGGAAAGCTAAACTTGGATCTCCAGGAGTCACACCTCTTTCTTTTGTCCTGTATTACTTCTTAGACATATGTCAGCTCCACTTAGTGCTAATTATCCAAGGACAGTTATTCCAGAATATACTTACTCTGGTTCAGTGCTCCAACATTTATTCTCATCAATAGCATATACTGGTCAAGGGAAGTTCTAGATTCTCAGGTCTGCTTTGTTGCATGATTGTCCCAGTGCCTTGAATATCATAGATAACTATTGTTGCTTACCTGGGTTTTTGATGCATGGAACCCACGGGGTGGGACCTCTACATCAATGTTGATATTTCCCAGACATTAATGCATCCTGAACTCAATAGTTGGTCAACATTGCTACATATCTCTGGCTGGTGACATCCCCTTGGAATTAGGCTATATATACATTGTTTAAATTTTATCAGTTACAACCACCTGAAAGGGAAGAATTTCAGTTTGTGGATATGATGAGTCTTACTATCTGTGAGGTTTCTGTTGGCAAAATAAAATTGCTGTCTGGTAGCCATCAGCACCCAAACATACTCCCAAATCCTCTAGGTTAATATCAGTGGATCCAAAGAACTTGCTTGGATCTGAAAAACCCATACTAGTATGTGTTGGCCAAACCCTTAAGGGACTTGCTCATATTTCTCATGCCCCAAATATTTAAACAGAGTAGAAGCAAAACTCATTTAAAAAGTGTACGTGGATTGAATTTCTTCAAGATATCTCAGAGTGGTAAAGAGTCCAAGCAATGAAAGATGATACTTTTACCAAAAAAGGGGGTGGAGCTGACTTAGTGGTCTCATATACTTACTTTAAGTTATAAAATATTTGTGAGAATGATGTGTGCTTCTATCAAGGGTACCCTTCTTAAAAACATCAACAGAAAAGGCATTCTTTCGCAGTTTTCTAGACTGGAGCTTATCTTCATAGTCAATATATCCTTTTGTGTCTTTTAGTTAATTAAAAAAAAGCATTCAGTTTAATAAAACTAAAGGGGAGGTCCTTAAAGATAAACAAGCTGCCTCTCATACATGTTAAAGTTATGACATTCTATGACAAATTCAACTAGAGATGTTTATTTAATGCTTCAGTATGTACAGTATTGACTTTTTTCAATGCATCACATTGCCTCCTCCAATAGAAGAAAGTTTCCATATTGGTGGCATTATTCTCCACATCTTGCCCTTCGTAGAAGACATTACATTAATTACATAGTGTGCCAGAAAGCTACAAAGCATCCCTAGTGAAATCCATAGTCATTGATTTGATTATAGTCAGAAATGATTGATTTCACCATCCACACTGGAAAAAGCAAAGTGGATGAAAAGCAAATACTGCACTGATTGGCACATTCGGGTGAATGAATGTTGAGTTAGTTCATCTATGTGTATTTTGGACAAGCAATATAGTTAGACATAAAATTGTACACAGAATTGAGTAGGGGGTTGGGATGGGTCTCATTTGGGAAGCTGAGTAGTGTTTTCTGTTATCCCCAGTTGCTTGTTGCCATAGAACTTTACCTGTTTAACACCAGAGTTCTTGCTCTAATAATCTAGTCCTGTGAATACTACAATCTTGGAAGAAAAAAAAATAAAAATTCCTGGTGACCTACTAATGGAGAGATATTCAATGGACATACTTAGCCTCAGCTCTTGAAAACTGTGTTTAAATTGATCAGTGATATCATTGATTTGGATACTTTCTCCAAGGATGTATAACATAATATATCTGGGCCTTTCCATCCTACATAATTCTTGTCCATATCTTCCCATAAATTCATCATACAGAGCCCATCTAACATTCTAGGGACTACCCTTTCTTTTGACATCTCAGGCATACAACTAAAGCACTTTGTCTCCCTGTTATCGCTTATCTTGGGACCAGACCATTTTTATTTTCAATTAGATGCTCCCCTAATGACATTCTTTACTTCAGTTCCTTGTTAAAGTTCCTTATTTGTTACTTTATAGCCTGTCAACCCCCTCTGATACTGCCTTTTGTGTGACACTCATTTTTAATTCTTTGGAGACTGTTTAGTTCCATATCTTATAGCCACATAGTGATAGTGGTGGAATATTAATATTGAAAAAATGGTAGCTTGTTTCTGAGAAAAGCTTTGGGCCATTAATAAAGATTTGCAATTTCCTCGAGGCAATACAGCCTACTCTTCTCCTATGTAATTCTGGACCCATCTTGTACCTCCTGGTCCAGATAACATGCTGATGGATGACGTATGTTAGACACTGACAGCTACACTAGTGAATAATATGGGATTCTTTTTCCCATGAGGAGCTTAGAATGTTGATATGCAGTAATGTTCTCTTATTCAGAGGTAAATTCAACCCACCAGAGCACTGCAGTGAACACAGAAATAAGTAGAAAAAGGTTGTGAAGTTATTGAAATAGTATGTACACTTTCCTTGATAGGAAAGGCTTACAGGTCTTGCATCTGATCTTACCTGAGTTGGAGTATTTATTTTCAGGGTATACAGTAGATTTAAAATAGAGTAGAAAAGAGATATGGGAGTACTTTTAGAAGTGGCCAGACTTCTAGTATAAAAGTTGAAAACTAGAACTAAGACTAAGGAAGAGTCAGAAAAACTAGAACTCACAGAAAGCTCAGCAGATTGCGGCAGTTTGCAATTTTTGTATTGGCCATTGAGTGAAAGATACTTTGGCCACATGAGCTCGGGAAGATTTGGCATCTGTGCTAATAGGTGAGTGTCCATGCTGATGAAAACACAGATCTTTCATAGGATTACATCCCCCTGTAGCTGCTCAGGGTTGGTGTTCATTGTGATAACCCTGAATTCTTACCCTGGAACATCTGTCCACTATACTGACCTCCTTCCATTGGTAGGTTCCTCTAGTGACCTCCATTTTGGGGGGAGGCCCAGGTCTGCCATCCTACCTTGCCCTCTCATCTACTGCTTCTGACTTCAATTACCATGTTAGAACTTTTCAGCACAAGATATGTGAGCTGTCAACTTGATAAAAAAAAAAGTACATCATACAACTTAGATCATAGATTCAGAGCTGCAAGGGATCTTAATGGTCATCTAGTCTAGCCCCTATATTTTATAGAGAAAAACACTGAGACTCAGAATGATAAGTGACTTGCTCAGGGTCACACAGATGGAAAATAATGAAGCCAGGATTGAAATCCAAAACTTTTTTGAAAAACTTTGGATTTTGGTAACTTTTTTTTTTGTAGGGAATTGTGAGGGATAATATTTGTTCAAAGATTTTTTGTAGCAGAAGCTTTCGTAAATATAGGTAACTAGAAGAAAACCCAAATTTCTGACAGTAAGAGTTATGGCTAAATACATTTTATATTGGTGTAATGGAATATTGTACAATTAAAATCAACACATGTAATGAACATAAAGAAATATGGAAAGAATTGCTGAATAGTGCAAAGCCAAAAAAAAAAAAAGAATCAAAAGAGAGAATGTTAATTATACCATGTAAGAGGATGAATAAATAGGAGTGAATAGACATACAGAGACTGTTAACGCCTGTTTAGAGGAAGTGACTCAAGAAGTTTTAGAGCACTTTACATGATAAAATTTATGTAAGTGTAAATATTTGCAATGCAAGTTTGGCTATGTATATATTTAATATTAAATTTATGGTCGCTTTTGAAAATAAGAGGTTACATTGTGTTCACTTATGCACAGCTGAAGTGGGCAGTATTATGTACTTTGGGAGGATTTCCATTAGATGTTAATATGACTTTAAACAATTTGGGCACTTTAATTTTTTTCAGTTATTGCAAAATTTCATTTCCTTATGATTCTAGATATATAAGACATTATTGTAGCAATTAATTGTCTTGTTTATTTCTATGTCAATTCCTAATTTTTATTCTTTATTTTAGGTCTTGATCCAAAGACAATGATTGATTTAACTGAGTTTAGAAAGAGCAAAAATCTAAAACAACAGCAGTATAAAGCTGAAAACCAGGTTCTTTTAAAAGAGGCAAGTGTTATGTTCAGAAATTTCTTTTCTTGGTTGATATAAAGTACACTATTAATAGTTCATATTTTACAGATTGAAAGCCTGGAAGAAGAAAGACTTGAACTGAAACAGAAGATTCGAAAAATGGCTCAAGATAAAGCAAAGAAATTTGGAACTTTAGGTATAGTCATTTCACTTTTATTAAAGCAGGACAGTGTCGATATGGGGTTGCAAATTTCTTATTGTGAGAAATGTGTTTTTTTCTTCTTCATGGTTTGTTCAGAATGTATTAGAAGCAATAAAAATATGGCCCAGTTAGCCAACATTTATATTGTTAGTGTAGCATAGTTCTGAAATGGAATCTGATCACAGTAGTTTTCTCAGTTTCTTCATTTGTAAAATGGGAAAATTGAACTCAGTGATCTTTACAATCCTTTTAAGCTCTAAATCTATTATCCTATTACCTTATGTAAAAACGACCACCCTATCCTCCACCATGTAAAGGCCATGTGTTAGATTTATCATTTCTAGGGGTTCCCCAGCACCCTTAAGGAGATGGGGGGGTATCTAAGCTCTTTGCAAATGGTTCTGTGGTGGTTTTCCATCAAGTGATATTTTTCCTCCAAGTGTAGGGGTGGGTGATCTCCTGTACCCTGGTTCCTCTTAACCACTAACAGATTAGGTTTCATATAGAAATCTTTACTTCAAAAGGTATAATCATAAATATACAGAATTATTCTACCAACCCACGGGAGACATAATCCTCCTTTCTCCATAAACCACCTCATTCTCTGGGGAGGAGAAGGGATTAGGGTCATAGCTTACCTCATTTCTTGTAGAAGTTAAAATAAAGGGCTGAATCACAATCTGATATGCTTCAGGTGAAGTTAAAAAGACAGGAGTAGCAATCATGATCTCAGACAAAGCAAAAGCAGAAATAGACCTACTTAAAAGAGATAATCAGGGAAACTACCTTTTGCTGAAAGGTGCCATAGACAAGAAGTAATATCCAAAAGTTTTACAGCAAGTTACTCTGATAAAGGCCTCATTTCTCAAATATAGGGAACTAAGTCAAATTTATAAAAATAAGAGCCATTCCCCAATTGATAAATGGTCAAAGGATATGAACAGGCAGTTTTCAGAAGAAGAAATCAAAGCTATCTATAGTCATATGAAAAAAATGCTCTAAGTCACAACTGATTCTTAATTCTTAATTCTGATTCTTAATAATGTGGGTCCACAACCCACAGTTTAAGAAACACTGAAGAGGGCGAGTGGAAGAAATTTAAGAAGCCCTGGATTAGAGAAATGCCAGTTAAAACAATTCTAAGATAGCACCTCACACCTATTAGAAAGACTAATGCTGGAAGGAATGAAGGAAAATAGCTACATTAATGAATTGTTGGTAGAGTTGTGAACTGGTCCAGTCATTCTGGAGAACAATTTGAAACTATTTCCAAAGGGCTATAAAGCTGCATATACCCTTTGACCCAGGAATAGCACTATTAAGTCTCTGTCCCAAAGAGATCAAAGAAAAAGGGAAAGGACCTACAGTACAAAAAATAACAGCTTTTTTTTTTTTTTTTGTGGTGCCAAAGAATTGGAAACCTAGGGAATGCTTATTAATTAAAGAATGGCTGAATAAGTCACATATGATTGTGACCACGTACTGTTGTGCTATAAACAATGACTAGAGGAGGTGGTTTCAGAAAAAACATGGCAAGATTTATATGAACTGAGCCCAAGTGAAGTGAGAAGAACCACGGGATCATTGTACACAGTAACAGCAATGTTATAATGATGACCACCTGTAAAAGACTTGGCTACTCTGATCAATATAATGATCCACGACAGTTCCAAAGGAATTTTTGCAGTATGGCTAATATGGAAATATGTTTTGCATGATTTCACACATATCATTGATATATTCCTTGCCTTCTCAGTGAGTGGGGTAGGGAGGGAGAAAATTTAGATCTCAAAATTTAAAAAGGGAAGAATGTCAAATAGTGAGTTCTTAAAAACCCAACAATCCTAACATATGCACCCAAAGTCATGGATCAGTTGGGATTTGCCCAGGAATGGGGCAAAACCTATAACACTGAGCTCATGGATTCATAAAACTATATCTAATATGAGGAATGTTATAATTAAGTTTTCTACTTTTTCTTTGCTTCTGATTTTTTTTTTTATACATTTGGTATGAACAGCTGGTGACCTACATCTGACCAACATCTTTAATCAGGAACTGAGAGTGGAAGAAAGAAAATCTCAGCTAGTGAGCTCTGAAAATATTGATGAATTTAAATTAAAGGTAAGCTCCTGCAAATGTCATTTAAGGAGAATTTGTAATAGACTCTGCTGAAGAGGAAAAGGAAAAATAATGACTGAGATTTTTTTTCTTTCTTTTGATTTTGCATTTTGAAGATTTACCCTGTCTTTTTTATAATTGTTAGTTTTTAATAAAACACTGTATTTAGTGATCGAGTCATTAATAAATCATTATTTACTCTGAATACAGATTAGAAGCTCAGATAAAATAGAATCAGCATATATGAGAGCACCATGCAGTGGTCTACAGTCAGATCAGAATATTCCTGAAAGAAGCATGATGTTAGGAAAATTATCAAGAAAAATTTCTCAGATGCTTCAGAGTGGAGATCAGCCTATAAGCAGGCATTCTTTTGCCCATTTATCAAGAGATTCTTCACCTATACAGATCAAACATCGCAGTTCAAGTCCCGAAGGCTTTACGATTAGACAGATTTATAAAGCACCATGTCTGCAGTCTACAAGGAATTTAGAATCTCTCATCTATAGGCAGAGCCCAGAAGACCCAAATGATCACTTGTATTCCCTTTCTGATGACTATCTAAAGCGAGGTTCCACAAGTCATCAGGCCCTAGAGAAAAGCAGTCAAATTACAGTGTCAAGAGGCTCCTTAAACTTAATGAAGCAAGATTCTCCTGCTGGACAGAGGCTGACACTTAGCCAGAAATCCTCAATTTTTTGTCATCTTATTCATGATAAAACAGCTATCATGGAAAAGTCACAAATAGTGAAACCAGAGGTTGAGCGACTTCCTACTTCAAAAAAGCTTTCTGGTGATAAAGATGATTTGAAAGATGATGTATCAAAAGAGCACATCCCACTCCAAACAAAGATTTTGAAGAGTAAGCTTGAAAGTAGCCTTCATGCCACAGAATCTTGGCATAGTGTAGCCCCAGCAAAATTATCTCACCTAGATCCTGTTGAAAACCTTATAGAGCAGCTGCGGAAGGAACTCGTGTTTCTTAGGTCTCAGGTGAGTTTCCTTCCACCAAATGTTCCAATGTGTGGCTTACAGAAGTTTTTCTTTTACCTTCAGATGTATTTGACCAAGTTCAATACGAATATACTTTTAGAGGTTTAAGTGCATGAAATTAAAAAAAAAGAAAGCAAATTCCTTCAGGTCATGTTACTTTTAAAAAGTATTAACAACAAAATGTATATTACAAAAAAGCAGCATAAAGTCAGTACAACTCGTTGACTTCACTGTTCATTAAATGTTCCTTTAGAATGAGCTGATATTCCATGATTTGTTGATTAAGGAAGCACAAAGCAGAGATACAGAACTAGAACTTCAGAGACACAGGAGCCAGGCAGAGCAGGTAGTGCCCAAATCTGACAATTGAAAAGAGAAATTGATTGGACTATATGTATAAACATTCCTCGTAGTATTTCTTGGAGAATAAAGTATGTGTGTATATGGGGGAGGACGGGCAGGCACAGGGGAATGAGTACTTTTATATTATTTTGTTTCTACATTAACCCTTGTCTGTGGACTCAGTTAGTGGTGAGTAATGCTTAAATTGGTGAGCCTTTCTGAAATGATCTGTCTTAAATATTCTCTGTCTAAAAATGCAAATTATATTTTTGTTCATTCATTTTTCCCCATTGATAGAATGAGTATCTTTCAAAGGAACTAAATGAAAAGGAAAGAGATTTGGAAAGGAATAGAATAGTAATAACCAAGTTCCAAAACAAAGGTGAGTTATATTTGGATACTATATTGCATTATATTTATTTATGTTTTGTCTTAGAACAGCTTTCCCATACTTAGTCATGAGAGAATGAATGAATAAATGACAAAAAAAAACATTAACTGAGAGCTTACTCTCTGCTAAGCACTATGAGGGAGTTCCTGCCACAAACAGCTTCTATTCTAAGATGGGGAGAGGACACACTGAAGGGAGTAGTGGTCAGGGTGGGGTGATTTGGTCTGAAAGTCAGAGAACTGGTGAGTGGAACAATAAGATTGTCTAAGGACCCCTCCTTCCTTGAGGCTGTAATAATAGGAGTGGTTTGATTGCTATTCTCCAGTGCGAGAAGTGGGAAATGGGAAGGGGGAGAATGGGCTGGGTGAAGATGAGGAAGGAGAACTCAGTGGCATTGCTTCTCCCAGGCAGGATATCTGGTGATTCTGTCTGAAAGGTGAGTCAGCTTCAGGTGGCAGGGAGGGAGGTAAATCTACTATATGCTATAGGATGTTGCATTAAGAAGAACACTGACTCTGAGGTCAGGAACTGGGTCCGGTGCCTGCCTCGATACCTGCTTCCTGTGTGAGCTTGGTTACTTCAGCTCTCCAGGCATCTGTTTCCCTCTCTGTAAAATGAGGGCTTTGGGTTAAATAGCCTTTAAGTTCCCTTCCATTTCTGGATCTATGATCCTGTTATCATGATATCAGATTTAATCTGTTTTCAGATCAGAGCTGTACAGGTTAAGCAGGGGTGGGGAACCTGCCGCCTAGAGGCCACATAGGGCCACATTTGAGGACCTAGAGGGCCACATGTGACTTTGAGGTGGCAGGTTCCCCACCCCTGGTCTAACTAAAGACTTTCATAAAGCCTCGTTTTCCTCCTCTGTAGTCCAACGTATTACCTTATAGCCTCCCCTCTCACGGTTTGTGCTGCTCAAATCCTTTCTGTGTCATATGAAACTATTTCAGTTTTCAGTAAATAAATATTTGTTAAGTACCTATCATGTGCCCAGCACTGAGGTACAAAAAAAGGCAAAAAACAGTCTTTGCTGTTAGGAAATACACAGTCCAGTGGGAGAGTCAACATGCAATCAGCTGGTACCAACCAGGTATTAAATAAGATGAACAGGAGATAATCAAAACAGAAAAGACACTAGGATTAAGGGGAATCAGGAAAAGCTTCCTAATTAAAACCCCCATCTTCTGGAACTGAGAAGCCTTTCCTGATCCTTCTTAATTTAGGGCCTTTCTTCTATTAATTATTTTCTGTTTATCCTGTATATAGTGTGTTTGTACCAATTTGTTTGTTTATCTTTCAAATTAGATTGTGAACTCCTAGAAGGCAGAGACTGTCTTTTGCCAGTATTTTTATCTTCAGCTCTTAACACAGTGCCTGGCACATAGTAGTTGCTTTGTAAATGCTTATTGATGAACTGACTATCTAATTTTTTCTCAAACTGAGATTGCTAGATAGATTCAGAGATAGGGAGCTCTAGATAGGATCCCTATTTAATCAGAGTAAATGTAGATAATCTGTTTTTAAAAGTTTGTGTTTTTATTATTCTTCTACTCAAATAGTAATTTTCTATTACCAACTTCTGTTTCTATGTGAAATATTCTTAATCATAGAGTCTCAGAGTTGATAAGGACCTTAAAAGTCATCTGATTTAACCGGTGCTTGAAGTATGAATGCCTTTTATAGCTTATCAGTATTTGTTACTTATTAAAATTTGCTGAAGTTATGATAAGTCTTTGTTTATCAAAGTAGAAAAATGTATATTTAATTCCAGTAAAAGAACTTGTGGAAGAAAAAGCACAGCTTGAAGAAGGTTTGAAAGAAATATTGCAGACCATTAAGGAAATGCAGACAGAGCCTGGTGTTAAAGGAGAAACACCTCTGGTCATCCCTAGTCTTGAAAAATTAGTTAATGTAAGTTTTCTTCATATGAATGGATTTATTTTAGTTCTTTTAGGACTCTTGCTTTTGGAAGCATTTCTCTTATTTTCTTGGACCTTACTGATCTTTGGAAAATAGGCACCAAACATGAGAGCTATCACCAAACATGTGACAATTAAATATGGGCGTATATTTACTTCAGCATTTCAAAGAATAGCATCAGCTATCAGAATTAGGAAGTGACTTCAGTAGTTTCTGTCTTTGTCTCCCTCCCGTCATCCCCTCTTGTTTCCTCAGATACCTCCATATTCTCGTGGAAGGATTTCTCTGCAGCTCAGTCATACAATTTCTTAATCCCTTCAGTTTAAACAACATCCTTCTCCACTTAATTGTCACCCAGGGATTAGTGATCAGCCCTTTACCATATAATGGGAATGAACTGCTTCCATGTTCCAAGGGTTGGTGGTTGGAGCAGAATTTTGATCCCTGATCTTTGTCTCTGCCCCTCTGTCACTCACACTTAACCTAAATCTTTGTCCTTATTGCCATGCCGTCCCTTCTTGCCCTTCTCCCTCTCTGGCTTCACGTATGTGTATCTCGGGCTTTGGGCCGATGGTCTTTCACTTTAGTGTGTCGTTAGTGACTACCATGGAATTCCTTGTGCCCTGATGTCCTGTTGTTATTAACCTCCACAGCCTCATCACGTACTTACATTCACCATTCGATTCCTTAAGGGTAATCATTACCAAGTTGCTGGAAGTAGTCATGAAGTCGAGGTGATTTCGTTTGCTGCAGATTTGCTGTAGTCAGCTGTGTCTGGGCGTTGTTGCTACTTCGCAATACTCCATCTCTATCCTTGTCAATGCCCTCTATCAGCCACTATAGCCATTGTCCCATGTCTTTTCTCCTCCCAACCCCGGCTACACTCGCTTTCTTCATACTTGGAAGATATACTTTTATTTCATAGGGGAGGATTGAATCTGTCTAAAGCTTAGCTCACTGCCCCTACTCCTTATCTTAGCATCATCACCATCTTTCTCTTTCTCTGCTGTGATTACAGAGGTCAGTCAGAGAGTGTGCTGAGTTCTGAGAATACAAATATAAGCAGAAAGACAGTCCCTGCTCTCAAGGTACATACATTCTAATAGGAGAAGATAACACATAATAGAAGCTGAAATTGGGGAATGGGGAGAAAGAAGAAGAAAAAGGTACCCAGGTCATGATGGGGAAAGTTTGGAGGGTAGCCTGGAGAGAACTGTCACATAATGGTCTAGGAGGGAGTTGTATTCTATATTTCAAACACCTTAGGTGTGCATATTTGTGTATGTATATGTGTATGTGCATATATATATATGTATATGTCTGTGTGTTTTATAATTTAATTGGATTGTTGAACAATATTTCCATAGTCTTCTATCATAGAATCTGATTTAATTTTTTAACATCGTTTCATGTGAGTGAGTGTGTGTGTATGTGTGTGTGTATCTGTATGCACACACATACATGTATACATGTATATAAATATATATTCAACAGAGATACCTTGCTTTGTTTTTTTTTTTTGTTTCTTTGTTTTTTGTTTGTTTTTGCTAGGCAATGGGGTTAAGTGACTTGCCCAGAGTCACACAGCTAGTGAGTGTTTTGTGTCTGAGGCCAGATTTGAACTCAAGTCCTCCTGAGTCCGGGGCCGGTGCTCTATCCACTGCACCATGTAGCTGCCCCGATACCTTATTTTAATAACAGCTTCTAAGGTTGTATTTTGTTCTACTGTTAACTTAAAAAAAAATAAAGGACAGTGAGATTTTATGTGTTTTACAACTCAGCTTATTGTGTAAATATGAAGATACAGGCAACTGAAAAATGATTTTCTTCAAAGGCCTGTTTTCTTCTTATTAAGATCAGATAACCTGTAGATTATTCATAAAGGTTTTATATAAATGGAAAAGTAGGCATGTGCAGGACTAGTTGTTAATGCCTTCTTGGTTAGCTTTCAGTGAATAAAAGCATAATTTCTTATCTTTTTTTTTTTTTGAATCTTTTCCTCTGAGATATCTTGAAAACAGATTCTTGAGTGCTTTAAAAATTTTGCCCTTTAAGTGTCAATGACGATACAGAATTCTTATGTGTTTATTTGATTATGTCCAACTGGGTGAAGCTCATAGTCTAGTAGGGTCTAAGATAGAGACAGATAATTAAATTATTCAATATTAGCATGTTATGCACATTAGAGTTATGAAGGAAAATGTTCTGCGTGGTTCTAAGAAAAAGATTATCATACCAATGTTCTATCAGTACTTAAATATTTATTTTCTCATTTAAAATGTATTTTTAATGTATTAGGCTATGGATTTGAGGAATGCTGAGGGAGTCTTTGATGCCCACCTACATTTGAAAGCCCAAGTTGACCAACTTATAGGACGAAATGATGAATTAAGAGATGAGCTTAAAGAAACTCGGAAAGAGGCTACAAATTACTCTCAACAGCTGGCAAAAGCAAATTTAAAGGTATGTAATTTGGTAAATAAAAAGTTACTAAGAAGTCATAGAAAGATTGAGTTAATACAGTTGAATTAGTATGAAAAATACATGCTTTTAATTTTTTTAAAAACAGCCACAGATAGATACTTTTGTGGTAATTTGTGAGAATATTGCTTCTTGTTATTCCTACTGAGAAGACAGAAGACATTTATAAAAGTAGAAATTGGTCAGTGATTGGTCTGTGAACGTGAAAAGAAAAGTGTAGCTGCATGTCTTCACCTAAGTAGAAACTGAAGTTTGGTTTCAGTTCATTCAAGGCGCTGTATTTGCACCTTCTTTCTCTGACAGATAGAAGAGTACAGTGTGAAGTGTAGCATTATAGATGTAAAGCCTGATTTTTTTTTCCTGGACAAAACATTCTTACCGTATTACTTGAACTTTAAGATTTTTTTTTCTGGTTTGTTTTTAGATGGAAAATCTTGAGAAAGAAATTTGTCTCTTACATCAAGCAAAAGGATCAAATATTGTATTCAAAGGATTCGACTTACCGGATGGGATGACATCGTCAAGTGCAAATATAATTAATTCTCAAAATGAATACTTGATATATATTTTACAGGTAGTTAAGTTTTTAAGGTTAAATCACATGATTTCTGTTGTTTCTTATTTTAATGTTAGTACATCATATGGGGATTCTTTAACTTCTTTACACAGGGATACATTAGTAAATTTTAATATACTTTGCCAACAAGAGCCTGTTCATCTACTCAGGCATATTCAATCCATCTTGACCTTCGAGCTAGCCATAGGACAGGGATGGTGGATCACCAGATAACAAATAACTGTTACAAAGGGAGCAGTAGGATCCAGAAGAGAAAGAGATAGGAGAGAAAAGAGTTTGCCTGGCATCTCTTCTTAGGTCAATGATGGCAACTGTGGCTTGCCAGTCCTCGCCAGACTCAGTTTTTAAATAAAAACAATTATTTCTTCCTGCCTCTTAGCATTAAAAAGATGAAATAAAGCATCACTGAACTTGAATGTTTCTGCAGCTAACTGTGGATCATTCTTTTGATGATTCTGTTCTTCCTTAAAATAGAATAAGATAAAATTGAGTGGCACAGAAGGAGAGAGAAGCTTTTCATTATTTTATTTAAGGAGTCTTTTAAAAGCCAAAGAAAATTATTTTCCCCACTCTCTGTGCTACTGTTCCCTTCACCAGTTTACATCATGAAGAATTGAGCTTTCTTCATTTATAATTATATAATTTATTATAATATAGTCCTTCAATTATAATTATTACAATAGCAGTTACGTTAAGTGTGATAACTGTAACATCTATCTTCTTGTCAAGTAGCAAGAAAGAATTTATTTTTTGAGTTTCTGATTTTAATGAGTCATCCAGAAGAGTGAAATGTGACTAAACATACGTTTTTATTTGGTCCTTACGGTAGTTTTGCAAGGCTGTACCTTTAGGTTTGGGTGGCATCAGGATGAGAGTAAGAGAGAGAGAGAGACATTGACATTTCTTGGTCACTTGGGCTGCTGATTATCTGTGATTCTGTTTTTGTCGTTCTTATTTCCAACATGACCTTTAGGAACTAGAAAATAAAGAACAAATGTTAAAAAAATTAGAAGATTCACTTGAAGAATATAATAGGAAATTTGCTGTCATCCGGCATCAGCAAGGCTTGTTATACAAAGACTATCTAAGGTATAAGACACAAACTTGTCTGATACAAATTTTAAATTAGAATTAACGAAATATATTAGTATTTAACATGTTGAGTATTTAAAATACTAATTTGCTGTTCATCTGTGTTAATGGATTAATTTTTTGTATATTACATTTTTCACTTTTGGTTACTTCTAGCATAGGTAAAGTGTCATTATTTTAAATAGAGTGTGTTATTATTCATGGTGAAATTAAATGAAATTGATTCTTAAAATAAATAGCTAGTTTTGACATATTTGCATGATCTACAAAGGTTTCTTCCTACAAAGATGTGCGCGCGCGCGCACACACACACACACACACGTATACACATACATTAATAGTGACTGCCATGAAGAGATTAGTGTCTTACTGCTTTCTGTTTTGTAGGAAAATAGGCAGTTTTCTTCTTTGCTGTCTATGATAGCCATTTTAAAGAACCATCTTTTCTTTCTTCTTAATTATTTTCTAGTCCATTTGGGTACAGAATTTTTTCAGGAGATAAATATTTAGCTTTAAATTTTATTCAGGTTATTTAAGGTTTTCTTACTTAAGGTCAGGAGTATAAATCTGACCTAATCTGTTCTCATCTTAGATCACATATAATCTTTGAAAAGTTTTGAAGTCTGATGAGTCATTGGTCAGAATAAAAGTACTTTAATAAAAGAACTTTCCTATCTTACATCTGTCCTAGCTTCTAGGATACTAGGTATGGCTTTTGATAAGAATCAAATTTGGAGTGATCATCCCCCTCACCATATGCTGGACCTCTCTGTGTGTTCTTTTCCAAAATTTGTAGATCATCTGTAGCCTCAAATGTTGCTTCATCAAACTAACCTGCTTAATGGAATGCACTAGATTTTGGTTGTTCTGCTTTTTTCAGTGAAAAGAAAATCTGGCAAACGGAATCTGAAAAACTGAGGGAGGAAAAGAAAAAGCTTGAGGATCAAGTCGAACAAGGTGCTATCAAAGTAAAAGAATATAATGTAAGTGTCCCACCATTCAGAAATAGCTGGCCAGTGCCAGCTGAGGGGCCTTTCTGGATGTCTAACAGCAATGAGTAACTGAAATGTTTGGTGTTTACTTGTTGTGCAGAACTTACTTAATGCTCTCCAGATGGATGCAGATGAAATGAAAAAGCATCTTTCTGAAAGTAGTAGGAAAATCAGCATCTTGCAAGTTAATGAAAAGTCCCTGATAAGGCAATATACAACTTTACTAGAAATGGAACGGCATTTAAGAAAAGAAAACAGTAAACAGAAGAATGAATTGATAGCCATGGAGGCCGCAGTTGGAGACAGAATTGGCCATTTGCAAAGGTTTAAGGTATGCTTGCTCTTAGATATCTTTCCTTAGAACATTTAAGCTCTAGATTTTGAAATTTCTTGAATTTGTATTAGACTTACAAGAGAGCAAAAAACAATAAATAGAAATCAAATGAAAATTTTTAATTTTTTTGGACGTCATCTTCATTTAAAGAGTGATGTGTGAGATTGTTAACCTTAAACCGAGATTTTATTGTGGTCGTAATGCTGAGTAAATAATTAAAGGTCCTACTTGAAAAAGATAATTTTTTTATCCCATTTACTGTATTAAAGGGATTTTGAGACTCAAGAAAAGTAATTGCTTTCTCTTTTTGCGCTAGACTGTTCAGAGTCTCATAGAAGATCTAGTTCTCTTGATAATCTGGAAATTTGCAAGTATAACATATGGTTTTGGCAAGGAGTAGAATGATTACAGAACATTTCATGTAGAAGAAAAAAGAATAGGAATTATGCCTTCTCTCTCCAACCCTGATTGGTCCAGAGGCTCAATGTTGGGGGTGGGGAATGGGGGAAAAATGGAAGGTAAATAAAAAGAGAGTATTTTAAAAAAAGAAAACAATAAAAGGATAAATGTTCTGGAGACATTTGTGCCAATTCAGAAATACAGGAATGGAATTCAAAAGTACAAAAAGAACTGAATTACTTTTCTTGTACTTCTATATTCTTCCTTCCCTAACACTGTCAGACCTCTCGGACTAGTTATTGTCACAAGTTTTTAATTCTCCCGTGGCTCATCACTTTAAGAGATTTCTTGCCTAACTTTCTTCTGATCTCTTTGCCTTACCCTTTTTCAATGATGTTAGCAATATTTGGTGTTATCTAGAAATGAAGGAGAATTAGCCGTATTTTTGACATATTCTCCTGATCATTAAGGAAATAATGATGTAGGTTTATGTAATTTCTTAGGATTATTGTGGGTAGGCCGTGACCTGAGTCATTTTTGGATCCTGAATATCATTTTTAGAACTTGGTTTCTGTATCAAATAATATGTATGGTAGCACTAGGAAAGAATTTACTTTTGGGTTAAGAAGATACTTTGCCTATGGTGTAAAACTGACTTATATTCAATTCTTAGCCTAGAGAAGTTGAAGAGGCAGAGTGCAGCTGTGGATTCCTAGGATCATACAGAGCTGCGTGTGCAGCTTCACTTGGATGTATTCAGCTGTTATAAAACAACTAGACTGCTTTGTTGCTGTAAAATTTCCCTCTGTAGTCTTACAGTATGCCCTGACAAACGCATTTATTGATTCAGACTGATATACTTTTTCTCAAAATAATTAAATCTGACAGTTTATTGCAATAAGAAACATTTTTAAAGTACTAAAATGTGCTTCATTTTTAACATAAAATGGGGCATGCCATGGAATTGTTTTGTTAAAAGTTCATTTAAGTAAGAATTTTCTTATGTTTTTTGAAAATAATTTTAATCAATAAACTTTGTCACTGCATAATGTTAGTTTCTTTTTCTTAGGTCTATCTTTAAAAGAAACAGTGCTGAAATATAACATTGTTACTCTTATTTACATAGGAAACAACCATTTTCAGGATTGCAGCTCTCCAAAAACTTATAGACAATAGCGTCCCTCTCTCGGAACTCGAATTGGCCAATAAGCAATACAGTGAATTGACTGCCAAGTATAGGGACATGCTGCAAAAAGATAATATGCTTGTCCAGAGAATGAGTAGTTTGCAGTTGGTGGAGGTAAGATTATATGGTTCTTGGTTCTCGAAAAATTAGAACGACCTTTTCAATAAGTATTTTCCATTCTTGGAAGTCTTTGAGATTTTATTTCCCCTGTCCTCAAAGGACTGGTAGGGGAATTTAGCAAGTCCACATTCATCAGGTGCAGCAAGTAGGGGAGAAGGACACATGCAAATAATCACAACATGAAACATTACCTGATCAAGGCCATAAGAGGGGCTCGGATGAGGAGGTGTAGGAATATAAAGGGAGCGAGCAAACTCCTCTGAGGAGGCAAGAGAGGGTTGTAGGAAGGAGAGGGTGTTGAAGTAATGATAGTAATAAATGAAGGTTATGTTGTAATAATCATGTTGTTGGTCTGAATTGTTCTTTAATTACTTGAAGATATTTCTCTTATTCAGTGTGAAAATACGTCTCTGAAAGAACAGATGGATGTTATAAGTAAGGAACTGGAGATCACCAAGGAAAAATTTCATACTGTAGAGCAAGCCTGGGAACAAGCCACTAAATTAGGTAAGTCTGTGCTCCTGGAGTGAATGTGATACGGCGCTCGCTGTGTTGTTTAACCAGGTTAAAGCGAAGCCTTGTGGGAAAGTAGGTAGAGGACAGAGAAAGCAGTGATCAATATAAAGAGGTAATGGGATTTTTGAGTTTCACAAGCAGCTTTGCAAAAATTGACCTATGAGAGAAAGAAAAAAGCAAGGAAAGGAGACATCTGTGTAACTGTGTCATTTTACAAGTATACTTAATTTTTTTTTTACTCCTTACACAAGTGAAATAGAGTGTATCTGCATCGCCAGTCTGTGTGGCAGTATCTTCCTCCACAACATGTGTACCAAATTAATCCTTAGATGGGATGAATTTCTTTTTGAAACTTTACCTGTTGGGAAATTTATAGTGAAGTTATCTGCCATTTTGTAGTTTTTTTTCAATTTGGCAAACACAAGTTGTTAGTGTTGTGAAAGGGTCACATTTACATACAAGTCACAAATATTAGGTGCCTGCACTAGTTATGAACTTGCTGTATACATTCTCTCAGAGTTTATTTTTCAGACATCTAGCTGCCATTCTGCCATTCATGGTATTTTTTTTTTTAAATCACTGGAAATCACAGTTTTATTGTTAGTACCTAAGACCTGCCATCTTGTTGTCTCTGGCCAGAATACTGATCTAAGAATCTCCTTCCATCTGGGAGCCTTTCCTTGTTGCCTGAATTGGCGGTCCCCTCTCCCTCCACAAATCACCTTGTGTAATTAATTATGTTAGCTCATGTTTGTGCCCTTGCCTCACTGAACCAGACAGAAGCTCTCTGATTGCAGGCCTGGTTTGTGCAGCATCACAGATAGGAAACAAATGAATCACTGGGGTCATTAACAAATAGGGCAAATCTGGGAACATTTGTGTTTTCTCCACTCTTATCCAGGACCAAAATCAATCACTCAGATTATGGAGTTCATCCTCATTCATTTTCCTTCCGTTTACATTATTGTCATCATGGTGTATGTATGTTATTTTCCTGGTTCTACTTACTTTCCTTTGCATAATTTTTTGTCTTCCCATGCTTCTCTGAATTCCGCCTATTTATCATCTCCATTTTTTGGACTAGCCTTGTGATTTCATTAGTGTCGTTGGGGAGCACCTGTTGAGGAAACTCCCTCTGCCTGTGCAGGTTTGCCCTTTTTCTGTCCCTCTCAGCCTTAAGGTTGTCTAAAGCACAAAGAGGCTTAGTGACCTCCCCAAGGCTACACAACTGGTCTGTGCCAGAGAGAGGACTTGAATCCAGGTCTTTCTGATTCATTCATACCAGCCGGTAGCCACTATGCAGCATTGTCTCTCTTGTTGTGTCTTACAGAGGAGAAATATTCCATTACGTTGATGTGCCACTATTTGTTTGCCTATTCCCCAGTCAGTGGGTATGTACTCTGGGGAAATACACACACTCACACACACACACAAATAATTTAAAGTACAACCATGGCTTTCATGTTCTGTTGACAAATCTGTATGACTTGAAGTGGATGGTAACTGGGCCTACATACTTTGGCTCCTTTGAATTTTCATTCAGTCCTACCAGTGATGTGACTTGTGAACAGTGGTATACTGGTAAATGTTTAACAACCAGCTCTCTGAAAAAAATATGCAAAATAGACTTTCTAGTTTAATCTGCATTATTAAAATTTTCCTTATCACTTTTTAAAGTCTATACAATCAACAAAATAATAAATCAAATCCTGATTTGTAATATTTGCCTATTTTTGAGCTATAAATGCTTTGAACTCCCGCAAAATGATATAAAAGAAACTAAATTTTAAAAAATTAAGTATACGTGTAAAATGACACAGTTATACAGATGTCTCCTTTCCTTGCTTTTTTCTTCCTCTCATAGGGCAATTTTTGCAAAGCTGCTTGTGAAACTCAAAAATCCCATTATTTCATTATATCGATCGCTGCCTTCTCTGTCCTATACCTACTTTCCAGTAAGGCTTCAATTGTATGCGCAGATATAAGATTATAACTATGGACGATACTCAGATTTTATATTTTACATGAGGAGATTTAGAGTGAAAATAAATCTATGTTCAGACCAACTTGGTACATTCAAGTTTCTTTAAGGGTATTGAGGTTACTTCATATCATAAATTGTATATTTTTAATAGACATAATTATTCTTTAATTTGCCGGCCTTTCAAATTTGAATTTTTAGACATTTATTTATGGGAAAAACCAGTCAGTTGTACTGTCTGATAATAAAGTTGTATGTGAATAGTGTAAAAAAGCTTGAGTGCATATAGGATTGAAAAATGAAGCGGCTAACCATGTAACAAGAGTTAGAAACAAAGTGGACAGCCCAAGTGCCCTGTTGAGCCCCCTAACTTATTAAAAGTACCTCATGAGGGCTCCAGTGCAATGTGGGGCAGGGGCTGCCTTAGGTAGGATTTACAATAAGACCTGGACAAGGTTCGTTCAGGATAAGAAGACACGGTAGAACTACAAGCTACCAGAAGAAGGAACTCCCATAAAATGTTCTGAAAATTTAACAATCAGCTCTTGAGAGCCTGTTTGAGCTAGCTCCAACACATTCCTGTCTATGAACTTAGGAAACCATGTCACCTCATCTGTAAAATTAAATTCACAACCCAGGAATAAAACTCATGACCAAATATTACTTATAGTTATTAACATAAAATATTGGCTTGGATTGACATATGGCATTAGTAAAATATTTCACAAGTTAGAACTCTAGTAAATAAGATCTAAAAATCAAAGGAATTGCCTGAGTCTAACATGGGCTTCTCCATAAATTCACCTTATTTGTCTCGTGTCTTACTTCTTTCATATTCGGATGTTTTGCATTTGCTTAATGTTAAAAACAACACCCTTATTGAATTTGACTGAATTATTTTTGACCACAGGAAGTGATTTGACCATGGATAAAGCTCAAAAAGCTATAACAAACAGTGAGATTGTTTCCATTTCTAAAAAGATTACAATGCTGGAAATGAAGGAACTGAATGAAAGGCAGCGTGCCGAACACTCGCAAAAAATGTATGAGCACTTACGGGTTTCATTAAAGCAAGTGGAAGAACGTAATTTTGAACTGGAAACCAAGTTTTCTGAGGTTGGATATTCTAATTTTTACTCTTTAGTTAGAGTTGGAAAAATAAGCCTAGCGCTTCAAGTAACTGGCATTACTTGCTTGATCTAGTCTTTAGATTGTTTCAGAAACAGCAGTTTAAGATAATACTTTTATCGTTAGGTAATGAATATATTTGAAATCCGAAATTAATGAGTAATCCCAAAATTTTTTCTGTAGTATGTGTCCTTATAGTTAAGTGCTTGTCATTAGCAAAACACCATGTGATTAAATTAAATACACAGAAAGGCATTAAATAGTAACACATTATTTTTAATCATAATGTTGTATGTGTTTAGCATTAGAGTGTTTTTTAAAATCTAGGCTGACAAATGTGTTTTTTTTCAGATTTTAACCACATTTCTGTCAGTGCCCATTGCTGAAATGTTTTAAATTTTTTTAAAAAAATCATTTTCACAGCATATCCATCTCTCTTACCTATTATTTCTAGTCTGTGAAACAAGCAGTGAAAATGGTACTCTTCCCTGTCAGGTATCCAGGTGAGGCTCTAATGAGGTTTGTTTGGATCTAGAATCAGAAAGTATGAGGTTGTTAGGTCCAGGCACTAAGCATAGAAGAATTTAGTTTATAAGTATGTGCACCACTCAATCAGCATTATTATGCTGTTAGGGTTGTGTTAAAATGCAATGCCCCTCAAAAATTACCAGCCATAATGAAACTTCTTTTATTGGAACTTTAGTGTTTTTCTTAAGATTTGCCCCAAATCATATGTATCAATATTTACTTACTGAAATTGAATGACATTTAAATTACCGTTGGGAAGTACTTAATTTTTAAGTGTTTTAACATAAGCAGTGCATAATTGAAATGCTGTTAAACAACTAGCTTTTCTCCTGGCACATTATTGAAGAGCAGCCAAGATCCTCATTTCTTCTCAGAAGGGAGGGAAGGTTTTTTTTTCTCATTTCTCTTTTTTTGGGGCCAACCTTGGTTGTTGTAATTTCACATTGTTCTGTTGCTGTGGTTTTATTGTTGTCGTTCTTGTTTCTATTTCATTGTTTTTACCGGCGTGCTTGTTGTTTTTTCTGGTTCTGTTTACTTCATTTTTATCAATTCGTGTAAGTTCAGTTCTTTCTGTGCATCTCTTTGTTCGTCATATTCGTCATACTTACAGTGCAGTAGTATTCCATTATCGTCATGCACCATAATGTCTTTAACTAATCCTCTGTTTATAGGCACCTTACTTTGTTTCCAGTTCTTTTCCATTGGAAAAAGGTGCTGTTTTAATATCTGGGGAAGAAGCCTGGCACAGTGGGTAAAAAGACTGGCTTTAGAAACAGAGAATTGGGATTCAAATTCTATCTCCAATGTTTGCTACTTGTATTACCTGGGACGTGTCCTTTCCCTTCCTTGCGCTTCAGGCTTTTGAGGCCTCTTCTGGTTCTAGCTCTAGGATCCTGTGGTGGGGGTGTGTGTGTGTGTGTGTGTGTGTGTGTGTGTGTGTGTGTGTGTGTGTGTGTGTGTGTGTGTGTGGTTTTTGTCATTGACTTCTTTTATGATATTTATGCCGAAGAACTAGTAGCAAAGTTGATGCCCTTAGGTAGTTTGGGTTTACTGGAGAGTGTGTGTGCATGTGTGCCTGTGTGTGTGTGTGTGTGTGTGTGTGTGTGTGTGTGTGTGTGTGTTTGAATTGTGAACAACTGTTGTTTGCCCCAAAAAGTATCCAGTGGGGGCAGCTAGGTGGTGCAATGGATAGAGCTCCGGCCTTGCAGTCAGGAGGACCTGAGTTCAAATTTGGCCTCAGACTCTTGACATTAGCTGTGTGACTCTGGGCAAGTCACTTAACCCTATTCACCTCACTGAAAAGCAAAAAGATAAAATTAAATTTTTAAAAAAGCATCCCGTGAAATGTAGTTAGATATGTGTTATAGCTGCACACGTGCTTAGAAAATAAACGTCATTTGTTTACTCCTGAGCTCAGCCCTTTTGTTGGTATACCTAGACAAATCACAAGAAATAATTAAAAAGGAGGGAGCCCCATTCATGTTGGCTGTTTCACAAAGTGGAACTGGAAGGTAATTGAGATGCATGTTCTATAAAAGTCAGTGAAAATTTTCAAAAACATTTTAGTAATGGACATTGGAATGTGGTTAAATTTTATGAGGAAGAAAAGGGAAAAGATGCATAAATATGCCAAGAGCAACTTTCTAGTTGTACTTTTTTTTTTTTTTTTTTTTTTTTTGTAGCTTACTAAAATCAACTTGGCCGCACAGCAGCTGGAACAAACGTTAAGAGATGAGCTAGCCGAGAGTGTGAGTAAGGAAGTGAGTGACGCCGACAGGCGGAGGATCCTAGAGTTAGAAAAGAGTGAAATGGAGTTGAAGGTGGAGGTGTCCAAGTAAGTTCTTTAAATCTTTATTGTCATCTGCATGTCTCGGTTCTAATTTGTGAAAACAGTCATCTTCTAATCAAATTATTCCTTTTAATGAGAAAGGCATTAAGTGGCATTTGAACATAAAAATCTACTGTTCCTTAGGAGTCATTTTTTAAGTTCAAACTATTCTACATTTTCATATAGACTTATATAAAATTTTTTTTTACATTTTACATTTAAATAGAAGAAGATAATAAAAAACCTTCAGTGTTCAGAAAATGGAGTTATAGAAACATTAATGGATCCGATATATTTTTGCCATAGGGTAGAAAAGTTTCCTTAAACGTTATTTCTTCTTGATGTTACAAGCATATAAATAGTATGTTCAGTACTTGAAGTTGTATAGGAGATATGGGTAAAGAACAGGGAAGAATTCAATCTTTCAATCCCTATTGCAATTTATTTCCCACTAGAGATGATTTTAAAACTTTGCACCTAATCTTTGGGACTTCTCCAAAGTGGTAGAATGAATGTAGCTCCCCTTCTTCCCTCTTAACCCTGAAAATACACACATACACACACATACATTTTTAATAATCTTAACAGTTGTGGAAAATGTATCTCGCAGTATTTTAAAATGCACTAAAAATTTTAAAAGGAAAAGAGGCCTAATACTTAATCCTGTAGGTATTTTCTGAGATTGTTGAGAGACTGAAGTGTGGTAGGGACTGTCTTCTTTAAAAAAAGGTTGAAAATGTGTAACTATTAGGAGATGCCCTAACCAAATATTATATCCAACAGCCACAAATCATCTGGACACTTTTGCTTCCTAATGAAAATGGAGCCTCTTTAGGGACTTAACAATAGTATTATGTAAATGTGTTAATTTACTTTTATTTTTAACTATGTAGTTTTCTAGAAGTGATTAGTGCTTCAAATTGGCATTGTAATAGGTGATTTTTAAATTCTCTTTTTTTCTTGTACCTTTTTTATTTTTTAAACATTACAGTCATTTCTCAGATTTTCTCTTATTTGAACCTTCCCTTCAGAATTAAAAAAACAAAATGAAACAGTTAAGCCAATCCAAATGACAAAACCACTGTTCTTCTAAGAGGAGGGAGTGTATCTTTAATTCTCTATTTTCTGAAACCAAGATTTTTTTTTGCAGTTCTTTCAAATGCCTTTTATTTATGTTTTCATTTATATTATTGTAGGCATTGAGAATATTCTTCTCTTGGTTTTTCTTTATTCACTTTGTAACACTTCATTTCTTTCTTCAATTTTTCCTCTGAATTTCTTACATTTATCCTGTCTTTTGCTACAATATTTGTTCAGCCATAATCTAATTGATAGGTACCCACTCTGTTTCTCTGTTGTTTTTTTTCCCTTTAATTACTACTGTATGAGTGCTGCCATGAGTATTTTTGGTCTTTTTTTCTTTGACCCACTCAAGGTATATGTCTTAGTTGTGGGATGTCTTGGTTAAGTGTTATGAAAAGCTTAGTAACTACTTGCATAATTCCAAATTGTTTTCCAGAATTAGATCAATTCATAGCCGTGCCACCAATGTATTAGTGTTGCTGTCATCTCACAGCTTCTTCAGTTTTGGTACTTTTATTATCTTTGGCAGTTTGATGAGTATAAAGATGAAACTTTATCAATTTATATTTGTATGATTTGTAATATTTTTAATGATAGTTGATTGCTTTATTTTATTTGTTGAATATTCTACCCATCCATTTACTGCTTATTTAATAGGAAATACCTTTTGGTTTTCTATAATTATGTCAGTTCTTTTGCACTTTTATTAGAAATATTTGATGCAAAGGCTCCCCCCCCCAAGAATCAGCTTTTCTTTTTAGTCTAGCAGCATTGATTTTGTTTGTGCAATAGCTTTTATATTTTCTGTGTTTAAAATTATCTGCTTTCTCTTTTTGGGGGGGGGGCAGGATAATGTAGTAGATAGAATGATGAAGTCTCAGTCGGGAAGACTTGGGTTCAGATTTTAGAAACTTAACCAGTTGTTTGATGACCCTAGGAAAGCCACTTACATTCTCTGCTCCTCAGTTTCCTCAGCTGTAAAATGAAGGTGGTTGGACTCAATGACCCCAAAGGTTCTTTCCAGCTATAAAGCTATGACCCTAGCAACACCTGATTCCCTTGTTTCTTTAATGATTCTCCCCATATTTTTTTGTATTCTCCTTTTTATGATTTTTTTTATATTTAGGCTACATCTTTTTGGAGTTTATTGTGGTATATATTGGAAAATACTGGTTTAAATATATATGCTGCCAAATTGCTTTCTAGTTTTATTAGTAGTTCTTATTAAACATGAGTCTTCCCATTACTTTGTGATCTTGGGTTTGTCGAACACTGAGCTACTAAATCTGTAAACTCAACTTATTAGAATTGTCTTTGTCATATAGGCAAGGCTTTGCCGTGACCAGTGAGCTTCTCATCAATTATTTAAATTATTCCTCATTTCCTTAGTCTCTGGTGTATAATTGAACTTTAAGATATTTTATGCACCATGTAGTTATTTTGAATGAGATTTAACTTTCCATAATTGCCTCCTGGTTTTTATTTTTAATAAGATTAATTATTTCTATTATGTTTCTTTGCATCCTTAATATAAATTCAACTTGATTATAGTAAATGAATTTTTTTTATAAATTGCTGTGATATTTTTGCTAAGATTTTTCTTAAATATTTTCAATCTATATTCGTTAATGATATTGGGGTTCCGTTTCTTTCCTTTATCTTTTCTTGCTTTAGGTATTCAGACAGTATTTGCCTCATTAAAGGAGTGCAGTGTAGTGTATCATTTCTCAGTTTTTGAGAGTAATTTGTGTAGTGTAACTTTTAATTGTTCTTAGAAAGTTTGATAGAATTCCTCTCTAATGCCATTTGGACCAGTGGTTTTTGCCATTGATAGTTCCTTAATAGCTAGTTCAGTTTTCTTTTCAAAGACTGGATTATTTAAGATCTCCCTTTAGTGGTCTATTAATTTGTATATTTTATGTTTTTGTAGATAATTCTGTATCTTTTGAATTAACAGTTTTGTTGGTATATAACTTCATAGAGAGTAAGTTTTGATAATTGTTTCTGCAATTATCAATTTTATTCATTTGTTCAAGGAACCAACTTTTTGTGTTTTTTTTTTTTCATCAAGTCTGGTCTTTTTGGTTTTTAATTTATTTACTCTTTTTAAAAAAATCTTTCATGCTTATTTTGTGTTTTTTCTTCTTTTAATGTTTTAAAATTACATATTTAGTTTATTAATCTTCTGTGTTCTATTTCATTTATGTTTCTAGAAAAATAATTTTTACTTTGAGAACTTCTTTACCTGGATCTCAAAAATTTTAGTCTTTCGTCTTTGATCGTAATGTAATTGTTTTTATGATCTGTTCTTTAACTTGTTAGGCTTTCTGTATTTAATCTCTGTATCTTTTGCTTGTGTTCCTTGTATTATTACTATTTGTTTTTGGTGTTATATTCTGTACAGGATATATTTCTGCTTTTTTTTTTTTTACATTTTTTTTTCTTTTAGGCAGTTGGGGTTAAGTGACTTGCCCAGGGTCACACAGCTAGTAAGTGTCAAGTGTTTGGTCTGAGGCTGGATTTGAACTCAGGTCCTCCTGACTTCAGGGCCGGTGCTCTATCCATTGTGCCACCTAGCTGCCCCTTATTTCTGCTTTTTAAAAAACATATCTTTGCAGTTTTTCTGTGCCCTAATAACAAATATATTTTGCAAAGGTGCCCGTGCTGTATTGGTAAATAGGTATATTATTTAGTGGTACATTCAGAAAATAACAAAAATCTTTTAACTTCAAATTGCCCCATAGTTTCTTCTGTTTAAAAAAAATTTTTTTTTGTTTACCTCCGTATTAGATTTGTCCAACTTTGAGAAAGGAATATTAAAGTCTCCTGCTATTGAGTTACTATCTATGTCTTTTTAAAATTCAGTTAGTTTTTCTTTCATGAATTTAAATGCTTTGCCATTTAGTACTGACATCTTTAATATTGATGTTGTTTCATTGTCTGTGACTTCCTTAAGCATTATTTAATTTTCTTGTTTGTCTTATATTGTGAACTTTTGGTTTTGCTTTTCTTGCTAGCATAATCACAGTTCCTGCTTTTGTGGATTTACTTCATGCATAGTAACTTTTGTTAGTAACTTTTGTTCCAGCCTCTAATTTTTATTCTAAATATGTTTTTACTTTTTAGATGTGTTTATTATAAGGAATAGATTGTGGAATTTTGTTGTCTTATCCATTTTGCCACTTTGTTTTATTGAGTTAGATATTTCATATTTAAAGTTATGAGAGTTAGGTTATAGTTTTCTTCTATTTATGTCCTTAATGTTGTTTTTAAAATATTTTAAAAATTTCTTTCCTCTCTGACATCAATACTTTGTTTTTACAATTAGTTTTGTTTAAGCAACTTTGATATAGTCTTATTCCCATAGGCTTCCCTCCTCGAGCCCTTTCCCTACTCTCATTTGTCAACCCTTTTCCCTGGTTTGGAGGTTTTACTTAAATATTGATTTCTTTTTCTTTCTTTTGCTACAACTGTTTCCTCCCCTCTTTATTTTCTCTTTTCCTCTTCTTTTTCTTACCTCAATTAATTCAAAGTTGATTTAAAATGTTTCCTCTTCTTCCCCACAACTTCTTTAGTTTCTTTGTTTTCTTTTTTCTGTCCCCTTTTCTTTAAATTAAAAAAAAGATTGTTTTTGCTTGGTTCTCTTCATTAATTCTCTTCCCTTTCTGGACTGAAATTTTATACACGGAGTTTTGGTCTTTATCCCTATTTATTCCTCTTTAATCTCTTTTTGTTCCTCATGGAGTTAAGTCTTCTGAAGTCCTAGGCTTGAGCTCCTTCTAACCACTTTTCTATTTTGTTACCCTAACAAATCTTGCCCCAAAATCCTTTTTTTTCTGTTGTGCCTCACTCTCAGAAGTTTTAGTTCATAATGTGTATAGAGGCAGTGACCCATGTCCATAATCATGCAGTCCAGTTCTTCCTGCTACCCTCCCCATCATTCTCCATCCCATTGACTTTGCTTTTTGATTTATGGGTATGTCCATGCCTCCTCCCCTCCAACCCCCAGCCACCAGCCGCCTTTAGGAGCTCTCTTATTCCTTCTCCTGGAGCAAGACGTTGTCCCCAGAGTCACAACATTTTCAGAGAAGGCGATCAGCTTGTAAACTACTTTTTCTAATATTAAGTCCATTGTGAGGTTCTTATTTCCTGTTGCACCTCTTCCCATGGGAGTGTCCTACCCCTACCTCTTTTAGGCTGAGACTTCTCCTTTGATCTTTCCCATTCTCCTTCAGCTCTTCTTGAGAGGCCATAGGCATCATATCCCTTTGCTCTTTACCCATGGATTAATAAGGGGACATCTCTCATTCCTCTCTGTCTCCACTTCCCTTCTTCCCACATGGGCATCCTCCCCCTCTGCAGTTTTGTCTCACAAAACCCATAGATTCATCTCGATGGGGGTTGTTTGGTTGGATGCTTCATTTCTGTTCCTCTGTTTTCATTTTTTTTTCCTTTACATTCTGTTTATGTTTTTAGCCCCTTGTCCATTTTTTTTTTTGGCTTTTTGATGAGGCAGTCTGGGTTAAGTGACTTCCCCAGGGTCACACACCTAGGACGTGTCAAGTGTCTGAGGTTGGTTTTGAATTCAGGTCCTCCTGACTTCAAGACTGGAGCTCTATCCACTGCACCACCTAACTGCCCCTGCTTGTCCACCTTAAATCTTTTGACAGTTTCTCTTTTTTTTTCTAGAACAATCTTTTTCTTTTTCTTACATTTTTAAAATGATCTTTGAACTTGTGGTAATTTATTTCTTTATCTGTTCTTTCCTTAGTAACTGTACTTACCTAATCTTTCTTGTGTTTCTAATTGTTTGGGGTGTTTGCAAGTAGAATATTCTGCTTGTGTCTGTTTTGTTTTCTTTTACAGGAATTTCTCAAATGCCTCTCGTTGAATTTTTTTTTCATTTATGATTAGGCTCATATTTGTAGGATAATATCATTTCAGGGTGTAGCTTGAGTACTTTTGCTTTTTGGAGTAACCATTTCTCTCCTTTTTACTGTTTCTAATGTATGGGACACAATCTTATGTTATTCAAATTTAATTTCCTTTATATAGGAAGGTTATCCTAGTTGCTTACAGAATTTGTTGTTGGAGTAGTTAAATTTAACCACTCTATGTCTCTTAGTTTAAAATGTATAGATTTCTTTACTGGAGGTGATCAGTGGATTCCTATGGTCCTTTGTTTTCTATAGTCCTAAATTATAGGTAGCTTTCTTTTATTATTTCCATGGCATTCAGATTTTTTTGATTTGGTTAAGTTGGCTCTACATTTCCCACGCAGTGTCATTAGCTTAGATGTCATTGACTTTGGCTGTGAGAGACATCACATCTTCTTTAAACATGACTACCCTTTTCCCCCCCTTCTTTTCCCATATTTTCATCCATGTCAGTATTTTTGAATTCCAAATATGTTCATCTCTCTTTGGCTTCATTGAAGCAACTTACCACCATGGTTTAATTTTTTTCCCTAGTCTGCTAATAGATTTAAAAAATTTCTTCATTGAGAAATGTGAATTTTGATATGTGTGTGTACACATATATACCCATAATTTCTTATGGATTTCATTTCTTGAATAATTATTTTTGGCCATTTCTGATACTTCTTGTTCTCTATTCTTGTAGTATTACAAAGAATTCTGTTTTATCAGAAATCAGTTCATTTTCCTTTGTCCTATAATGTTTGTTAAGAGTTTTACTCTCTTGGAGGAAGAACTTGTCTTGCTATCTAGTTTTATCAGCTGGTGCTCTGTGTTTTATTGAGTTTTCTTCCTCTTGGATGTTTCAGCCTTTTCCTCTTATATTCTCCTATCACTCACTTGCAGGCTTCTGCCTTTGGTTAAGGCTAAAACCTTGGGGTTCTGCTGCCATACTTCCTCAGCTTTCTCCCCACTGGGGCATGTAGGCCTCATTGGTCTTTGTCCTTGCTATCAGAAACCTATAAGGAGGTAGGGCTGGCTGCAGCTGGGTTGCTGTCTCCTTTCCTTTAGACTTGGTAGAACCACTCCTGGTGGCTTCCTGTCTCATTTCTTCCCTTGGCTCACCTTTCCTTTTCAAGCTGAGCTGTATTAGGGTATGCCACTTTTTTCACGGTTTGGGGGCAGTGGAAACAATATTCTGGACTTGGTCTGCAGCTTTTGGGATCCTTAAATTAGCGGTCACCCAGGCAGAAGCCTAACCACCCTCCTTGAGAGCAAGCAGAGGGTGACTTGTGCTGGTGAAGTCTTTGCAGCAGAAGGGCCCGGGCCCAGGCCCAAGCCCAGCAAGACCAGGTTCAGGTTCGGCCTCTGACGTGTACTGTATTTATGACCCTGGACAAGTTCAGCCTTACACAGTGTTGTAGGCAACTTTAAAGAGACTACACATTTCAGAGAAGGTGCTGACCTGTGCTATTAGAAGGAATTTCCTCATCCATGACTTTCCTATCCAAATGAAATCCCAAGTCCAGTCTTTGTACCTATCTAGTGGGGACTGGGGAGAGTGTCTGATCTGCCGTCTTGTTGATCTCTTTGTCTAAATATCATAATGTGAACTTATACTCAAAACATTGCATATTAGATATAGTCTGTTTATGTTAAATAGAAAAGTTATAAACCAGGAGATTGTCTTAAAGAATGGAAACCCAGCATTCTGATTATTTAAAAAAAAAACCAAAACAATTCCTACTTTGCATTTAGAAAATTATTAAATGCCTTATAGTTATTACTGTATCATTGTATGACTTACTAGACTGAAGGAGATTTCTGATATAGCCAAGACTCAAGTTGAAGCTCTGAGTTCACATCAGCAATCCAGAGAAAAGGAGGTCGAATCTCTGCGAATGCAGGTGTTAGACTACCAGGTGAGACCAGCTCCAAGTCTTCACAAGAGGCATGGACTTACTCATTTTTAAAAATCAGGTTGGGGATGATTTACAAACTTCAGGCCTAGTCACCCTTTGTGGGAGTCTGGTAAGGACTGGTTAGAATACCCTGTAACTGAACCTCTCTCTGGAATAGAAAAGTGGTAGGAGGAAAAGGGAGGGGGGAAGAATGGGCATGCGATGATTGACTGGGTCTAGTATAGACCCTGGGGCTGATTATGAGACAGATAATGCAGAATAGATACTGCAGAAAAACCGCAAAGCTAGCTGAGGGTGCTAGTTGGGTTTTTGTTTGTTTTTACATATAGTCTTTCTTTAAAAACAAAACAAAACAAAACAAAAATCCTCTAAATGGCTTAGTATGTCCTACTCAGTTTTTTTCATTAGAACCACATCATTCCAATAAAAGAGAGGCCAATATTATTATAGGTACTGAAAATTTTATTGGTACTGAATTTTATAGATACTAAAAATGCATTTTATAGGTACTGAAAATAATTACTGTGGTATCCCCAAATTACATTGCTGCTTAACGGAGCCAGGACTAGAATCAAAGTCTCTTGATTGAGAATTCTTTCATCAGATGATTCAGACTTATATCATAGAATAGTCTTTGTCGGTTATTATAGTAAAAATGCTGTACTTGAGTTTGAGTAGCATATTATAACATACCTATAAATAACACTTTTACATGAAAACCTAAACCTTGATTTCAGTGAGAATTTATTAACCGACAGATGAAAGGCATGTCACCAAGCTATGTGACAAGGGAGATAAGCAAGACACAATCCTTGTCCTTGAGCATTTTAGTTTTCTTCAGGGAGCTGAAACGTGTATAGTACTAACTGTAAAATGCTAATTCAGTATGATGAGGGGTTACAAGTGTTTTGAGAGTTCAGAGGAAGAAAAGCTCACTTTTAGTAGAGGAAATCAGGGAAACCATCATGGAATTGGTCAAATTTGAGTTGGGTAATGAAGCAAAGGTACGATCTCGTCTTCTTACCTACCCGCCTTAATTCCCTTTGGCACCAGGCACAGTCGGATGAAAAAGCCCTCATTGCCAAGCTGCATCAGCATATTGTTGCCCTGCAAATTAGCGAAGCCGCTTCTGTTAGCAAGTTGGAGTCAGTGACTTCCCAGCTGCAGAAGGTGGAGACTTACAACTTGCGTCTCGAGCAGAAGCTCGATGAGAAGGAGCAGAGTCTGTATTTCGCTCGCCTGGAAGGGAGAAGTCGAGCGAAGCATCTGCGCGGTACCATTCAGGCCCTGCGGCGACAGTTCTGTGGCACTTTGCCCTTGGCACAGCAGGAGAAGTATTCCAAAACGATGATTCAGCTGCAGAATGACAAGCTGCAAGTCATGCAAGAGGTCAGGACTTGTCAGGAGGAGCGGAGAAACATGGAGAACAAAACCCTGGAACTGGAGTTAAAGTTAAAAGGCCTGGAGGAGCTCATAAGCACCTTAAAGGATGCCAGGGGGGCCCAGAAGGTGTGTCAGTTTTGATCTTACATGTTAAGGTTAAAATCGGATGTCGGATTTCGGTAAGATTCTGCTTTAGTGAGTCGCTTTAAGGTCTCAGGATGTACGGATGTGGAGCAGGGCCAGGAACTGACCCTGAATTTTCCTGCGAATAGGGAACTCCCATATGAGTAAACTCCCTCTACTTGTGGTCTTAGAGAGTAGCTTAGAGCACTGAGAGACTAATAGGCTTACTTGGCCAGGGTCACACACCTAGGACTTGAAGGCTGAAAGACCAAGGTTCAAATCCTGCCTCTGACGCTCAGGTCACCTCATCTCCCTGGGCCTCAGTTTCCTCATCTATAAAATGGATATGGACACAGTGACCTCGTGTTTCACAGGCAGACACACAAGTAACACCGTTTGTTGGGCAGGAGAACACAGGAGGCCTTCTAACACTAACAGGTGTTCTAGCACAGGTTTGCCTTTGATCTCGTCAGACAGGAAGACAGCTTCGTAGGGGTTAGATAAGCTGACTTTATTGTAGTCTAGTCTTCTCAAAAGGAGTTTGCTGATAATGGGAGCTCCAACTCCTACAGCATTCCCTAATTACACTTCTTGCAGGTGGGGGCAAGAATAGTAGGAGCTACGACTTCTATTGGTCCCCTAAACCTCAGTGGGGGCCAGTTGAGGCAAGCACACAGATTCTACCCAGGCCTTGATGGGGACTGATCAAGGCAGGTACATGCATTCCTCTATGCATTACCCAAATACCCAAATGGGTTCCCCACTTACTGGCCAGTGCCCATTTGCTTTACAGGGCAATAGACAAAGAAGGCATATTGCCAACAGTAGCCTTACAGGTTAATTTTAGCACTATCGTCATTCAGTGCAAGTGTAGTAAATATCACTTATGTCATCCCTATATCTCACTGCGCAAGCGTAGTGGAGCTGTTTTCAGCCATAATTCATGGGAAGTATTACCTAGGATCCTGGAACTATTATCTAAAAAGGCATAACAAAATCCTCCTTACTCACACTAAAATTCACCTTCCTTACCCTTCTAATGACCCTTGTCTGAATCTGTGATCCTGTGAAATGTACAAGGTACAAATCAAACCCAGGCTTTCCCAACTCTAAGGCTGGCATTCTATCCACTGTGCTATCTGGTTGCCTCGAGATGGAGCTAGGCTGAAATTTTCATTTTTTATGTTTTTTTGTCATTAGAACTTAGGTGGATTTGCCAAGAAGCAAACCTACTTGACTCCTGGACTTAGGATGTTCTTTTTTTTTTATTGTATAACCAGATTGGTAAATGAGGGCAGTCCTGTAGACAGAGGAGATGTAGACTTCAGCACGGCTTTCAGGTACTAGGTGACCTCTGAGCTTCATTTCTTTAAAGATTTTCTATGCAAATTCATTGTAGAAACAAGAATGAAGGGAAAATGGCAAATCTGATAAAGAGAGCAGTCATCTTCTAGCGCTTTAGAAGCATTCATATACAAAGAATTTCAGTCCTAATTTAAAAATGCCTTATCATTCATTTATCATTCATTGTACTAGGTCTCAAATGAATTCTCTCCATACATTTAAAAGCCTAGTTTTTTAATATATACTTTAAATGAGTAAGCTCACATTTATTTAGAAATACCTTAAAATTCGTATTATTTGGATTAGTCTTTTTCCTAATTAATAGGAATTAATGAAGTTTTATTGTTGCTACCTTGGACCTCAATCTGACTGTCTTATTGAGAATTGCCCATTTGAATTTGGGACTCCCTTTTTCCATTAGTGAAACACAAAATTTATCTAAGTGAATGTCAGTTGGGTAGATAATCCATTCTATCTAAAGTAAATGGGTATTTTTTTGAAAATAATGGTCACTGTTACTTTATGAACTTTGGAATGTGACTAGATGAGCGAGTTTACAATGCATAACTTTATTATGGAAAGCTTGATTGATATATGATCTCATGCAATTGAAGTAATTAAAATGAACAGTTTGTTTATAATGCTCATATATGTGCCTACATGCAGTGTGTACGTATATACGTGTGTGTGTATATACATATGTATATACATATAAACCTCTTTTTGTCTTATTTAGGTAATTGATTGGCACATGAAAATGGAAGAACTTCGTCTTCAAGAGCTCAAACTAAATAGGGAATTAGTCAAAGACAAAGAAGAAATGAAATATTTGAAAAATGTAATTTCTGAATATGAACACACAATCAGCAATCTAGAGGAAGAGATTGTGCAGCAAAACAAGGTGCATATGTCTGGATACATGGAGCATTATTATGTTTCTCTATTAGGATTTTAAAAAATCTGAGCCACTGCCTAAGTGGCTCCTGTAGTCTCCTGACTGTGTGGAGCTCCCATTGTTGTTGTATAATAACAGTGTACATTCAGTTCTTATTTTTCAAATAATTTTAAACATAAATTATTTTTATAATAGTTAAGATAGAAAGCATGCTACAAATAGTAGTATTAAGTTGAAAACTTTTGCTAATCGTATTTCATTAGGTATTTCCGTTTACATATCTAAAAGGTTCTTCCAGTTTCCTTTCTCTATTATTGAAGTAAACTGTTTTTCTACAGTTTCATGAAGAACAGCAAATGTCCTGGGATCAAAGAGAGGTTGAGTTAGAACGGCAGCTAGACATATTTGATAGTCAACAAAATGAAATATTGAATGCAGCTCGTAAGGTATGTAGAGATTAATGGGAAATTGTGAGTAGCACACAAATCTTGTGTTATATAGAATGGACTAGAATGTACATTGATGAAAAATTTCCCTCTCCAATCAGGTAAAATCATTTGTCTTCTTTTGATGTTTAAAAGATACGTAGCATTTAAACTATGCTTAACATGCTCTTGTGAAAAATGAACATTTTTCCTAGTGGTAGAACAGTTTTTTGCAAATTTCTGTTTCCCAACAGTTTGAAGAGGCTACAGGATCAATACCAGACCCCAGTTTGCCTCTTCCAAATCAACTTGAGATAGCTTTGAGAAAAATCAAGGAAAATGTTCGCATAATCATGGAAACCCGGGCAACTTGTAAATCATTGGAAGAGGTAATTAATTTGCCTTATCATTATTAGGTGTGAATGTGTAACTCCTACATTAATGTATGTTCATGAAAGTGAAGCTTGGAATTAATTATTAAACCTGTAGGTAATTTTAAAACATACTCCTGCCATATATTAGGGAAAATTCTTTCCCTAATATAACTTATATGATCCACTGAAGAAAAACAGAATTGATTAATTTGGGTTTTTCTTTCTGACCCTTTTGTTTTTGTTCTTTGGGCATATTGATGAGCAGCCACTCATAATACGGGGGCTATAAAGCATGTAGGAGTTGTCTATAAGTACCTGATCTTTCCCTATTCAATTGAGTATTGATCCTAAATTTTCATTCTGTGTTACTTTCTTAAATGAATCTCATGAATCAGGGTACCACGAGTATTTTATATTGTGTATCCTTAAAAATGTTACTTGTTAATGAGGAATTATTAGAAGTTGTTTTAATTCTTGATTTTAGCAGACAGATCCAAAAAAACTCCCATATGAGATTACATACAAAAAAGAATGAGTACTAATTATATGTGAGTTTAATTTACTTTTTTAAAATGAATTTATTTATTTATTTTTAGTTTTCAACATTCACTTCCATAAGATTTTGAGTACCAAATTTTCTCCTCATCTCTCCCCTTACCCCTCCCCAAGACACCGTGTAAATTTATATAAGCTCAACATATATATTCATATTAAACCTATTTCACATTAATCATGTTATAAAGAATTAGAACAATGGGAGAAACCACGAGAAAGAAGAAACAAAAAAAAGAGAGCAAATAATAAGCTTCAATCTGCATTCAGACTCCATAGTTCTTTTTCTGGATGTGAACAACGTTTTCCATCATGAATCTTTTGGAGTTGTCTTAGATCTTTGCATTGCTAAGAAGAAATAAGTCTATCAAAGTTAGTCATTGCATGATGTAACTATAACTGTATACAATGTTCTCCTGGTTCTGCTCACTTCATTCAGCATCAGTTCATATTAGTCTTTCCAGGTTTTTCTGAAGTCTGCCTGCTCATCATTTATTAAAGCACAATAGTATTCCATTACATTCATATACTACAGTATGTTCAGCCTTTCCACAACTGATGGGCATCCCCTCAATTTCCAATTTTTTGCTGCCACAAAACGAGCTGCTACAAATATTTTTGTACTTGTAGGTCCTTTTCCCATTCGTATGATCTCTTTAGGATACAAACCCAGAAATGGTATTGCCAAGTCAAAGGGTATGCACAGTTTTATAGCCCTTTGTGCATAGTTCCAAATTGCTTTCCAGAATGGTTGGATCAGTTCACAACTCCACCAAGAATGCTTTAGTGTTCCATTTTTTCCCACATCTTCTCCAGCATTTATCGTTAATTTACTTTTCATTGGAACACATAAATTATGAACACATTTTAAAAGAACTTTTCAGTTTAAATGTATTTTTAAAGTAAAACACTATGCCCAGGAATTGCTAAGACACTCAGCTCCAAACTCTCTCCTTGGAACAGTGCTTTGCTTTCTCAGCAAATTTCCATGTAACCCTCTCCTCCCTGGTCCTAAACCCCAGCCATCATAAATTTTCTTCCTCCTCTTGTTCCAGGAATTATAATCAAATCAACATTGCCATTTCTCCTAGAAGAGAGCATGTCATTGAACTATCTTATTCAATTTACTATCCCTATGAGTTTTCGAATGAAAGATATGAGATCTTCTAAGATTATAGCATTTCATTATTAGCAACTGTGAAGGCATTACCAAAAAATATTGGTGTTAGAGATAGCCCTTTGTGGTACTAAGAAATTTAGGATTATTGTATGTATGTATGTATGTATGTATATATGTATTGTATGTATGAAAAATACTATGTATTTTTCCAAACTCATTTCAGTTAGATCTCATTAATTCCTGAAATAGCTAATTCTCTACCTATAATATTTATTCAAAATATATCTATCGATGGACTGATTTAATGGGCTGACCCATCTAGATGTTGTAATCTGGGCAGTACTAAATTTTGAAATTTGTTTTTTCTTTTTTTTCTTTCCCCAATTACATTAAAATTTTTTTAAGCATTCATTTTTTAAAAATTTTGAGTTCTAAATTCTCTCCTTTACTCCTTCCTTTCAGAACCCTTCCATTAAAAAGGCAAGCAATATGATATTAATTATACATGTGAGGTCATGCAAAACGTATTTCCCTATTAAGCATATTGCAGAAAAAATAAAGTAAAAAAAATATGCTTCAGTCTACACTGAGAGTTTATGAGGTTTCTCTCTGGAGGTGGATAGTATTTTTCATCATAGGCCCTTCGAAATTATCTTGGATCATTGTCTTGATCAGAGTAGCTAAGTCTTTCATAGTTAATCATCCTTATAATATTGCTCTTACTGAGTACCATATTCTTCTGGTTTTGCTAACTTCCTTTGCATCAGTTCATATAAGTCTTTCCAAATATTTCTGAATCATCCTCCTCATCATTTCTTAATAGCACAATAGTATGCCATAATAATCGTATACTATAGTTTGTTCAACCATTCTCCAATTAATGGGCATCCCCTTGATTTCTAGTTCTTTGCCACTGTGAAAAGAACTACTGTAAATATTTTTGTCTGAAGAGGTCTTTCCCCCTTTTCTTTGCTTTCTTTGGGATACAAACTTAGTAGTGGTATTGTTAGATCAAAGGGTATGCACAGTTTTTTAGCCTTTTGGACTATTCTATAAAATAATTGGACCAGTTCACATCTCTACCAACAGTGCATTAGTGTACCTATTTTTCCATATCCCCTCCAGCATTTATCATTTATCTTTTCTGTCATGTTAGCCAAACTGAGAAGTGTTAGGCTGTATCTCAGAGTTGTGTTAATTTACATTTCTTTAAGCAATAATGGTAGAGGATTTTTGTCATGTGACCATTGATAACTGATTTCTTCTTCTGAAAACAGCCTGTTCAAATACTTTGACCCTTTATTATTTGAGGAATGGTTCTCATTTTTATAAATTTATAAATATATGTATATAATTTATAAATGAGAAATTTGGTGTAAATTTTTCTTCCAAATTTACTGCTTTCCTTCTGATTTTTGGCTGCATTGCTTTTGTTTGTGCAAAAGCCTTTTAGTTTCATGTAATAAAAATTATCTATTTTATTTCCCATGGTCCTCTCTATCTCTTGTTTGGTCATAAACTCTTTTCTTATCCACAGATCTGACAGGTGCATTTTTCCATACTCCCCTAATTTACTTATTTGTTTAAAAATTCTTTATTTATTTACTTTTAGTTTTCAACATTCACTTTTATGAGATTTTGAGTTCTAAATCCCCCCCACACTTTCCCCTCCCCAAGACGGCATGTAATCTGATACAGGCTATCCATGTATTATTATGTTAAACATATTTCCACATTGGTCATATTGTGAGAGAAGAATCAGAACAAAAGAGAAAAACCATGAGAAAGAAAAAACAAAAAAAAACAACAAAAAAAAGAGAAAATAGTATGCCTCGATCTGCATTCACACTCCATAGTTCTTTCTCTGGATGTGATCAGCATTTTCAGTTGTGAGTCTTTTGGAGTTGTCTTAGATCCTTGCATTGCTGAGAAGAGCTAAGTCTAAAAATGTTGGTCATTGAACAATGTTGCTGTTCCTGTATACAATGTTCTCTTGGTTCTGCTCACTTCACTCAGCATCAGTTCATGCAAGTCTTTCTATCCCACTCAGCATCAGTTCATGCAAGTCTTTCTATGTTTTTCTGAAATCCTCCTGCTTACCATTTCTTATGGAACAATAGTGTTCCATTACATTCATATACCACAACTTGTTCAGTCATTCCCTACTTGATGGGCATCCCCTCAATTTGAAATTCTTTGCCACCACAAAAATAGCTGCTGTAAGTATTTTTGTACATGTGGATCCTTGTACCTTTTTTATGGTCTCTTTGGAAACCCTAATTTATTTATAATATCACCCTTTATGTCTAATTTATTTACCCATTTTGACCTTATACAGAGTAATGTTGATTTGTGCCTAGTTTTTGCCAAATTGCTTTCCAGATTTCCCAGCAATTTTTGTCAAATGAAGAGTTCTTACTCTCAACTCTTGGATCTTTGGGTTTAACATACACAAGATTACCGTATAGTTTGAAATCCAGTAATGGTAGGTCATCTTCCTTCATTTTTTTTCATTGATTCCCTTGATATTCTTGATCCTTTGTTCTTCCAGATGAACTTTTGTTATTTTTTTTCTAGCTCTATAAATTAAATTTTTGGAAGTTTGATTGATATGGCACTGAATGGATAAATTAATTTAGGTAGAATTGACATTTTTTTTTTGGCTTGGAGTACCCATGAGCAATGAATATTTCTTATGTTGTTCAGGTCTGTCTTTATTTGTGTGAAAAATATTTTGCAATTGTGTTCATGTAGTCCCTGGGTTTCTCTTAGCAAGTACACTCCCAAGTATTTTATATTATCTATGGTTATTTTAAATGGAATTTCTTTTTATATCTCTTCCTGCTGAGTTTTATGGTCTAGAAATAGAGATGATTTATGTGGTTTATTTCACATCCTGCAACTTTCGTAAAGTTGTTAAATGTTTCGATTAGTTTTTTAGTTGATTCTCTAGGGTTCTCTAAGTATTCCATCATATCATGTTCAGAGAGTGATAGTTTTATTTCCTCATTGTCTATTTTTATTCCTTCAATTTTTTTTGTTTTATTGATATAACTAGCATTTCTAGTAAAATATTGAATAGTAGTGGTGATAATGGACATCTTTATTTTACCCTTGATTTTATTGGGAAAGCTTCCATTTATCTCCGTTACAGATAATGTTTGCTCATGGTTTTAGATTTATACTACTTATTATTTTAAGAAAACCTTCATTTATTCCTAGGCTTTCTAAAGGTTTTAGTAGGAGTGGGTGTTGTATTTTGTCAAAAGCTTTTTCTGCATCTATTGAGGTAATCATGATTTTTTTTGTTTTTGTTATTGATAATGGTTAATGATGGATATAG